TAATACATTTAGGTGTACCCAGGAATGGTAGTGCATAGTACGTGCTGTAGTTGCACTGCACCATTGTCATCTCCAGTAGCAGAACCAGCTGAGGCGGAACCAGGGAATCCCGCAGGGATTCACGGTACGGGACGGTACGATACCCCTACCGATAGATCCAGCTACCGGTATGTCATACCGGTAGGCACACACGGAAATGAATTCAGTTTTCTCTTCTGCATAGATAGATGTAGAAAAGTGTAGATAGCGGTATGCAAACATGTACCGGTAGCAGGATGCCCCCCAATGAAGGTGATGCTGCAGCCATTGACCAGGTCGATTTGAGTGCTTTTTTGAAACAGAGAATTGAGAAAAGAGGTGAGAAGCAAGTTTGTGGCATGCTTTTCCAAATTACGTACAACTGAAACACCACAAGAGGCTTGAAAACCTACAACATGTGCATGTACTCAGCTTAACACCATACGGTACAGTACACTACTGACATTCGATCAACCCTTGCCTCCTCCTACTCCCTTGATCACAACTTGGATTGATGACGATGTTCCTCATCCTTGTAGGTGTTCAACCTGAAGCTTGGTGTACATGTAGCTGCTTTCCCAAGTGTCATTCATTCACGCGGATTTGTTTGAACCCATGCCAGTTTGTGGCCAGCAGTGATGGTCCTTGTGAAAACCAAGAAGGGTACACCCATTGTTTTGTTACCTAGACGACAATACGAGTTTCGTTATTTGTAGAGGGTGCGTCAATATTTTCTTGCAATGATAACTGGTATTAATAATAATAGTTACAAACATTTAAATGATTATAATCGTTTGGAACACAACACACCAAAGCGGATACAACTAACTGGTCGATTTCTTCATCCTCAACAACAGAGACAAACAAACCCTCGTCACAAGGCGGTTCCCCACCCACTTGCTTCCTCTTCACTCACTTAGCAGTTAGCAAAAGCGTTACAGTATTAGCCACATGGCCACCACTCCCAATAGTGACGCCCAGAAATAATTTGAAATTGTCGCGGCGCTATTGTCCTCTTCCGTGGGGCTGGGAGTGGCCGCATCCGTCTCCAAGGGAACGTCCGTGGCATTATTTTTCGAGCTCGCATCAGATGTTGGAGCATTGGCCTCCAATTCTTCGGATCCTTCACATCCACAGGTAGTAAATGCTTCTGCCTGAACCAAGGAACATTGTTCAATGGAAAGACTTCCCAGCAAAGCTTCATTGGCGATTTGTTGACACGTCTTGACGCCGACTCCATTAATTGTCAGTGTAGCCTCGGGATTTCGAATTTTGGTATCATCCTCCACACTACCTCCACAAATTTGACAGAAGGGTTCTTCGGCATCAGGACATCCACAGACATATCCAGGTTTCATGGCATCGGAGCAGCCATTGGAAGGCATTTCACTGCTCTTGACAAAGAGCTTCTCGTCGCACGTCTTTTCGGTGCCAGGTATCGTTTTGAATTTGTTGGGGATATTGACAAACGAGTCTTTGCACATGGGACAATAAAATTCCTCCGGATAACGGGGACATCCACAGTACCGATATGCCACCAACTGCAAGTTTAAGCAATCATCCGAGTCCAATTCCACGTCGTTGAGAAACTCGCCGCAAGTGACGCCATCAGCAGCACCACCAATGGTATTATTCAAATTAGCCGCTGCATCTCCTCCATAGCATAGTGGACACTGCTGCTGAGCCGACACTATTGGCAGATAGAAGAAGAGATACGTAAACAACAAGGGTCGCAGCATGGTCAAATTAGGTTGCTGTATTCAAAACAAATAAATAATTCGCAAGTGATGTGATGATGATGGTGGTGGCGGCAAACACTGAACGGCATGAACACTCGTCGCGGGGAGTAAATGCTCTTTGGAAAATGTTGGAGTCGAGCTCCTCCCTCGCTCGCGTCGCCGAGCGGCATATATGTCTTTCAGAAGCAAAACGCCAAGCCAGAGGAGCAACGGTCAAAAACCCGGCCCGTGCACCTGGACCGGTACTCATCCACATACAGTGGAAGAATCTTCAATCTTACAACCGAAGTGGTACCATCTCACATTTCTCACGGGAAAGTGGAACGACTGCCAAAGACAACGAAGAGTACGAGTACCATAGATCATAGATAGTAGGTGGTACCAGTACTACCGGTACCAGCAAGCTATCCCTGTGAACAAATTCCGGACAAAATGATCTTGGAACGGTCAACTCTCGGGTCCAGCTGCATGCTTTGAATCTTGCAATCTCTGTAGACTCACTAGCACCAGACATTGATGGAGCTTTTTGTTTGGGATGATGCTATTGCTCCTAGGAGTGGGCATTCCCATCCCATCTGTACTCGACAAAAGCCAATCGTACCGGTACCGGTAGCTGGTGAAGATTGATGCCCCCACGGGAAGGTCAAGACACAAGATCGTGCCGCAAAATACCAAAATACCGTACCTTCTGCATGTTTTCGCAGACCGCCTAGCTAGCAAGTTACTTCTTCTGTGTCCCCCTGCGTTTCTCGTTGTGCTCTTCAGCTACGGTAGCTAGATAAATACCCTTTCATCCATTGCGGTACGCAGCCATGACCAAGGCTGGCAACTAAAATAATCTAGCTAGATATGGTATAGTCGACATCGTACCAATGGATCGGTTGAAATTGGCACCCGCACCTGCAATCGACTGGTGGCAGTCTGCTCCCTTTAATGACGTCATCTGCAGGATCTTTCTCCCTGCCGCCAACCATTGGGAAAGATATTTTGGCCGATGGACACGGCTTCCTGCAAAAGAGTGCATAGACGGATACCCTTCGAATTCCATTGCTCTCTCCAAAAAACTGGATTGGTCTTATAAAATAATAGCATGACCATGAGATCCACTCTCCGTCACGTCCTGTTCCTTCTCCTATGGACAGCTACAACAGTTTTGTCGGACGGAAGTGACTCGGCCCAAGGCGAAGTAGAAGTAGTAGTGTCATTTGAGGTGAAATTATTCAATTCTGCTGCTGAAGACCGCAATGAGAATTGTGCCGAGTGGGCAGAAGAAGGAGAATGCAAGGCCAATCCAGGCTTTATGCTGGAAAACTGTGGAAAATCGTGTGGAGAACAAAGCAGAGTGGAAGTAATTGTGTACCAGGGAGAAGATGCGGCAGCGGGAGCCTTTCGATTTGCCGAAGAAGCTGGCATTGCGGACTCTGAGAAGGTGTTGGAGGTAGCCCAAAAATTGCAAGAGGAATTATCCAGATCTGCACCGGACTACAAACCACCTGACGAACTGATTAAGTGTGGAAAGAGAGTTTGCTCTGCCGGGAAATTGTGGAAACGAGCCGAAGAATGGAAAAAGATGGATGCCCACGACAGCGCTGGAGCAGATCTCCTTCGAGCCTTGCTTAAAACTGGGATAGAGGTGGACTTTATTGAACGCTGCACAAAATCATTGCAGTGGGCGTTTGAAGGTGTCAAGAGACAACGACAAAGAGAAGAAAGAGAAGCCATAGAAGAAGCCAAATTAGAGAAACGGAGAGAAGAAGAGAGAGCAGCCATGGAAGAAGCAATGAAGAGAAAAGAAGAGTATGAAGCCAACTTTGTCAAATTTGGGCAGCAACTCCAACAGTCATTGACGCAAACAAAATCATCCAGAGAAGCAAATATTGCTCCAAATGGGGAGCAAATTGACAGTAATGTTGATGAACTCATTGCCGCTGTCAAGGAAACATTTGTTCAGGAGGGTCCTCAGGGCGGCAATTGGAATGAAACCCTTCAACTCATCAAAAAAATTCCCATGTCGGACAAGAGCGTTGATGTATTCCTCATTGAAGCTAGATGTCATGAAATGTTGGGAAACCACAAATTTGCCCTCTCTGCTGCTGGACGATTGATTTCAAAGGCTACCTCTTACGATCCTTGGATCAATGACAGTCCCAGAATGATTGCAGCGACATTGGGGGCCAATGCTGCCATGCAACTGGGACTCTCTGATAATGCATTATCCTTTTACCAGACGGTGCTTAAATTCGATCCGGAACAAGACCGAGCAAGGAAACAGTACAGAGGACTGAAGAAAGTCGTGAAACTAATGGCAAAAGCGGAAGAGCAGGTGAGTGATAGAAAATCGAGCAGCAACCATGCACCTTTCTGCTGGCTGCAATGCATGCGCCGACGGCTGCTAACCTACCATACCTTTATTGATTGCCTGCTCCCATCGTGCTGTACAGATTAAGAAAGGCTACAACAAAAAGGCCTCAGAGCATGTTAATGATTGCCTTTCGGCAATGAGAGGATTGGACGTAGATTCTCCACTCTTTCGCAGCAAAATACAACTGCAGCAATGCACCATTTTAAGTGCCATGAACAAGCACGAGGAGGCGCTAAGTCATTGCGACTCGGCTGTGGAACTACGGTAAGAACAGAAACAATCAGCACCACTGTGTCATTCCACATTTATTTGCTCATCCAGCTGATGCAATGGTGCGTTCTTCCATTTTTAAATCCATGCAGGGAAGGAAACGAGATGGTATCCGCGGCCTCTCGAAAGGAAGCGCACTTAGCCCGAGCCGAAGCGTTGGTATTGGATATGGACTACGACGAAGCGGTTCAGGATTATAGGGCGGCTTTTGAGCTCACCGCAGACGATGATGAAACGAAACGTGAGCTGCATCACAAACTACAATCCACCATGCGGGAGCAGGAACTATGGAATGGTGGACAAAAGGACGGTCGGTACAATGAACACACCGGCTACCCTGATGGAAGGCCACCTCAGCGAGATCATGCCAAGATCTTACAGCTTCCCATTGACCTAGAGGAACGTGAGAAGGATGTGAAATGTTCATGGTTGCGTAAACAGTTCAAAAAGCTTGTGAGGAAGTTCCATCCCGATAAGTACAAGGGAAACAAAAAGAGAGCTGCGAGAAAGTTCAAAGAAGTGAAAGAAGCAAAGGAAATCATGTCGAGTTCCTGGGGGTGCAAGAACTAGATTAGACCTACAACATCTACAACTTCATGGCCAATCTGGCGTGATAGTTTATGGGCAAGAAAAAAGAACTCCATGGCGGTGGTTGAAACAGAGTGTTGCCCAACTTGTAGTTAGACCCACTGTAGTTAGAAGGATGATCACTACTCCTTCATTCTCTTGCTAAGCTTTACCTACTAGCGTGGATTTGAAGCGAAGGGAAGCTACCTGTGGACCCACAGCTCGCTTTTTGTCTCACCAACACAAAACAGATTGGAGTTGGGCTGCAGTATCTTAAGTTGTAAAAATGTCGCAGGAACTAGATGGATACTCGTACCAGGTATTGACTTCCTGGCGCTGGAGTCATGAGATAAGAAAATGCAGGTCACTATTGCCCTACCAATCGCTTCCCATATCTTCCCTCTTCAGACTGCCTTTGTCATTCCTCTTGATACGGACTACATTAGGATGGCGGGTACCCACAGAGACGGGACATGAGATGCGATTGTTTTCATTCATACGGAGTAGATGCCGCAACCACTTGGCGGCCTGTTCACAAACCACGACGCTTCGATGCCGACCACTTTCACTTGCCACGTACACCTTCATTTGCAGAGGCGACACATAGCCATGTCCACCCTCATGGATTGCCTCCACAAGCGCTTCAAAGGTTTGTTCCTTGACCTTGTTGGCCATATCCCGAACCGCCGGTTCACCGAGAAGCGATCGTTGTACAAAGCCAGAAACACCATCACGCCATTCCATGTAGTGCGGTACAGTCGGCAAGTCACGACAATCAAAGACGGGCAAAGGCTGTGCATGATGCCAACCATTCCGAATCGCTCCCGGTGCACCATTCGTGTATCCAAAGGATACAAATTCGACGTGGATGGGTGCTTTGCCCTTTCGTCCCAGCTGGTTGTTACCGTTGTTGGTTGGAGTTGCTGCTGCGTCTACAGTTTCTGGCTGTTGATTTTCTTCTGTTGCGACCGGGTTGGCCGGTTGTGCTTCAACCTGCTGAGGTTGCATAGACTGCCATTCAGGATCTTCTTCTCCATAGTCTGCCAAGAGCTCTGACAAGGGTTTTTGGCAGCGAGATTTGAAGTCATCCAACGTTGTCACTTCCTCCGATGCATTGTCATTGCTCGTTGCTGCATCCCTACTAGTAGTATCTTGCTCTTGACTGGAGCTGATTGTCGTGGTTTCTTGATCCATGACGGGTGCCAGCATGGACATGACAGCCAAGGAAGCCAGCGCCGTGTTAAGGACAGTGTCTTGATTTCCCGTGGCACACGCTGTATTCATTTCGCCTGAAATAATTCCAGATACTGCATCAGTTGGATCTGTAGTGTTGTCAGTATCATTTGGGGGAGGAACCATTGTGGTGCTGGTAGGTGACACATCCCGCTGATTATGTTGTCGGGGCTTGGACCAGGAAGAAACTCCAAAAGACGGACCCTTGCTAATATTTCCAAAAGAAGAACCCTTGCTTTTATTTTTATTGCCTTGAAAGCCTCTGTTGCCTTGAGGTCCTTTGTTGCCTTGATTCTTTTTGGGTTTTCTTTCTCGTTGAGCCACCAGAGTCTTTCCCTGGCAAGAACATTGATTCAAGGCAGAAATCACGGCATCAATATCTTTATTGGAGTGGCATGAGATAAAGGCATGACCACCCGATTTTTTATTGGCGTGAACCACCCCATCTACTTGCAGACCAGCCGCGTCTTGAATGATCGTTCGAAGATCTGCCTCCAACCCGTCCTGACTGGCTGGAAGGTTTCCCACGTATACACGAGGCAGATTCTTGGCATCAGAGGATCGCTTCTTGGACTTGGGGGCCTGAAATTCGTCTGATGCTGATACTGTGGTCATCATCTTGTTTTGGTTGTTTCTATAGCTACAGGTAGGAAGCCCGAGGTGGAGGTAACGATAGAGAGAAAGATGGTGGTGGGACAAAAGAAAAGTGAGCGCTTTGAGTGGCTGTGGGAAGGTTGTTTTTGAGACAGCAAAGCTGTTTGGAGTCTTTGGCTTGATTTGACCCCTAAAGATTTGTTAAATGAATACATGTAAATGACGGTTGCTGTTGCCCTTGCCTTTAATTCCCTGGGGTACGGAAGCTGATCGTAGAATGCTAAATCTTCTGATACAGTACCTTTTGGTTCACGCACCGCCAATCAACAAACTCCTCACTCACCCACAAGAATGTGCCGACTACAGCTGCATAGACATGCATCAAATAATGCGAACTGAACACTTCTCTACTTGCTCTAGCTAGAGTAGTCTACCGGTAGCTCGCTGCCTGGTACCAGGTACTTGACGAAAAAACTAGAGCTTGCTGTTGCTACCGAATAGTTCGTCATTCTGCTCCAACCATTCTTGTAAACATGGAACAGGTACGCTTTGGAACGCATTGAATTACTGTAGCTTGAACTGAAGGGCAGCTACTTTATTAAAACGCTAGCTAGAAGGGATTGAGCAACAAGTTGGCAGTGCAGCATTGCTTCTGTAACTTCTGATTTGATTTGATTTGATTTGCTACCTGGTACCTGAGATGAATTGATTTGCTACCGTACCCGGATACAATCTTCATTGTGTTTGGGGGGCCGGGAGGGGGGGGTATTCTGCTGGCCACCTGCTATGTCATACAGTACGTAGCGCGTATAAGGATCCCAGTAGGGTCTTTTTGAATCTTACCAGTGCAATCAGACCTACATTATCTTATCCATGAGGGAGAGGAGTAGACCGAGCAACGAGGAAAAAACACAAGAAGCGCACAAACAGCAAGATCGGAGATGTTGTTTGCTGTGTTGCGGCTTGAGTCATCCAACTGAACTGTACCGTACCCGAGCATCCAAGGTAACGAACGATCAAGAAGATGGACGGATACGGCAACTACGATCCGAATTACTACCCCAACGATGGCGAAGATCCATTGCCAGCCGACGCCCCGACAGGAGGAGGAGGCAACGATCCCAACGATGACTTTGATCCTTTCGAATTGCTTCAGTCCCCCTTATTCGATAACAACAAAGGGGGTCACAGTCGCGCGGCCAGTACCGTTGATGTAGAAGACGATGGTGGTGAAGGGAATGACTATGGTTACTCGTCACAGCAAAAACAACAACAGCAGCAGCAACAAGGCATGCCTCCCGCCGCGGCGGTAACACCCGGATCGTCTGCGTCGTCTGCTTCCTCCCCCCCTTTTTCGGGGGTTCCCCAAAATAACTATGGCGCGCAGGCGTCGTCGCTAGGAAGTGGAATGAACCCAGGTTACCAATTTGGGGGTGGCGGCGGCGGTATGGGACAAGGACAGCAGCAGCAGGCGCCCATGGGCAACTTGTCGAATCAGGGAGGAATGGATGGCAGTGGTCGTCGTTCGGCGGGAGGAGGAGGAGGAGGCATGTCGCCAAACATGTCCGCCATGAACGGTGGAATGGCGGCGATGAACATGAATGGAATGAACCCAATGGGAGCAGGAGGCAACGCCAATTTTGCAGGTATGCAAGGAAACAACATGCCGCAGCAGATGCAAGGAATGAACAACATGAATGCAGCAGCTCTACGGCAAATGTCGCAGATGCAAGGAATGAACATGCAACAAGCCATGCAGCAGCAAAATATGATGCAAGGAAACCCCATGCAACAGCAAGCAGCAGCCAATGGAATGATGGGAAACCCAATGCAAGCAGCTGCCATGATGAATGCCATGCAGCCAAGAATGGGAGGAGCTGGTCAGTTCAACAATCCCAACATGCAAGGGCAAATGGCCATGCAAAACATGGGCATGAACGGAATGCAAGTTGGGCGCAATGGATCTCTCAATACGGCTCTTCAAAGTATGAATCCCGGTCAGCAAGGCGGCGGTGGTCCTGCTGCCTTTCATCAGTCCATGTCGGCGATTCAAGGACCCTCTTTCCAGGGTGGTGGTGGTGGCGTAGGAGTCAACATGGACCGAGCGGGATCCCTGCCGACATCACCCAATCCCACGCCCTCGGTGGCACAGCTGAGTGCATCGGTCCAAATGCGAAACTCATCGTCGCGGTCGGGCGGAAGAGTCAGAGGACCCACGCCCAAAGTCGACGCCAATGGCAAAATCATTGCCAACACACCCTCGGATCCAGGAATCAACGAAGCCATGGAGAAACTATGCGAAAGCATGAGACGATCCGCCATGAGTCGGAACCTCGTCAAACAGCTATCGGGACGATCCGTACAACGGCAAGGCTCTTCGCGAACACTGTCGAGATCCAATTCATCGGGTACGGGCATGCGAAAACATCTGGCGAGCCACGGACGATCCATGTCAGGGAACCTTGGAGGAATGGGGGGTGATGGAAGTGGCCGTGATACACCGACTCGGACCGTTCCTATTCGACGACTGTCCGGGGCCAAACATCGACTCATAGGACGAGCGGCGCCCGGAAACAGAGGCGCATTTCGTCAAAATTCCATGGGTTCTCAAGGAAGTGTGGGCGGCAATGGAGCCAGGACGTTCCTGCAGCTAGATGATCAATCGCTGGGTGCTCTGTAAGAAGAAGAATGCCCCCCTTTTTTCATTTCCAGTCCAGTTAGTTGCAGCGAAGAATGAATACACAAAAACAGACACGGCAGATGCTGGATGGATTGAGCAGCAACAGCTAGACCATACTTGATTAGAAACGAAGGGACGTGTAAAAAATGATGGTACAGTATTGGATTGGACTGCATGCAGGCATACAAAAGAATAGTAGACATTAGGAGGTCTTGAAAAGCTACTCTCTTGTTGCATGCTTTGCAAATGCCAATGCTGGGAAAAACTAATAGGCAACAAGTCACTCTCTCAAATCATCCGAAATCGTAGAGCAAGAGCTTGTCACCCCCAACAAACAAACTGGTCCACCAAATATACCTTCCCGCCCATTTCATAGAACCAACACCTTTCATAGAGTGCCAACCGACTTGGTCTCTTGATGCATTGATGTGATAACGGTAAGCAGACGTTCCATGTTGTGTTTCTTTGTCATGATTTCAGTGATTTCATTCACAGAGAATCCCTGAACATCTTCTCCGTCGATTGCGACTGTGGACAGGCAAGATAAGATCTCAGAGAGTCAGCTACCTTCCATTTATTTCTTTGCACTCCAAACCAACGCAAAACAGAAAATCATGGGAACTTACCAAGCTTGTCTCCCGGTGACAGCATCCCCTTCAAACTGCTGTCTGGTCGGACTTCAGAAACTACAGTGCCTCTCCCATCGTGTCGATTGGCAAGAATGACTCCCAGCTTTCCTGGTGGAACCTCCACGATTACACGCCGTTTGCGAATAATCTTGTTTCCGGTGTGGGTCAGCTTGGAGGAACGCGTCGAGCGCGTCTTGGCACCAACACTAGACAGCGTGATGGAGGATGCGGTGACCTGATCCGTCTCTGTCTGAAGGGCTGCAAGCTGCATCTCCAACCGATTTAGATCGTGCTCCAAAGAATGGCGGGGCTCCAACGGCTTGTCTGCATCACCACTCTTGCGTTCAAAAGCAGAGGAACCCCCATAGCTGGCAACACTTGCCGCCGCACTTCTGATCCGTCCATCCCCTCTCCCCCTGTACTTGCTGCCAGATGGCACATTGTAGGAGCGATTCGATTTGTGGGAACGATGCGAGTGATGAGAGCTTCTGGATCTGTGAGACTTTCCAGACCTGTGGGAACGTCCACTCAGGGACTCCATGTCCGCCGTCACCGATCTAGGCCCCAGCGCTTTCTCTACTGTCTCGAAGAGCCACGGGTTGGACATCCCGGTTGAGCTGGAAGACACGGAACGAATCTCTACGAGGGCGTCTGCCTCCTTTCGCGGTTGGACTCCCAGAATGCCTGTTCCATCATCAGCTGCTGGAGAGCTGAGCTCCGTCGAAGCAGGGTGGATCGCATCATCTTCACGCGGTGATGCCAACTTCTCCTGGAGCCGTCCTGCGTTGCTCTGCTTGGGAGTTGGGGACGCTTCCTTCGTTTCACCGTCCTCGATTGGAATGAAACGACGGAAACCAGCTGCTGTTACTGTTGCCGAAGCTCCCAGGAATTGGTTGCGGACCGGCCTTGTTTCCGAGCTGTCACCGCTCTCCTGATCATCTCTGGGTGCTATTTTGGATTCTTCCTCGTCTGGCTGCTTTGGTCTCGGTTCTTCAGGTAACTTCCAGGAAGCCCACGAGGCCGGCGATGCGGACCTCTCAAGTTGCTGATTATCGGCCAAGAGATCGATCGGAAACGACACTTTCCCCTCCTCGCGATTGCCGCTTTCGAAATCAGCAAAAAAGATATCGTCGGACTTCTCGTCGTCGCGTGTCTCGCATTCAATCTCTCGCTTTTCCTCTTCGTTCGGCGTTGCCGTCGACGAAGACAGCTCAGATTTGTGCTCCTCCGGTGGAGATCGGAAGCCAAACATGAACAGATTCTCGGCCTTCTTGGTAAGACTTGATGTCGAGGATGCTACTGACGGTTCGACATCGGCTTCACTGCGAAAACTTGAATTGCCTCCACTAGGCGGCTGCTCCGCCCCGAGCTTGAGGTGGTTGAGAAGGTTCTTATCGCTGCTATCAAAGAGAGAGAAATGCGATGACTCTGTCTCTCTCCTGTCCTTGGAACTCTTTCCTTGCGTTGCAAGTTTTGAGTTTTCAATCACAACCAGTTTCTTCTTCTTCCTTGGCACTACAACATCATTCGGTGATACAACCGTGAATGGATCGGTTCCGAACAAGTCTTCCTCCTGGCTTGAGCTTTCAACAGCATCTATATCAACCGGACCTCGGTTGATGTTGGTTGGAGACAACGATGAAGATGCGAAGCTTGACGAGAGAATTGAGCTCTGGACAGCTCCACTCTCCAAACTGGTTGTGTCACTTTCAAAGTCTTGAATGGGGAACACGATACTATCTTCTTCGTCTGGCAGCAGAGCAGGGGCGACAATATCAAAGGTTAGACAAACAATCCACCCAAGGTTTCCCTTTGCTTGTTAATCCCAATGCTGCAAGCACACTCAAACTTACAAGGCATAATGGACGGCGGAAGCATTACCGAGTTTGACGATGCTTCAAAGAAGGATCCGCCAATGCTTTCCTTCGCGGTCTCATCCGCTGGATCCTGGCTCGGAGGGGCTGGCACTGACTGGTGCGATGTATACAATGAGTTGTCGTCGAAGCTGTTGAGGATTCGGCCGTTCTCTTGTGGCCCGCTATCCTGATTGCCTTCCTTCTTGTTTTTGTTCAATGACTCTTGGTGCTGCTGCTGTTGTTGCCGACGCCTCGCCCCTCCGCCAGCTGTCTGATCTCCGAGTGTAGTATTGGCCAACGAACGGTTGTCATCGTCCAGCTGAACCATGTTTGGCACAGTCCCAACGTTGGGTACACTGTCATCATTGTCATCCATTAGGGGACTAAGGTTTCTACGGAGCCATGACAAACTCGCACCGTCGGCTTTGCGTTTGTCATCCTCCTCCGTTGCTCTGTACATGTACCACAGGTAAAACAAACAACAGGCGGCAATCAAAATCATGAGGGTCCCCGCGACAATGACAGCTATGGTCACAGGATCCATGGATGCATTGCTGTCAGGGTCCTTATCAGTGCCATGAAGCAAGGGCGCTGGAGTGAACGCTGAGGGCATTTCGTCATTGGATGGATGTTCAGTTGGTGGCAAGGTCGTTGGACTCGGTGTTATTTCGACTGGTGGCGAAGTGGGGGGGTCCGTTCTGAAGATTGTTGGCCTCAGTGTAGGCGTTTGCGACGGATCTGCAGTCGGGGCAACCGACGGAGTGCCTGTAGGCATGGGACTTGGTCTGGGCGTGGGAATGGGCGTCGGATGTTTGGTAAGAGGCCCTTCGACTACTTCAACGTTTTGAACTGTTGCAAACATGGTGTGATCTCGAAGGAGAGAACGGAATCTGACTCGACCACCTGATCCCCTGTTGAAGCCACTCTCCACCATCGAAGTCACACCTGCCAAAGGTAGCGTGCGATTTGCAGTAACATAGACCACCTGCTCAACTGTCACACCATAAGAGTAGAGCTGGCCTGAGGAATCCATGTCGGAGTCTAGAGTCCTCGCAGAGTCGACAATTGTACATTGGTAGTCTGGCTGGCTGAACAGGCCCAGTATCCGTGTTTCAATCGACAGTCCGTTCAATTCTGCGATTTGTTGGACCTGATTGCCACCCGCCTAGGAAGATCACAAAGCATACATGTGAGATAGATGGCTGAAGACTCAGCAAGAACGCGACAAAGAAGATATCCTACCTGGAGATTCACCGCACTGCAAAAGTATTTCACAGTATCACTGTTGCGATCTGCGAAGGCAGCTGCAAATGCATCGTTGGCATAGTCAAGAGACAGATGGAGCAACACGTTGTACTCGGTTGTCGTGAGTTGCAGCTTTCGTTGTCTGGGCTGTCTCAAGTATGAAGCACTACTGTCGGCTTTGCTTGGCACTGCTGCAAGAAACAAAAGCACCAACACCAACGGGATGAGGGGCCATCGTCGATTCGTCTCTCTCGATGGCGACATCATGGGATCAGCCAAGGAACGATGCCTGTTGCACCAACGTCAAGGGTACGTTCTTCTGCTGCTTGACTTTTGAAGAGGAAATATCAAATCTGCACAATTCAAATGGTCGACAGTCCAGTAGAGGTGTAGTCGCAACTAGAAAGTATTAATAGCGGAAGCTGCGGTACGGATCTTCCACGATTTCGTTTCGATTGCTTCATTCATGTGTGTTGTGTGTGAGTCGACACGAGTGGGAGTTGTTTTCAATGCGCGCGGGACAAAAAGCTAACACGGACGACTTGGACGTTGGCTTCCACGGCAGCTTTCTTCATGCTTGACTTGTTGCTGTCTTTGCCAAGACGACTACTATTAGACTAGTTACAGTCTAGCCGGATCTTGTATGCCGTTCCTGATGAGGTAGACACGACCGTACCGGCAGGGTGTCCATTTGAACTTCCGACAGAAGGATGGTACCGCGCCTGCAGTGCATTGCTCGTAGAAAGAAGCAAAAGTAACAACGACCTAGCTAGATACAAGCAGCAAGTGGCTATATATTGTCTTAGCCTAGTAGCAGGCGCGTGCATCAATCCATCACACAAAGCCATTTATTGGCCATCAAATAAATCGTGATCTGTTGTTCTATCAGATCTATTAAACCGTAATCTCCGCCTTGGCAACAATATCGGCCACTGCCTGTCCCATTTCTGTGCACCCAACAAGCTTGCATCCATCTCCTTCTTGCTTTATGTCGGGTGTTCGGATCTTTTCATCCAAGACGGCTTCCACAGCTCGTTCAATGATGGCTGCTTCTTCCGGTCTATCGAGATCATACTTGAGCATCATGGCAGCACTGAGGATCATGGCCAAGGGGTTGGCCTTATCTTCTCCAGCAATATCGGGAGCGGATCCGTGACACGGTTCAAAGACACCTGGTCCGGATTCTCCAATGGAAGCCGATGGCAGCATACCCAAAGATCCGACCAACATGGACGCCTCGTCACTGAGAATATCCCCAAAGATGTTTCCACAAACGATCGTGTCGAATTGCTTGGGCCATCGGATCAATTGCATGGCGGCATTGTCGACATACATGTGGCTCAATTCCACTTCGGGAAAGTCCTTGGTGATGACATCTGTGACAACATCTCTCCACAGTTGACTGACGTCCAAAACATTGGCTTTATCGACACTGCACAGCTGTCCCTTACGTTTGCTGGCCACATCACCTGCCACTCGGGCAATTCGATCAATTTCACTTTCCGAATAAATCATATTGTTGTATCCAACTCGTTGGCCTTTTTTTCATCATTATGTAGAAAGATGATTTTGAAAAGACAGAACATGAGCAATTTCCACAAAAACAAAATGAGATTGATATCCAACCCAAAAATAGGTATATACCGCTATGCTCCTAACTCCTAACTCACCATCAATGACATCGATTCCCTTGGGAGTTCCGAAGTAGACATCCCCCGTGAGTTCTCGTACCACCATGACATCGACTCCTTCCACAACTTCTCGTTTGAGAGTAGATGCATCAATCAACTGCGAGAGGACCTTGGCCGGTCGTAGGTTGGCAAAGAGTCCCATTTCCTTTCTCATTTTCAAGAGTCCCGTTTCGGGACGAAGTTCCCGTGGATTCTTATCCCACTTGTATCCTCCAATGCACGCCAAGAGGACGGAATCGCTGGCGAGGCACTGATCGAGGGATTCTTGGGGAAAAGGATCATTCTTGGCATCAATGGCGGCTCCTCCAATCAATGCTTCCTTGAGTTCAATTTCAAAGCCCGACTTTTCGCAGATGACTGCCAGCACTTTTTTGGTCGCCTCGGTGATTTCCGGGCCAATTCCATCTCCCGGTAGCAACGTGACCAAGTACGAGTCCTTTTTGGAAACGGCCGAGACTGCAGATTGATGCCTATGATAAGAAGAAGATCGTGACACAAAGGCATTGGCGCCAAGGGCCAAAAAGCAAAAAGGAAGGAACTTCATGATCTGGTCGACGGCTGGTGGCTTGTTGTTACCGGTACGGAGAATTATTGTGGACAATAGCATAGCATGCAATAGATCGGGGTTCGTTCTCCATCCCCACCGCAAAAGCATCAAGGTCGGCAACTTTTGTTGGCCGTTCATTTTTTCGTCATGGAGTGACGTTTCATTCACGGGTTGTCACGCAGTCCCGTACCAAAGCCAGGTGGAAGCAAGAAACTTCAATGCGGTCCATGATCGAGCCGATTGCCGATTGTCTCGTGTCACTCGTTTTCTATTAGACTATCGAAGCTGCGAAGCTGCCTCTGTCTCTATTGGAAATAACGCAGCATTAGTAATAGACATCCTTCAGCCTGGAAGATGAAGCATTCAAGAAGATTCGTAGAGGCCCTGAAGATTGTGAGCTTGTTGGCTCTACAACCAGGGGTATCAGCTTGGGTCAACCCTCAAATACCCCAATGCCAATCACCACAATCCACAACATCCATAAACAATGAGAATGTTCCAGATTGGCTGCAGTTGGGACGTCAGTGGGTAGCTGCCGTATCCCTAGCGGGGGTCCTTATGCTGTCACCCAATCACGACAACAATGCCGTACATTCATTCTGGACACCCGCTCCTTGTTATGCCGCCGAGGAGGTTGCGCAATCAGACGAACAACAAGAACCTGGAACTGTCTTGAATGAAGTCTGGACACTGATCGACAAATACTTTATAGACAGGACTTTTGGAGGACAGGTAAGCGTAAAGCAGTGCAGTGTTCTGCTGGATGAATTGGTGTTCTCTGATTGCCAGACTTCCCTTCATTACAATGATTTGAATTGCCAACCTTTACGTACGTTTACATATTATGAAAAAAGGACTGGAGCAAGATATACGACAAGTACTCCCCCAAGGTAGCCAAGGTCATGGATGATGATGCCAAGACTATGAAGTATGTGACCGAAATGGTCTCATTGCTGGGAGACAAGTACTCGCGCATCTTGGATGTCAACCAATACGCTGCCATTCAAAAGTTTGACCTCATTGGGGTCGGCGTCACACTCATGCCCAATCAAAATAAGCAAATCATTGTCGGATCTCCTCCCATTCCCAAATCGGCTTCGGATCTGGCAGGCCTAAAGGTCGGAGATCGTGTCGTCGCCATCAATGGGGTACCCACCGAAGGACGTACCGCCTTTGACATTATTGATCAAATAGGAGAAAACCCCAATGCAGAGACAATCACCATGAGCGTTCTACGAGATGGCAAACAGGAAGATAAAACCATGGCTCGACAATTCTTGGAAGTCAAAGACCCAATTCGCTTCAAAATCAGTGAAACCAGAAGTGACGGAACCAAAGTAGGATTTGTGCGCATTCTTGAATTCAATGCATTGGTCAAAACCAAACTAGAAGATGCATTGGCAAAACTGGAAGCAGAAGGGGCCAATGCCTATGTCATTGACCTCAGAATGAACACTGGCGGGGCATTCCAAAGTGCTGTAGAGATTGCCTCTCTATTCATGCAGGACAAAGTCGCAACCTATGTGGTCGACAGCTCGGGGGCCGAAATCCCCTTTCAAACGACAAAGACACGCCTTGCCATTGATGCGCAGGATCCCGTGGCGGTATGGGTCGACGGGACGTCTGCGTCCGCCTCGGAAGTCTTTGCGGGAGCACTTCATGACAACTGTCGTGCAGCTATCATGGGCGACAAATCCTTTGGCAAGGGCTTAATTCAAGCCGTGTATGGATTGAAAAATGGGGCGGGTCTCGTCTTGACAGTGGCACGGTACGTAACGCCAGGAGGAAACGAAATCCAAGGGATTGGTATCACACCAGATATCAAGGGTGGAGTACCGCTGCCCATTCCAGGGATTAGTGCCGACACATCCAAAGTTGATTTCAAAGAAGTTGCCAAGAGATTAAGTCCGGAAATGTGCACCGTGCCCGACTTCAAGGGGCCTGCTGCTGCTGCTGCTGCTGCTGCGGCTGCCCAGGCGAGCTAGCTAAAGTGTATTCGTGACAAACCGCACGGGTGATGCATACACGAGTTGGATGTTATGTCTATGATGCCTAGCAAGTATTCTGTACTTCTTTGTTAGTTTGACAGTCTTGGTTGATATCGAATGAATGACCAACTAGTTGAAAGGACTCAAGTCAGTAAGCCATGACCAAGCAGACGTGACTCTTTTCCTCGCAATTTGAAGAACCTGTAGGCACGGGAAAAGGCCGCTGTTGCTGTTTGTAGGCGGCCCTGGAATGATACACTCAGGAGACGTTGCTACACAGTTATCATCCAGAGCCAATCCAACTTCCCACCAGCCTCCCTTGACAAAGTCACGGGCATCATCCGGCGTGCATGCTGTTTGTGGACTCTTCACAGTGTAGTATTCGTGTGCGGCATGGCAGGTCGCCGTCGCCGCATCCATGTATCCGCCCAGTCTTTGCATCATGTGGATGTTCGCGTACATAAATATGGGACCCAGCAACAAAACACATTCCCTCTCGGAATTGCTGCAGCTGTGACTCACACAAAAACGCACTGCGTTTACAAAAGCCTTGTTGGGTACTCCGCTGGTGTAGTGGACGTTCAGTTTGTTCGTGTATTGGCAAACGTGGTCAATAGACTTTCCATCCGCTGTGGGATTCTCCATGTGACGAAGAACGAATCCATCCATGCCCTCGTCGAGAAAGTTCTCCCCGAGATCGTAATCAGGCGTGTCCTTGTCATCGTTGATGTAGAACTCCATCGTTGCTCCGACGATATCAGAGAATCCCTCATTCAAGCCACCAGACTGATACTGGTAGACCAGGCCGCTTGAGTAAGCCGTGATACCTTTTTGAGAGGTCGAAAATCAAACAAAACATTAGGTTTGCGCCTGACCCTGAACAGTAGCCGCACGAGTCCAGAAGAAACTTACCATGGGAGAGCTCGTGAGCAGCCACGTCCATACTTGCGAGTGGGTTCCAGAACTTGCAATCGCAATCACCGAAATACACAGCATTGGTTTGAGTGGTAAAGAAAGCGTTGCAATAGTCTTCTCCGAAATGAGTAAATGCTGCTGTAGTTCGAGGATTCGCCCCAGAAACCCTCAAACCGCCCATGACTCCCAAATACTCCTGCAGGAATTTCATGGTTTCGGTAACTCCGTAGTGTACGTCACTACTAGCATCAGCGCAATCGGGAATGGCAAGGGCCTTGCAACCCGACTCTTCACTGTTGCAATCATAGGTTCCGGCGTAATGTAGAGCAGCAATAGTTCCAGGGCCAAGAACTTCGGTCCCATCGTCCTTGGTTCCTTTGAGACAAGTGGTAGTACGACCTTCATTGTTCAAATACAAGGAATTGATGGGACAGGAGGCCTCCTCGTTCGACCAAGTTACTGAGGATTGGTCTGCACACGAACCACACTTGCTCAGCAGGCGATTGTCTTGTTTTCGTTCAGCCTTCTTTCGAAGCTTGCGAATCTTTTCAAAGCGCCTTCTATTGATTTTGCTGCAGACTTGCAGGGGTTCCAAAGTGTGTGCGTTTAGAAATACGTCGTACAGTTCAATATCGGTTCCAGCACCGGTACTACTGGACACCCACACTTCTCCCTTGTACGACAACTTGTCTCCTTCTTCAAAGGAAGGAAAGATCACCACTTCCAAATCTCCAATCTTATCCTCGGGAGTTTCAAAGAATTCGCTCAAGGCAGTCCTTGCCTGTGCTACCGAATAAGAGGGATTGTACCCCGATTCGACGTCAATAAATGCATATGACTTGCCCTCGAGCCCGGAAATGGCGGAAAAGGGGATTCCGGAGAGCGGAACATCATCGAAACTTCCGTCACCGTAGGCTGTTTGATCGGATTCTCGACATGCTTCCACCGTGACCAGCACATCGGCCCCAAACACTGGTATTTTCTCTTTGGTTTCCTGCAATCGATGTCGCTGCAAGATGCATTCTGAAGTGGTCCCGAATTTCGTGACGGGTACAATGGTGTTGACTCCGTAGGATCGGCCTTCCCCTAGAGATCCAGTGGCAGTATTGAGGTCGTTCTTGGTAACATCCACGAGCCGACCCACATCGAGATTGAGGCCCACACATTGAGCGCCGTCACTTTCCTCGGTCGGAGGGACAATGGATGCATGTACTGCCGATGCCAGCAGCAGGATGTTGTAAAACTTCATTGTGGAAGATACAAGTATAGCTATCTATCTAGCTACCGGTAGCTAGATAGTGGCTAAGATATGGAAGAGACGTAGAATCGGAAGAATGACGATGTAATGATGATACCCTTTTACTGGAAGGAAGAATCGAACACTTTTTTGGAATGAGACACATTTATTTGTCAAGATTGCCCGCCGTTGGTCTCATCCATGCCATCCTTGGATGGATAAGTTCCACACGGTAAGATTTGGCAGGATACCTCGCCACCACGATGCTTACGGTAAAGGCAAATAGTGCAAGGAAACCTGGGTACCTAAGCGAGTGTCAACTCCATTCGCCACGCAAGAAGTTCGTACTTAGGCACTGGGACGTTGAATCGCTCCGCTATACCGTCCTGTGTATCGAGACATGGAGAATGACGGAGACTGCTGGCTCCTTTTCTCACTTCTTTGGGTGCTCCAAAGGTGATGGCGAGCCCAAAGGTGCGTTGGTGGCAGTTTTAATGTGAGCGCTTCGATGTCGACGTGCGTCTGTCCTTACTCTCAAACGCTAACCTTACTATTATGTTATCCCTAAGTTGTAGCCTTACGATATCCTTAAATTGTAACCTTATGGCGACAAGCTTCAGTCGGCTTCGATTGAGATCCTTGTCGGCTGATCGATTGCGAGGCCACAATGAAGATCGACAGCGGCATTTCAGCCAGACCATTGATCGTTTCTGTTCATTCGCCTATCTATATTGACTCTTTCTATTTGCCACGATGACAGTAGCAGTAGCATCCGGCATGGACGTGGATTCCAGCAACAGCGGCTTGGCCAAGTACTATTCGTCCAAGATTGTCGAGCTTCGAGAGGTGAGTCGAGACGGGACGCCGTTGCTTCTGTTGAATGAGTGAATTGATAGTGTCGACTGTGACCAACTCACCTGACCTGTAATTACTACGTCTTTTTGATCAGACGGTCCAAGAACGCGAATCGGATCTGCAGCGTTTGAAAGCTCGACGAAATGAACTGAACGCCAAAGTCCGAATGCTGCGCGAGGAATTGTACCATTTGCAAGAGCCCGGCAGCTACGTGGGTGAAGTCGTCAAAGCCATGGGGCAGAACAAGGTGCTGGTCAAAGTCCATCCCGAGGGAAAGTACGTGGTGGATCTGGACAATATCGATATCAACGAGATGCAGCCCAACACCCGAGTTGCCCTCCGCAATGACTCGTACACACTGCACAAGATTCTCCCCACCAAGGTGGATCCATTGGTCAGTCTCATGAAGGTAGAAGCTGTGCCAGACTCCACCTATGACATGATTGGAGGACTAGAGAAACAGGTCATGGAAATCAAGGAAGTCATTGAATTGCCCATCAAACATCCAGAGCTGTTCGAGTCGTTGGGAGTGGCTCAGCCCAAGGGAGTCCTGGTAAGCTATTCAATTGATTCATTACTGACATGCAAGCAATTGGCATTCAATCAATTGGCAAGATTTTTTAGTCTCTCACGATTTCTCTTTTTATTGTGTTCCTGATGATTTGTTGCAGCTCTATGGACCCCCAGGAACGGGCAAAACACTACTGGCCCGTGCCGTGGCCCATCACACCGATTGTACCTTTATTCGTGTCAGTGGAGCCGAATTGGTACAAAAGTACATTGGAGAGGGTAGTCGCATGGTCCGTGAGTTGTTTGTCATGGCGCGTGAAGCCGCTCCCAGTATCATTTTCATGGATGAAATTGATTCCATTGGGTCTTCTCGGGGCGGAGGTGAAGGCGGAGGCGGCGGTGGCGACTCGGAAGTCCAACGTACCATGTTGGAATTGCTCAATCAACTCGATGGCTTTGAACCCGCACAAAACATCAAGGTCATTATGGCCACCAATCGTATTGATATCTTGGATTCGGCGTTGCTACGACCCGGACGAATCGACCGAAAGATTGAATTCCCCAATCCAAATATCGAGAACCGAAAAGCCATTATGAAGATTCACTCGCGCAAGATGAACTTGCTCCGAAATATCGATCTCACGTCCATTGCGGAAAAAATGAATGCGGCCAGTGGAGCCGAGTGTAAGGCCGTCTGTACGGAAGCGGGTATGTTTGCGCTTCGAGAACGACGGGTGCACGTCACACAAGAGGACTTTGAAATGGCAGTGTCCAAGGTAATGAAGAAAGAGGGGGATTCCAATGTCAGTTTGCAACGATTGTGGAAGTAAAGCAATGGAATGCACAGCACAAAACATCTACCGAGTGTCGCAGCAAAGCATACTACCAACGAGCAATCTACAACAATTCTTTCTTACTAGAAGATTAAAAAAAATCCTACACAAGACTACCACTGTGCTGATGTTCCAAGTCTTCGTTGGAAGCTACGCTGTAGAACCTCTTTGGAAGTGGCGTTTGCCACCCTGTTTTTATTCTTTCATCTATCTGTTGTACAACAGCTGGTAGGTACCGGCAATGGCTGGCTGTAGCTCTACATGTACCAGTATCGTTCTTTCGGTTTCTTCTAGCTAGCTAGGGTTAGAATGATTCGATTCATCATTCCTTTGGATGCACATCAATCAAGCTGCTTTGACCAGAGCCACACCCAAGAGGATACAAAAGACCAGCTCGAGAAGGGCAGTCTTGCCAACATGAGAATTCAGAGCTTTCCCATCCGTGTTCCAAATGGCTTCAATCTCTTTGCGTGCTAGAGGCAATGACAAGAGTGGCAGCAGCCGGATGTATTTGATTTCCGGTTGTTGTTGTTGCTGGTCTTGTTGCAGTTGTTCATGAAGGGTGTAATCCAATAGCACCAGCAAATAGGAAGCCAGTGCCTGGAGCGTGTACTGTACCCGACAAAAGGTGCCACCGAGACGGACAGCCAATGTGCGTTTTCCAGCGTGGATATCGGTATGACGATCACGCAGATTGTTGACTACCAAGATGTTGGTTGCCATCAAGCCGACGGCAGTGGCGGCCAATGGCATGGTCGGTTTTTGTGGGTTTAGCAATAGGTAATGTAAGGCGTCGGCAACGGATTCACTGGGGTTGACCACAGTCCTGTGGTACAGGTACGGGATGGCGATGGTTGCCACACATCCAAAGTAGAGAAAGACAAAAATGTCTCCCAGACCAGAATATCCAATAGAGAAATCGCCCAAACCAATGTATCCCAGGGGATAAGGTCCACCAGTGTAAGCAAATGCATTGAAAATGGAGGAGATGACAATGCAGAGAAAGAGCCAATCAATCTTGTTATTCTTGCCGTGTTTTTTCAGTTCCCAGAGAAAGTACAAGCCAATGATCAAATTGCCCATTAAGACGGCAGTAGCTCCCATGGCTGTTTGTTGGGGTGTCAACCAACCCTTTTGTGTGGCCCGGGCCTGACCCACTCGAGCATCGGTATCTGCTCCCTTGACAAAGTCCGCATAGTCATTGTGGAGGTTTGTTCCCAGCTGCACAAAGATGCAAAACAACGTCCAGAGCGAAGTGATCTGAGTGGGAAAATGTCCGGTCTCGGAGAAGGCGACACAACTGCCGACGATACAAGGCGCAATCGCCGCTGTCAGCGTGTGGGGGCGTGCGGCCACCAGCCATACTTTCCACATTGGTGGTCGTTGAACCATCGATTTCTGTGAAATTGCCACCATTTTTGTATGTCTTGAAAGTGTTGTGGATTGACGCGTACGAAAGCTGTGGTTAAGAACGGTCTGTGTGTCTGTGTCTGTTGTAGATTATGGCTGCAGTTTTTGGAAGGATTGAATCATTCAAGGAGCAATGGAAGAGTCAATAGGAGCATCCCACCTGGGTCTCGTGGAGCTCGCTCACCTGGTAACTGAGCTTATCTACAGCTAGATGTCCTACAAACAGCGATGCATCTACAGGACACTGTTCAAATTGGGAGTGTAGTGTTACATCTATCAGTTTCAAAGAACTTGGTCACAAGTCTTCCATGACAAGGCAATTTTAGCAAAAGCCACCATACATTTTTTTAAATTTGACTGACGTACCCCTCCTGTTGGCGCTTTGAGTACCGTACCGTAAAACAATAAAAGTGACAGTCGAGCATGGAAGGGATTTCGAATCTTTTCCTTCAGGCGGTTTTCGCGCTCATTTCTCGTAAACGAAACAACTCGATCTCAGTGTTACAGTTTTTTTTTGCCTTTCGACCTTTTCTTAGTAGTATCAAGATGAAGATTTCTCTCTTCGTCCTTTGTGTTGTCGGCGTCGTTTGCGCCTCTTGTCACTGTGGCATCGTCCTCCCAGCTCCAGCCGTCCGCCACAACGCGACAAAGTGGGACGGCGGCGTCGCAGGCGTTTCCGCAAGCGCCGAGTCTTCAGCAGACGATGTGGAGATGTATTTGGAAGAGCTCCAGAGCTCTTGTCAGCGATCTGTCCGCCATGACGACGGCGCACAGGTTGGCGGTGTCGCGACGGCCGGCGGTGGTTTCGCGACGGTAGGTGGAATTGATTTCAACATGGGGACGGACTTGTTTCACGTTTCATTTTGCTCCTCACACAACTTCTGCTGGTGTCTACTAAAAAAGTTTTACGGTTGCGGCACAATCTTTTTGTGCGCTGTTTACGTTTTGGCATGCTTGGGAACCGCGGTTGGAAAGGACAAGCGTGTCCGTTGTCGTCGTCGTCGTCGTCGTCCGCGAGTGTCCCAGAGCTTGACAGTGCTGCTTCTGGTGGTCGTGTGGTCCACCTTCGCGGAAGCCGTGTTGTATGCCAACAGGCCCGTACCAAGAGAAGAGATGGGAAACCATCGTCTCGTTCGTGTTCTCCGATCGCCGGCAGAGAGCCAGCTGGCCGTCATGGCTACCTTGACGACCATGTGGCACGAGAGGGCCGATCAGTTGGGGGAAGCCGAAGAGTCGAGGAAGGCCGGACAGTCTATTGACGTCCAGCGCCCAACCTTGGGAGCGCTCACGGACAACCAGCAGGACGATGCCATCGCTATCCTCCTCGCAGGCAAAATCTCGGCCTTGGACTACTCGCTGAGTTCCATTGCTTTGACCGTTCAAACTTTCACATGCCTCAAAAAATACTACAGCGTTGAGAATGGTGTGTTGGTTCGCGGAGGACTCCGTCAAGCCCGGTCCACTCAGATTCATGGGATTGTCAATACAGCTCTTGCCAACCTCGGGGGAGCTGCAAGTCTCCGAGATCTCAGAAATGAGATCCACAGGATGGGCTACTCCATCAATAAACAGGTGATCGAAGCAGTCTTTGCCCCAGTCGAGAATCGGAGAGTAAGTCCAAGTTTGTCTCAATGAATCGTTTGTGGCTGGCTGCTTGGTGTACCTCAATGTACTATAAATTACTTGCTTCCTCTGCATTGCAGACTGCAGATCATGGAGCCTACACAACGCCTCGCCGAACTCGTCGTATCAAAGGCACCCCTCGAACGGCTGGAACGGCTCGAAAAATAAAATTCTCGACACCTGGAACGGCTAGAAAGGTAGCCATGCCTCGAACGGCTAGAAAGTTAGCAACACCCCGATCGGCAAAGTTAGCGACGGAAGAGAGACTGCGGGAGTATTCTTTTCTTCAAAAAGAGAGTGATTCGTTGTTGCGAAGAGACAAGGAGCTAGCCGCCGCCTATTGCGCAGCAACTGCTCGTTCAGCCAGCTGCATCGACAAGGTGACAGAAGCTACAGAGAGAGCTTTGGAAGCCGCTGGAGCTCGCGCAGAGAGAGCCAACAAAGACCGTGAAGAGAGAGCGGCGAAATTTCTCAAGGACCTTGCAGATGGCGGCGACAAGCGATCGAAAGAGCTTCGACAAAGGGCGGCTAAGTTAGGGTTGGAAAGCGAATCGTATGACTATGAAGACTACGACTCGTATCCGGACCCGCTACTTGAAGGGTATCCGTCAGATTATGATGATGATGATGATGAGTGGGAGGACGGCGAAGCTTCCCTCGATGGCGTCCCGAAAGCTGCAGCTTTTTCCCAGCCGTCGCCCATGGATCCGTATGAGGAGGAGGGGGGCACACCCTTTCCTGCGTGGGAGGACAACGAAGCTTCCGCAGCTGCAGCTGCAGTTTTCCCCCAGCCGTCGCCCATGGATCCGTACGCACGCCGCCTCCAGGAGGAGGAGGACGCAGCCGTTGCTGCGTGCTTCCGTAAACAAGAAGAAGAAGAAGAAGAAGACTTGAAGCCTGCAGCCAAGCCTGCAGCCAAGCCTGCAGCCAAGCCTGCAGCCAAGCCTGCAGCCAAGCCTGCAGCCAAGCTGGCAGCCAAGTCCACCCCCTCTTCTGTTCACCCGGATGCGTCCTCCCGTGAACAGCAACACGAAGAAGATGACGATTTCAAGCCGGCAGCCAAGCCGGCAGCGACCCCCTCTTCCCCTGCAGTTCAAAATCGCGATAGAGGCACCTGGCACCCTGATGGGTACGTCAGCTTCGAAAGCGACGACATGGTGGGCAAGTTGTCGCAAGAATCGGACGGGCAGGAAGAGGATCCTGAGCTCATTGCGGAGGAAAAGAAGGAGCACCGCTGCAACCGGTGCGGAGCAGTGCTCCTTGGCGATGAGGGCTGGTGTACCAAAGAAGTCACAAGAGACGGCAAAAAAGTGACCTGTGGTGGGTGTTGCTTGCACTTTTGTTTCTTCACCGGTGTTTCGTTTGCTCTCTCACCTCTTCTCTTCACTCTCTCTCGAACTCTCGAACTCTCTCGATTCACTTCAAAGGTGGGGTCCGGAAGGGGTGCTCCAGCGATCAGACCTGGAAAGGAGCCTTTCGAGGCATTGCAGACATGCATGACGCCACAAAGGAACGCTGCAAGGAGTGCCGCTGTATGAAGCCAATCGATGGAGACTGCGAGGTTTGTGAGAGTCTCAAAAGTACTGGTGCCACATTTGGAGGCACAATAACGGAAATTGGATTCATTTTTGGAGAGGGTGGAGTTGGCAGTGCCTCCTCTCCGTTTGGCGGCGATTTGACGATCCGCCATCCTCCATCTGCTCCTCCACACGGTGCCACATTCATCTTTGGAGAGGGTGGAGTTGGCAATGGCGATTCAGGCAGCGGCGGCGATAGTGACGATGACGATGATGACGAGGTCACCAAAGGAGCAGCCAGTGGTGGTGATGACATCACCCCCGACAACAACAATGGTTTGCGCCCCCAAGTGCTGCAGCAAGAACAAGCTGTGGAGATTCAAAACTTTGAGCAACTCAATGAAGGGGATATAGTCGAGATTGAAGTGTCGGAAGGTGTGTGGCGTCGAGCTGAAGTGAAACAGATCCGAGCGTCCCGGGGTGGACCTCAGGTTTGGGCTGCGTGGTGTGATGGAACCGGCGGCACACGTCTTACTGTAAAATCGAAAGTCCGACTTGTGGTGGTTGTGACCTTTCGCAATATTTCGCTGGTGCGTTGATCGGTGGTTGAAGTGGATGGTGTGTGGCGGCATTTGCGCGTGCAAATGCGGGCCGCTGGTCTCGGCGTGGTCTTTTGTACCGACTTGTTGGTGGAACCAAAGGCAGTGAGAATGGCAGTGAGGACATGTAGAGAAAGGGCTCCAACCCAGAATTGCAGTATTGAATTGAATCTACTTCCTCTTCCATCATCATCGTTCTACTACGTACACTTAGTTCACATTGTCCATAAATAGCGTGCCAACCTGCTACTAATAGTTAGAAGCACCACAGAACCGGGCCGAGCAAGGCCTATGTGCTCACTCGGGATCAAGGGAGTTGTCAGCGGCTCTTTCTAGTGGCAAAAGCCCCACCGTGTCAACCTGCTGTAGAGTGGAGTGGAGTCGATAGCTATAGTCGAGGTATTCATTCACTCCTCGGTGAATTAGCTCGCCTCGTGAACTTACGAAGTTTCCCATGAGCAGCATCTCAAATGGGTCGACTTACCCGTACATGTGCCGATATGCCTGTACGATTGTACGCGTGTTGATCGGCAGCCTCGGGACAGACTGAAGATTCTTTTTGTGTTGATTGTTCTATGACGAAGGGGATCTCAGCTGAACCGGAGCCTCGGGTCAATCCTTGTTTTCTTTGGCCCAGTCTTCATTGACCGACGAGCCAAAAGTTGCCACACTTTCAGACTGAACCTTTTGGCACGTTGGTGCTTTCATTTCTTCGCACAACGTCAAATAGGATACTAGATTTGCCGAGAACGTGCCTTGCCGATCAAACTTCATCCTGATCCGATGGATGTCCTTCTGTTTTTCCTGTTTTCGAGTTGCCTTCAGCGCAATTGCTTCTCGGAGAGGCTTGTCCCAGTCATCATCGTCAGATCTGAGGACAGTGGATTGAAGCAGTCCTTCTCTTTCCTCTTCCAGCGCTGCCGCTAGCTTTATCCGTCTGCTCGCCTTCCTTAGTTTGTGGAGGGAGCGGGGAACAGTGAATCGATTTCCCATCGCACTGGCTGATCGTACCGGTACTGTATGAGGAGAAACAAGCAACGATGATCCTAATCTCTTAGTTAAAGCATTCTTTACAAGGCACGGAATACAAAACTCGAATCAGATTTGTTCCTTCGCTATCAGCTGTCTCCGCAAACTAGGGTGCTACTCGGCGATGTACTAGTTCTCTCACCCCTGGTTGGCCGGTACTGGTACGGTACACAGTGTACCGAACCGCTGGAGCAGAACAGTTTGAATGTGCTTCCTTAGCATAGCTAGCACAAATAGCACAAAGTTAAACATGTGCAAGCGTATGAAACTTTTTTCGCAATCACCAAAACGACTCCCGTACCATTCTCTTCGCCTCCTCGGACACGGAACAGCATGACCTACGATTGAGTTGATCGCGTGTGACACCCCGTCTCACATTTTCTTGGCACTTTTAAACTTGGCACCGCGCTTCGCAGACAGGAGGATCCAAACTCAAGAAGGCTTGGAGGCAACAGCAAAGAGCCCTCCGGCCCTGGCGAAGCAAAAGAAGTCAAATGGAGTACTAGTACCTCTTCTGCCTTGCCTTTGGTCTTGGTTTTGTTGCCGGCTTCTTCAGAAGATTCTCATGATGCTAAACGAGCCCATACAGGCCTGCCGTGGTCTTGATGCTCTGGACACCCGCAGCCCTAAGTCCTGTCCGGTGTTCACCCCATACATGTAGGTGCGTTGACTGTTGACTGCTACCATAATGTAATTATTAACTAGTAATGTAAAAGGAGTTGACGCTGAATTATGACGATCGATCCCCATTATTCTTCATGTTCACAGCGAGCGAAGCGCCTCGTCGGTTTCTCTCGAGCGAAAAGGGATGATGCCGTACTCTGAAGCCAAACCGCGAGCCTGAAGATACGAGTACTATCAAAACGCACCCAATCCTCCGTCTGCGATGCTGAGGACTCTGTGCGACGAAGAACAAGCCGTCGATGAGTTGCTCGCGGTTAGATAAGTTATGGTGATCTTGGGAATGTGCAGTTTCCAGTCTGGCCATGCAGTGCGTAAGCAGGGTATTGGGGCGTCCATTGCGGGCTGCTGCTGTCGGGGCGGGATGCTTTGCTGTTGGCTGCTTTTGAAGTATAAGAGGCAGGTGCCCACTGAATACTGTACGACAGGACTAATGGTATCGGTAGCTGCTAGGCCAGCCAGTGAGTGGCAACAGATCGTGGCAGTTAGGCTCCACTTTCCTTGACTGCTGTGGCATGGTTTCAAGATCAAGCTGAACCAATGAAGCCCTCATTCACAGTTGGATGAAGGACGCCTGTTGTTGCAGTTGGCCTTTTCAAGGTGGTGATGAGGTCCATCCTGGTCAACCAAAGCTCTATGTGGGTGCTCTTGATGGCTGTTCACCTTGAGGCTTTGTTATGAGCTCTCCTTCGCCTCCAGAACCGTTTCAACTCGTGCTCATCTCCTCCAGTCTGGGATATCGTCGGCAAACCTTGAAAGCACAAAGTGCAACACACAGACTTAGTGGACCATGGCTAACCCTAGCCCTATATTCGTCCACTACGATTACGATGACTTCTTGTGTCATCTCATCATCTTGATGACTGCTCTCGTGTCAAAAAGATTTTCTGGTTTGTCTCCCGACGCTTTTAGACGGCATCTCCCTCCGGGATACCTCTTAGATCTAGCTCCACAAAGTCCACCCAAAGGAGGTGTTCCGTGATATCCGTCTGGTGGCTAGTAGGCCAACACGATACGAGAAAGTGATAACAGTCTCATAAAACTGAAATCCCAACAGATCGGAACGCAGCGTTTGCACGATAGATAAGAAATCCGTGGAATATACCCCTCGCACCAAGATGTACGGCAATCCTCCACCTACCGCTCCTCATGGCGGCGGCGCCCAACCCAAGAAATATGTCAAGGTTAATGGAGTGATGAAATTGAATCCGTTGAGTATATCGTTTGGTTATAAGGGCTGATGTTGTGCTTGGGCTGTTTGATCTAATTTTTGATTCCCATTTCTCAATCTGTAGTGACTACAAAAGGTGGAAGGAAGGGCAAGGGGTTGCTGCCACCACGGTCCCCCATGCTGACCAAGCGCTCCCAGTGGTGACCAACATGGAAGATCACGATGCGCTGAACCAGGCTTCGATTGCTGCGGGAGGTCCCGAAATTCCTCTTTCCGAGTCCACCAATGCCACCATTGAAATGATGCAGGAACCCGAAATTTCTGGCGAAGCTGGAATGTCTCCTGAAACCATGGTGGACGAACTGGGCGCCGTCTTGAACAAGTATGAGGTCCCCATGGGTCTCATGAATAAGCTTATGATGCTCAGTGAATTTGAGTACTTGGAATTCATGATTGACGATGTAAGAACAACACGAACAACCTGCCTGGAAGAATTCGCGCAATAAGCGCAATAAAGGCAACGGCCAGCTCAATCCTCTCTTTTCCCCATTTTCATACCACCCAGAGCGGATCCATGACCTTGCCATCTGATACAGTGGATCCTGCCACGGGAAAAACGCAGACTCGTTGGCAAGAAGCCAAAAAGCGTCTCAAGGAAATGATTGAAGTTTTGGCGTATGTCCCATTCAACCAAATTGTAATTTGTTTCCTCAATCGACCGGATCGCGTCCTCATCACGAGAAATGGCCGTGCACCACCGGTTCTATTGGCGGATTGCAACCAGCAGATTGATGCCCTCTTTAACAAGATGGCTTCCGGTTCCACGCCCTTTTTGGAACGGCTTCAGGAATCCTTTGCTCGTGGAGCCAATCGAAATGTTGCCCGCTATTTCTTTGGAGACGGTGTCCCCAATGGCGGAAATCCAGGTGGGTACAGAAAATTCTTTTGGGCTGGTGGTTCTATATGTGTTCAAAAATTCTCAACAATTAATTTGTTTTTGCTTGGCCATGGCAACCCTCAGCCAAAGCGGAGGTTGTCAAAATTCTTTGCACGCGCCAAAACCCGGAAGGCAATCCTATGACTTTCCTCTCTTGTACCAATGAGGATGCTCAAGTCGAGGTAAGGAGGTTAAAAAGTTTGTGATGTGCTCAGTTTTGTCTTCGGTCTTCTCACGATTCCACTCGCGCGCCAAACTCTACAGTGGATGAAAGATACGGAGGAATTGGCGCCTTATTGCTCGGAGTGTGATGACTTCAAGGATGAGGCGGACGAGGTGTTAAAAGATCAGGGAGTCGCCCTTCCCTACAGCTACGGTTTCTACTTGGTTAGTTGCTTGGTTGCGGCCATGAACCCAGACGATCTCGATGCCATGGACGAGTCTGTCCCCTTCACCAAAGGTACACTTGACAATCTTCTTGGAATTGAAAGCAACGAGGCCAGCTACAAGCACTACTTTGATTGCTTCATTCAAGCACAACAAAAGCGAACCATAGAAAATGATGACTATGGTCGTCCCAAAAAGACGGATCAATTGAAAAAAAGCCAGAACTGGCAAGCCCTCTACGGTGACTTTCTGCGGGCTCCGGAGGCGAAGATGATCCCTGCTGTCCAGCAATTCAAGCAGGCGTTGATGTCGTAAGATTTCCCTTGTCCCTTTCGTGCCCCTATTAGAATTGAAAACGATCGCGCCATTGTGTCCTGGTGGGTGTACTACGACCGTGGCGTGACAAATCCGTCTTTTCCGTCGGGTAGAATATTCGTGTGTTGCTTTAAATTATTTGATTAGTTGAACACTTCATTTGCAGATAAGCTCTTCCTTTAGTTATCGCAAGGGAGAGGCAAAGTCCACTGGTTTGAGGGAAGCATCCTTATTAAGCCCACGCAAAAGGATCCACCTGCCCCACCGACCTGCCCTGGTGGGGGTGGCGGTAGATTGCACGCAGAGATGAAATAATTTGAAGCCATACTCGTAGGCATATTAGGTGCAGCAGATAGTCGTGATTATAATTGGCGGCTCCTAGACTAGGTGGCCACCCATGTGGCAATGGTGGGCTCATCCTTTGTCAGGCAACCTCACCAATACCGGAGGCAAGTTAAACAACCAACAGGCAGGCACTGGGGTACTGGGGTTCCATATTTAAATATTAAAATATTGCTAAATTGGTAATAAGTACCGGTACCAGTAGTTGAGAAGACTTAAATACTGCAGGACGAATGACGATTCGAGTCGTGGATACATCAGAATCCTAATCAATTTTTGGAGCCACCCTAATCAATTTTTGGAGCCGCTCCAAAAATTGATTAGGGTGGCTCCAAAAATTGATTAGGATTCTGATTTATCCACGACTCGAATCGAATCGTCATCGTCATTCACTCATTCACTCCAAGGAAGATCCCTGCCGAATGCCAAAACAAGAAGATGACTTGCAAAAGCCAAGCCATGACCACGCCCTAAAACAAGCCCTCGGTAGCACCTATTTTTCTTTGAAAATAAATAATGGACATGTCTTCCTTATGAGCTTCCTCACTCCCGCTCCCGCAAGCAAGTGCCCATCAAACTTCCACGAGGAACAGGCGGAAAGTGCAGCATGCTCCTTCCTGCTGCCTTGTTCTTTGCAGCTTGTTTTGTGGCTGTAGCTTGCGTCACTGCCCTGTGAAAATAGCTATCCTTGTCCCAAAAGGATTAAATCTGGCCCCAGCCAGCTGCTCTCCCACCTGAAGACTTATCTAACCGGCAAAGACGTTCCTTCTCTGGGTGTATCTTTCTCTGGTCCAATGAAATCCATCGAATCTCCGATCAAAATGCAACAGCTTCGCGTTTTCGTTGAGTGGTGAGCAAGGAACGGCATTTTGGCATTTGCAATGCCATCCCTTCCCTTCCCAACCACCATAAATTTTACTTTCAAAGATTCTTCAAAGGTATGGTGAAGAAAAGAAAAAGAAGGAACCCATCAAGTGTTGTTGAAAATGACGATGCTTATCCTGCCTGACTAACTATATCCAATTTGCTTCCCGTCTCTCCGTTTCAGTCTATTTTCTTATCCCAAAACACATTTAATTTTCAACCATGTCGGAATCTTTGGCCGGAAAGCAAGTGAATGTCGCCATGATGACTGCCGGGGGTTTGGCTCCCTGTTTGAGTGCCAGCATTGCCCAATTGATCCACCACTGGGTTGCTGCCTACAAGGCCAAGGAGATCAGCGGATTGACCATCCGATTCTACAATGCTGGGTACAAGGGTCTCTTGACCGGAGACTCCTTTGTTCTTGATGAAGCTGACTGGGACGCCTGTGATGCTTTGAACTTTCTTGGAGGAAGTCCCATTGGAAACTCTCGTGTCAAGGTAAGCGGGTGATAATGCGTACTATGCCTCCGAGCCATTGCCAGAATATTGTGTTTTACTGATAATATCTTTTTTGGCACTCTTATTATTTTTTGGGTAGCTTACCAACGAGAAGGATTGCATCAAGCGTGGATACTGCAAGGACGGAGAATCCCCTTCTGAAGTGGCTGCCCAACAACTTCTGAAGGACAACGTAAGCGTTCTTCACACCATCGGAGGAGATGATACCAACACGCAGGCAGCCCATCTTTCCCAGTACATCCTGGAAAAGCACGGAGGAAAGGTCATTGTTGTTGGTATGCCCAAGACGGTAGGTTCCAAAAATGCCCCGCCCCTCTATTCCTCGTGAAGAAATGAGCATTTTCTCACCACAATTTTTCCTGCCACGAAAAAGATTGACAATGATGTTTACCCCATCAAGCAAACTTTTGGTGCCAAAACCGCTGCCTGCGAGGGAGCCAAGTTCTTTGCCAATGTGGTCAATGAGTCCACTGCCAACCCACGCATGCTTGTCCTGCACGAAGTCATGGGCCGCGACTCTGGATACTTGACATCTGCCACTGCGTTTGAATACCGCCAATTCTTGAAGCAACAAAAGTTCCCCGCCACTTCTTCGTTCCCCTTTTGCAGCCGAGCTGTCCGTGATGTCCATGCCATTTGGATCCCCGAGCTCAACTTTGACCTGCCCGCCGAGGGTGCCCGCCTCAAGAAGGTTATGGATGAATATGGTTGCGTCAATGTCTTCTTTGGAGAAGGAACTGGCGTCAAAGAAATTGTCAAGGACATGGAAGCCAATGGTGAAGAGGTTCCTCGGTAAGTTTTTCGCACAATGGGGAAACGATTTGCCGTTATAATTTGCTTGGATTAGTTCTCTCATTCTTGACTTTGTCTTTTACAACAACAGTGATGCCTTTGGCCACGTTTCCTTGGCCAAGATCAATCCTGGAGCCTACTTCTCCACCCACCTTGCCAAGTTGGTAGCTGCTGAGAAGACCATTGTGCAAAAGAGTGGCTACTTTGCCCGATCCGCCGCCGCCAACGAGTTTGACCGTGACTTGATCGATCGTTGCGCCAAGGAAGGTGTCAAGAGCGCCATTGCTGGTGTCAGCGGATGCATGGGAGAAGATGAAGACATGGAAAACACTCCCATCCGTGCCTTGGAGTTTGAACGTGTCAAGGGAGGAAAGCCTTTTGATGTTGCTCAGCCCTGGTTCCAAGAGATGCTCAAGGAGATTGGACAAGCCTAAACGCTCTAGTCGTGTCCTTTTTGCTGTCGAGTCACCATTTTGCCCTGTCTACACGGGCCAGCCCAAATAGTAAAGTTTCCCTGTGACGACTCATAATACATTATTAGAGAAAGAAGTCGTTTCGCTGGACATCAATGCTTTGAATCGAATCACTGCCTTCCTTTTGACGCGTTATTATGCTCGCTACTTGCCGTATTTTGTTCGATGCTTTGATTGACTGATTGAATCATTCTAGATCGTATGTCTCGTCTTGAATGTCGTGGATCGTTTCGTCAGCAGCTGGAGGATGGAACGCACTCCTACGATATGCTTAACGAGCATATTTCTATGCTTGGACTATGAGAGCACTACAGGTAGCTTGGGAAGAACAAAATCCCATTCTGTTTGGTTCCATTTTTGCTATATTATTTCCTCCTTACTACAAGACCTTGTCCTTCTCTCTGTCGTTCCAGCACTCCAGCCACCTATCCAGCCTCATGATCTATCCCTGCATAATATAAATGTATGTACGGTACTTGCTTATTCCTTTGTCTCTTCGTCTTTCTTCCCTTCTTCTTCGGTATCGTCCTTTCCTTCCTTTTCGACTGACTTCAAAACACACTCCAAGAAAGCCTGAATGGGATTGTTGGAATTATTCTGGAGTGCCTCTTGCGCTCCTTCGGCCATGTTGAAATTGGCGAGAACAGAATGATATCCATCCATACTTCCGGTATCATCGGGCAAGAGTGCCATGGTCAACGATCGAAGAGTCTGTTGGACCTGAGGACTGCGCAAGTTCTCTTCCAAAAACTCTTCGGAACGCTGTTCTTCCGGCAAGAGTTCCAAGAGTCGTTTCTTGATGGCTTCATTTTCCAACAGAGATGTAATGGCAGCGGGTGTGACCAATTCCTGGAGTGGAGGACCCGGTGGACCAGACTGTTGTTGCTGCAACCCCGCCATGGCGCCCTGCAAATCAGCCAATGTCAAGGTTCCGGCGCCACTGCGGGCAGCACTGCTGGTACTGGCGGCATTGTTGTTGGAGGCAGAAGAAGACCCCTCATTGTTGTTTTGAGGCATTCCCAAGTTTTCCAGAATGTTGCTCAAGGCATCGACTTGTTGACGATCGTTGCTGCTGCTACTGCTCGTGGCCGTGTCGGCATTGCGCGTCGTACTGCTGCTGCTTCCACCACCAGCACCACTGGAACTCGCGGCCGTCGTAGAACTGCTGTTGGGATTGGCCGATGCCGGATCGGCAAGATACTGATTGATCTTGGCAATGAATTCATCGTCCTTTTCTTCCGACGCATCTTGCATCCAGTACATTTCGTAGCCAGGATTGGTTGCCCCGGCAGCCGGTGGACGACTCCAAACATAGAGTCGATCGGGTTGTTCTCCTGCTTGCTGCTTGGGTCCATTGGTGACCTTCTCGAGCGTTCCCAATTCTTGCGAGGTGCCTCCCAATGAAAACAGCAAATGACGATCCGCATCGGCCACGCTCTTTTCGCGACGATCGTACCATTCCCAATAGAGTGTATTCTCATTGGTCTTCCATACAATGCGAATCTCACCACGACGCGTATCGGGAGCAGCCCAGTAGTTGCCATTTTCTTGGAGCGTCAAATCCATCTTGCCGGCCTTGAAGGTCACCAACTGCTTTTCATTGCTGTTGCTACTGCTGCTGCTGCTGTTGCCAGCGTTGGATCCCAGGTGATCAAACAAGTCAGAGTACATGGTGCAACGAAGTAGTAGATGAAACGAAGGAAAGAGTTTGGCTCTAGCTAGCTAGGAAAGATGATGGCAGTGATGACCTGATCGAGATGGATTTTGGATTGTGCCATCGTCGGCATATCGATCTTCGTTCAAAGAGGCTGAACGAAGGGAAAGGAAGGTGCACATTTCACCGTGGGTAACAATCCTGCGAAGCTGTGAATTCAGCCCATGAGAGACGCAGTTTCCAAGTGTCTCCAACTCTCCATCTTTCTTTTGTCCGCTTCCAACTGCTCCAATGCTTCGTCGCACTCACCACACTGAGTAGACGCCACTCACCAAGACGACGGAATCAGCCCAATCCAAGCATAACCCCCTTTAATTAAGAGCATCCCTAATCGCATAATTTGCATGCTTGTACTTGTAACATCCCCATACCGTACAAAAAAATTGAAGGAGTAATCGCCGGTGGAACAAGTCCGATTCCCGTTCGACACGCAAAAGGACGCGATTCAAGATTCTCTTGACACTGCTGTACCATTTCGAGGTACCGGCAAAGCGGAACGAGGTGCCATTGAACTGCATACAGCGTTCAGCGGGAGCCGCTCGATCGTGTCACAGGTGCTTTTGAGCCAGGATTTCTCAGGCCCAAGTACACACCGAGAGATGTATCTTAGAGTACAAGGGAGGTTGGGATCTTGGCCCGGCTAGAAAGCTGGTTGCAAGTGTTGATCAGGAAGCCTGGTGGGTGGATCTGGTTGAGATACAAAGGCCTGGAGAGAGCCGTGCGCAATATTCGGCTCCCAAAAGCAGCTTCGCGATCGGCGAGTACCATCCAGTTCCATTGATTTCGAATGACAAAATGGCACCAGGTGACTTACTCAACCTTGGGCAGCCAGTTGAGGGTCTCCTGTGAGCATTAGAGTCCACACTCTGGCTCCTTCGTCATGTGGGCACTCCACACTTCATCTGAACCTTCAGCATGGCATTGCAAAACATGTGTGGTGTCTTCTGGGGTGCCACAACGTGGGCATTGGTCATCATCTTGCTTCTGCCAACACTTGAGTGTGATTCCTACCCCACAGTTCTCAGATGCATGTTTGGTGGACCATCGTCTCATGCCCAGTGGTAGATTCTTCATCAGTTTGCCACACAGATCCCAGTCAACCATTTGGACAGCCTCATGAGACAATCGAGCGGGGGCCAGGGAGTGATCTGTTGTCCAATAGTTCTCAATGGCTGGGAGACCAATGAGGTCCATCAGTGTTTGCCTGTTGGGGGATGCAATCTTCCGCTTACCCTTCCAAATGGACCAGCCTTCACCTCCAATGGAGTGGTGGGAAGGAGAGCCAAAGGGGTTAGCATGTACAATAGCATTCCAATACTCCTTGGCTTTGGAATCCATGCGCACGTTCAAGTTTTCTAAGAAGCTCAGTTCATGTCCAGCATGGTCATCCATGTGGCCGTCAATGTGCTCTGTCTCGAAGGTCACAGGGCTAAATTGTATGTGCATCCACAATGCGTGAGTCAGGTCGAAGGATTGTTTGTTGGGATCAGGTACAAAACCAGCCTCAAACACCAATAGGGCAGAGGAACTGTCGCAGCCGATCTTGACCTTCCCCTCTGTAATCCCAAAGAGCTCACAGAGGAGATTGGTGAGAAGGACAAGGGCAAGTAGTCCAGATAATTCACACTTGTATGAGTCACCATCGTTCAAGGGACCCGGGACAATGTTGACACTGGTCAGTTCCTTGTTCGGAATTGTGCCCACCAGAATGGATGCTGAGGTTCCAACTCTGTGCTTGAGTGAGCCATCACTCACGGCCACACATGTGCCATCCTGGATGCATTCAGCGATGTGCTGCCCTCCATCGGAGACCTTGAAGTTGGTTGGTTGGTCACAATGATTAGTAGGTATTATTTGCTACTGCGCCGAGGGCTTGCTTTTACTTCATTCAGAATGACAGGGGGCACTACTGGCCCCCTGTTCGAGTAGAAGGGTTATGGGCTCGCTAAGGCCCCTAAAGATGTTCCATACAAGGATGTTGTTTCTTTGGGAATGCACGCTAAGGCCTTCCTTGGGGTATGGCACACTAAGGCCATGTGCTAATGGTGTCTTTGAAAAGACGAATTGGGTTGGTTTGAGGTGGTTCAAGGGAGAGGTGATTGAGAAGTTAGAGGCGCCCTGTGGCACACCACTGATAGAGTCTGGAATTCCTTCTGTCTTCAGTGAGTTGATGGGCACGTCTAGTTTCTCTATCGCGGACAGTGTGTAGCCCTTGAAGCCAGGACTGTTTGTAGGACTTTGGTTGAGTGAGCCATTCTGGTTGAGGCACAGATGCTCCAAGGGAGGCCCATCAACAAAGACAAATCTTTTCAAGATGGTCTTCAATCCATTGTCTCCCAATTCATTGCATTGCAGCTCCAACTTGGTCAAGGTGCGAGCTTGGTCAGGTTGAGTTACAGCAAATAATGCGGGTATAAGGCATCCAATGCTGTCAGCATGGCTAAATTCAGATTTGGAATTGCTGTTGCCAGCTGCAAGGCTACTAGTTGCTAGTGTGGGTGCAATATGTTTGTCCTCAGTGGTGGCAGAAGTCAGCCCAACAAATTGGCTTAGGGCGTTGGTAGCAGCATCTACGCATGCATGGTCGGTTGCCTTGCACGAGCAATCATCTACGAAGACAAGGAGAGTAGCATCTACAGGTACAGATGTTCTAAGGTTGTCCTGCATGTCTTTGATGTGATCTATACCCCTGGTAGCAACCCCAAAGCAGGTTGCCGTTGGTGTGCTGCTGGATGGTATCATATTCCGTGGACGAATCGAAATGGAACTAGCACCTATTGGTACGGTAGCTCTATCTATGGTTAGATTCAAATGTTTCGTGTCCTTTAGCTAGCTAGGATAATTCTTCTACTACTCGAGAGAGAAGTTACTGGTAGTTGTCCACAGCAACAACAAGCTAGACTAGCTAGCTAGCTAGCGGGCCCGGGGGTCAAGCATTCCAAGGAGGTGGCTGCAAGTCTGTGTTGTTCAACAATAATGCGCGATCTTTTGTGCGCGATCTTTGCAGCTGCCACCACCAAAATCCACAGTGATGCCCCAACCGAAGCATTCTCATTTCTCATCCTTCATTTTTGTGTTCTCTTCTGTCCTCGTCGGAAGGTACTTGTGTTGATAGCCTTGCCAGGCTCCATTCCATTCAATTTAATTCCTGCAAGAGACATGGCGTCGGATAGAGTTACTTCAGAGGAAGCAGACGATGCTGTCCTAACGAAAAGTGAGAGGAAGAAGCTCAAGAAGGAAAAGAAAAAACTCAAAAAGGAGAAGAAGAAAGCAGAATCATCCAAACCTGCCGAGGAGTCCTCTCATCATGATCAGACGGAGGAAGAAAAGAAAGACGACGCTGGAGATAAGGATAATAGTCGTGATGCCAGAGTGGTAGAAGAATCGGACCCCTCCCACACGGAAAATGACACTGAGAAAAAGAAGAGAGAACGCAAGGAGAAGAAACGCAAACGAAAGGAGGAAAAGAAGAAGGCGAAAAAACGGCAGAAGAAAAAACAAGACCAAAAACAAGATAGCTCTGATTCAGATAACGAAACGAGTTCAGACGAAATGCCATCCAAGCGATTGCGAAAGAACGATGATACCCCAGAAGCGACAACAACAACGGCTGATGACAATGATCAAAAAGACGACAATGATGCTGCACCGTCGGGCGACCCTCGCATAGTGGAATCTTTCGCATTGGATTATGGTGGGGTATCCGAAGAAGGTGGCATTACGTTGATGCTCTTTTATCAGTACGTGGAACCCATTTGGTCTTTAGAGAAGTATCAGCAAGTCTTGAAGGACATGGAAGAATTGGGCAACTCACTCGAGCTCACGGGACGGATGCGTGTGGCACGAGAAGGTCTCAATTGTACACTGACCGCCAATTCTCGAGAAGGCATGTTGAAATTCTGTCGAGCACTACGACAACAACCGGAATTCAAAACCACCGAATTCAAGTTGACCAACGATCTTCCCAAAGCACAGAAATTCCCACAACTCAAAGTCATTGAGGTTATCGAACTGGTACATTACGGATTGGAAGGAGAAAAGGCACCGCCCATTCAAGAGTATCGGGGAGTTCATTTAGAACCCCAAGACTATCACAAAAAGATTGCCGAAAAGGATACAGTCATGATTGATGTGCGCAATCATTACGAGGCGATTATCGGACACTTCCAACCACCCAACAAGCGCGCCCTCCTCGATCCACTCATGAGAAAGTCGACAGAGTTCCCAGTTTGGTTGGACAAGCAAGAAACCAAGGAAAAGCTAAAGGGGAAACAGGTGCTCATGTATTGTACAGGTACGTTTCAAAACGAAAAATGGACGGTTTGGATGCTCGTGAATGGGCCACTAATCAATGTTGCTTTTCTTTTGTGGCGAACAGGTGGAATCAGGTGCGAACGAGCCACGGCACTGCTCAAGTACAAGATGGAAAATGACCCTGAAATCAAAGACTTGGGCATTCAAGAGGTCTATCAGCTCCAGGGTGGAATCGACAAGTATTTCAAAGCGTACCCAGATGGCGGATTCTGGAAGGGCAAGAACTATGTGAGTCTTAGTATCTGCAATCTTGGCTGTGGTTTCGTTGTTTGCTTTGCATGTTTCCCTCGTCTCTCATTGTTCTCCCACGCATTCATCTGCGTATTATTTATTTGCAGGTCTTTGATAAGCGATTTGCCCACAAACCAGCCGCTGTGGAAGGCAGCGAGAAACGAGGTGAAGCGACACCCGAGCCCATGAGCAAGTGCGAAGCTTGTCAAAAGCCATGGGATCGCTTCCGTGGAAAGCGACGATGTCCCACCTGTGGTGTTCCAAGTTTGATTTGCAAGGAATGTTTCATAAAGGCTTCGTCGGAGAAGAAGTTGTTAAAGGGTGTCCGATGTGATTTGTGTGTCAAGGAGAACATCACGTCCAAACATCAGTTGCGAAACAAGGAACAATGCGAAATTGACGAATACGAACAAAAGTTGGTGGAACGAGGACTCATCCCTCAACCAGAAGCCAAAGGAGAACGGCTCAAGGTCACCGCAAGCACAGGTAGCGGTAGTAGTAGTGCTGTTGGCAAGGATGGTTCGAAACGATCCAAAAAGAAATACGACAATCAGCAGGACAGTACAGCAAAGAACGGCGGCAAGGTACCACCCAACCCTGATAACGTCACACGATTGTATCTCAAGAATATGTGTCGCAATTCCATGAACGAAGAGACACTGTTGGAGTTCTTGCCGGGGATCACGCACCTCGTTTGGAAATCCGAGGGCAAGACAGGCAAGTTTCTGGGTCAAGGTTGGGTCGAAATGGCGACACCGGAGGACGCCGCGAAGGCTGTGGCAAAGAATGGCCAACGAGTCCTGGGACGGCCCCTCTACATCAACTATCAACCCGCTGACTCGAAGGATGTGTGGCCGCTACCGAGTAGTAGAATACAGTAGCTAGATAGCAACAATTTCAACTTTTTGATATTGAACTGCCTTTACCATCACATAGCCAACGTGGTTATGTCTCGTCGTTGTTACCAGCTCTACTTGTGTTCCGCTGTTATTAGAAGATGCATTCAGCGCCAGAGTGGGGAGACTCTTCGGAGACTCTCCGTTATACGGTAAAAGAAGCAACTTGCTTTTTGTACGGTACCTGGTATCAACATGCGATGATCTACAATGCAGCTAGCTGTCTGGCTGATGTCGTGCCAAGTACCCTGGTCTGGTTATTTGGTCGAAACCTCCTGCGCCCCACCAATCAAACGCAAGTTAGCTCCCATTTGGAGGCTCTCGGGACCCTTGTAGACGAATGCCATTGACGACGGTGCCATCTTCCTCTTCTTCCGAAACGTCATCTTCCTCTTCTTCCGAAATGTCCCATCCATTGTACGGGTCTTGCTCGTTGTCATCTTCCTCTTCTATTGAAATGTCTTGCTTGTTGCCATCTTCCTCTTCTTCCGAAATGTCCCATCCATTGAAGGGGTCTTGCATTTTTCTTTTGTTTTTCTTTCCACTATTGTACTGTCTCTTGTTGGAAGCTGCCTCCATTAGCTCAGGACTGGGTTCTGGTGGTTCTGCCGTGGATTGATTGTTGCTGCTATTGCTACTGCTAGTCAAGTTGTGGTTGCTGATTTTTCTCCATCCCTTGTTCCGATTGATCTGGAGTCGTTGTTCTTTGGTCGATGACGGGCAGTCCACGGCCCAGTGTCCCTTTTGACCACACTGAAAGCAGGTATCATCGGCCCGTGATACCCGTCGGATCGATCGTCGCAATGGACTGTTCTTGCGACTAGAAGTGCTATTATAGGTGGGTACCGGTAATTCGGATTGTAGATACTGCCGCACCGAGACATAACTGAGTTCATTGTAATGTCCCAAAAAGTTGGTGAGGGTATCAATTTTTCGTGTGGTATAATTGCGAGGGGAACAAAACATGGCGCCCCGGACATTGTTCACTCCGTATTCGAGCATAATCTCGGCCGTGACTTTGGATTCCAATCCCAGTGCATATTGTGCAGGCACTCGCTTGTATTGCTGTAGAACTCGAATGGGTCTGTAGAGCTTGGTCCACACAGCGCCGCCTCGTCCCGGATTGTGAAAATGTTCTTGAAAACGACGTTTCTTGTTGCGGGTAGATCCCACGTAGTATTTGCCGTCGGAACACTCCAAGACGTAAATGGTGTAGCGTTCCACAATGGTTCGAACCAGTGATTTGAGACGACGCCAACGTGATGGTAGTTTGTGGTTTTGCAGAACCAATGCCAGACAGCGATCCACAAACTGACGGATCGAGAGAAGGAATTTTGGTCTCTGCTTCCTTCCAGATTCATTATCATGGGGTAGTATGGATGATAATGACGAGTTATCTTCTGGATCGTTACTGACATTATTTCTTTGGGTGGAGCACAATCCTCTTGTCCTTATTGTAGCAGTGGAGGATATTCTGCCAGTGCTACTGGTAGAGCACTGCACGGGATACCTTCCATGAGAAACCTGAAATGCCACTGCATCGCTTGCCAGTAGAAATAAGAGGCAGGATGCTACCACTGCCAATAAAAAGGAATCTGACGCCTTGCTCCTCATCCTCAAGAGTTCTCCTTGTCTCCTTCTTGCTGCAGACCGGTGGGTATCTCTGCCATGGCGTGATTATCTTTGGAACATTTTGCTTGCTTTGAAATTCGATTGACCAACTCACCACAGGACACAGAACTGCTGCCAACAAGCTGACTACTACATGTAGTACAGTCGTACATCGTACGCTGTATACCGGTACTGATCTTGGGAGCCAATGAGAAATGCCCACTAAAATTAAGGTTATTCTCGCAAAGATCCCACCATCCAAATCTTGGCCGTTGATTTGACGCCACCACGATGGTACCACAACCAACCAACCTACCAACAACAGAGCCACAACCCTCATTGGTTTCTTTCTCTGTTTCTTTCTTTCACCAAGCTAGTTAATTGATTATCCAACAACCATACAGTATCATGTTATCCAGTCATACGAGCCGTGCCATCAAGAACCAAGGTCGATCGGTCCTGTTCCGAAAGCGGAGTCGAAGCATTGCGTGGCAACAAGACGGACGTTGCCTGTCGGTCTTGGCCAGGGAAAAGCAACCACAGCAAGAAACCAATCATCATGACCAATGGTCGGCTGCATATCTCGTCCTGGCAGGAGCTGCCGCGACTGTTTCCTGGGTATCCTCTTGGAAAAAGAAAGATAACACAACCTATTGCGAGCAGAGTCAATCAGCCGATCTACCCGTCTATGGCAGCAGTAGTGATCCCATGATGGATGCCGGACAAGCAGCAGCCACGGACTTGAAGGATGTCTATTTGGTACCATCTCCCGTACAGGTTAGCGAAGAACAAATCAAAGATCCCTCCTCGGAATTGAACCGAGGTGCCAGAGCCTTTGAGGTATCCTTGGATTCTTGTCAACAACTATTATTGGCCACTTCCAAACAGCCACCACCAGAACAGCAACAAGAAGTGGAACCACAGCAAGAGCCCATAGAACAACCCTTCACGGCCACGACACCTGCTGTCGAAGAAGTTGCTCCCGTTCGATTGGCCGAAAACCTACAACGCGTCAATACCCGACACCTTGACGACACCAATATGGTGACAACTCGCAAAATGTACTTTTATCGAACGCCTCGCATTCAATCGCGCATGCAAAAGAAATTCATACTCTTGGCGGGACCTGCCTCGGAAGATTTGGGGGCCGATATCGCGCATCTACTAGGTCTCGATCTCAATCATTTGGAAGTGGGCGCGCACAATGATGGAGAAGTCAAAATTCACATGCAGGATTCCGTACGAGGCAAACACGTCTTTATCATCAATTCCACCAACTCGATTGATACCGTTGTGGAACTCATGCTGTTGATATCCACGCTCCGACGGGCCAGTGCCAAACACATTACCGCCGTCGTGCCATACTTTGGATACAGTCGACAGGATCGAAAAATTGCACGAGAACCGATTGGGGCCGCCGATGTCGCGCTGATGTTGGAGGAAATGGGTGTCGATCGGGTCATGTGCATGGATCTTCATTCGGATACCCTTCGTGGATTCTTTCCCCCCAAGATTCCAGTAGAGGTACGTACTACATTGGTTGGTGGCACCATATCCCTTTGGTTGGTTTCTTCTTGGCTAACTCATCCCATTCTATTCGTTTGGCACAACCTCCTCTCTTTCTTTCTTCCATTCGATTTATTTGTTTGTTGGATGTTGTGTGTTACATACATACATACATACATACATACACTTCCAGAACCTAATTCCCGTTCCAGTGGCCGCCGCCTACTTTCACGAAGAGCTGAGTACCATGCTCCCTTTACCGCCTGGTTTTAACGAAGAAACCGATACCCCTCCGTATCCCAAAGTCACCGTCGTGGCATCCCACGAATCCCAAGTCGCCCGTGCCAGTCAATTTCGAACCGTCCTGCAACGACTCAGTGGCAATTCCGAGATTGAATTGGCACTCATCAGCAAGAATCGACAACGTCGCAATTCTACCAGTTACGACCCCGTACTGGTGGGCAATGTCAAGGGTCGCAAGTGCATATTGGTCGATGACATTGTCAATACCGGTTCTACATTGAAAGGCAACGTGGAACAACTCAAAGAACGAGGTGCCGAATCCATCTACGCATGGGCGACGCATGGCGTGTTTGGACCCGATTCCGATGTCCCTGCACGAATACAGGAATTGGAGGCATTGGATTATCTCTTGATTTCCAATTCGGTCAATAACGATTGTCGTCGTCGACTTCCTTCCAAAGTGCGACAATTGAATGTGGCACCGCTCTTGGCCGAAGCCATTGCGCGGGCGTTGCACAATCAGTCCATCTCGAGTATTTTGAGTTTGGAGAATATGACGGTGGAACGGTACGATGGGTGAGATAGTAGCCTTTCATAGTGTAGTGAGTGACCTACATGCCTGTAACTAAGAATATTGAATTGGGCTACTATTCTAAGCAATGGAACCACGTGATTAGGAGTCATTTCGGCGCAAGCTACCGGGTACAAGCTGCCTAGTGTGGATCAATCATGAGGTGGTGACGGTTGCTTTGCTGCTCTTCAGGATTTCAAAATCTGCTACTAGGGCGCCGTGAGGAGATGTCGATGCCAAATACATGTAGACGACAGCAACCCGATGATGGAGCACAGAGATACCTACCGTACAACGTCTAGCCAGAGGTAGCTAAATAGATTTCATAGGTTTCGACTGTTGCTATGTAGATCCAGCCTGGAGCCTAAATACGGCTCATAACCTGACAATGTATGGCTTCGCTTGAGGTGTGCGCTGTGGCGCGGTCGGCGTTGGTCTTTTTCCTTGGGTTCGTTGCGGCACACGACGATCGAATGAATGATATCCTTGGCAAGGACACGAGATTGAAAAAGGGCATTGAAATCAGCAGAGTAACGTTAGGTTCCACTCTTGCTACCGGTAGTACTACTAGATAGCTACATGCCGTATCATCCACATCAACAAGATTGATCTGTCAAGCGGACAGTTATCTTTTTGTTGTTGTTGTAGTAGGGTGGTTGTCCTTGTTTGTGTCTGTCAGATAGGCTATTATTGCTGACAGCAACAAGAGACAACCTTCTCTTCTCGGCGTGTGGGCTGGTTGGTTGAAGAAAGAAAGAAGTGGCATTGCTGGCAATTGAACCAAAACAATTCCATCGATCGATCGATCGATTGATTGTTCTCAAGTTAGACAGACAAACAGACAGTAGCGTAGGATGAGTGGTGCTTCGACGCCTCGAGGGAATCGGAGCCCTCCTCCTGATGGCCAGCAGTCGTCAGGTCCTCAGGGCGTAACTGCCTTTGGCATTCGCTTTGTACGGCAATACTATGGTGGAATGCTGGACGACCCAAAGAAGATTTGTCCTCTGTACGAACCAACGTCTCTCATGACGGACGGCTTAGGCACGGAACCGACGGAATCTGTGCCCTACGAAACGGACTACAAAAGCAATCCGGAGAAACTGAAGGATCGATTTTCAATGCCAGATTTTGCCTTTCGCCTAGAACTGGGACACGGTGCCATTGATGCTCAGCAAAGTGTCAATGGTGGAGCTCTCTTGGTTGTCACTGGAAAGGTCGCTTACACTCCCATTGCCACGGAAGACGAGGATGCTGCTGTGGATGATCCCATCTGGAAGAGTTTTGTTCATACCTTCTTTCTGTTGCCTCGTACGGCAGGAACCAAAAAGAGCTGGTACGTCCACAACGATATTCTACGCTTCCTCAAGGACACGGCAGAAGTCGTTCCTCCTCCTGTTGTTGCTGAGGCTCCGCCTCCAGTCGTCGCCACGGAACCTGTACCTGTAGCTGCTCCCCCAGTCGTTAGCGAACCAGCTCCTGAACCAGTTCCTCCTGAGCAGCCAGCACCCCCTGCTGTTCCTGAGCAACCAACACCACAACAAACACCAGCCCCTCCAGAAGTAGTTGTAGAAGAACCTAAGGTAGTGGAAGAAGAAAAGAAACCCGTGGTGGAGGCTGCTTCTCCTGTTCCGCCTGTCGAGGAAGTGGAGGAGGAGGCGCCTGGTGGAGGCGTGGAAGAGACCAAGGAGGAACTGCCAACCCCACCACCCAAGCCGGCAAAAGCTGACAAACCCAAGAAGGAGAACAACAAAGCTGCAAAGAAGGAAGAGTCTGAAAAAGAACAGCAACCCTCCAATAGGAAGGGCAACAAAAAAATCAAAGAGATTGCCACAGTCGCAGATGCTGGGCGCAAATCTCCTGTTCCACCTCCATCGCCTGCCCCAAAGCCTCCACCTGGATCATGGGCCAGCTTGGTGGCCGGGGCGCCGGCGGCTTCTGCTGCCGTCAAGACAGCCCCTCCGCCTACAGCTGTCAAACCTCCACCCAAACCTCCCGTACCCATGGAAAAACCACCGACACCGGGCAGCAATGACAACAAGAAAGATAGCAGCAACTCCAACAGTAATGCGGGAGGCAACAACAACACCAATAGCAGCAACTCCAACAACAACAACAATGCCAATAATAATAACAACAACAGCAGCAGCAACAACAACCACAAGATGGGCAACAACATGCGACCACCCAAACGCGATCCTGACTGCACTCTTGTTATTAAGAACCTACCCGACAACACCAAAGAATCCGATGTTTTGGGAGTCTTTGAACCCTTTGCGGGACAAACCAAATCTCGGGTGGTGGGCATTACTGTGGCAGCTCATCGTGGCATTGCGTTTGTGGACTACGACTCCATTAATCCTGTCATGAAAGCTGTCAGTCAACACAAAGAAGAACCCATTCGTTTGATGGGAAGGATCCTGGAGGTGGATCAAAAGACGGCGGAGCAACGAGCTCGCCGAGAAGCGCAGCAACGTCGTGGAGGAGGAGGCGGAAACTACCGCAGTGGGTCGCCAAGTCACAACAATGGCGGATCCAATCGATATGGCGGTGGTGGTGGTGATGGCAGAAGAGGAGGAGGAGGCCACCGACGTCGTGATGGTGGCGGCAGAGGAGACCGCGGTGGTGGTGGAATGGGTGGTCGAGGTGGACGCGGCGGCAGGTAAACACATGACAGACATGCATATGGTACATATACAAACACTACTGCAATGAATCAATAGTACATGAGAACAATGAAGAAGATGAAGAATGGAGAAAAAAACTGGAGAACACGGATTGCAAATGCTGGACGCCAAGGGCCTCGCACGAAGTTTGTTTTTGTTCGTGTGTGGTCACTCACTGTGTGCGTGCGCAGCAGCTCAATCAGGAATGGAAGCGGAAGAGAATGGATAGTAAGAATCATATAGAAGCTGGATTTGGAGTATTATTTTGGAGGAGCGGATGATTCCGCATTTGAAATGGCTACGAGCGCAGAGAAAATTGCTGTACTCTACAAAAGATAACTAACGGAGAGTCGACAAGCAGCAGCCTATCAGTCTAATGAGATCAATAGAAGACTCTTTCAGAACAAAACTCAATACCGTAGATCACAGCACAGTCAATCTAGCTATGTAGAGCCGCACCTTTTGGCATCCCTGAGTTTTCTGGGGACTTTCAACGGTGCAAGATCTGAGAGAGAATACTAATAGACTAGCTAGCAACACATTGTGTTCGCTTCGATGGATACTTGAGGCTGGTTCATCCATCCATCTTTGGCCTTGTTCGTTCTTCCTACCGGTATCCTATCAGCGTGCCAAGTACTGGAACCTCTGGGGCATGAAACAAAAAATATAGCTAGGTCTAGGTTGACGAATATGAATGATCATCTACTACGAAACTTTATTATATGAGAACATGGGTGAAATAGGAACCTGAACATGAATACTTGCAGCATCTTGAGAGCAATTCGATTCCATTTTGCTACCCAAGATGCACATTCTGCACGACACTTGACGACGAAAGACTGTTTGTCAACCTGCATCCATTCTCTTACTGGCCCTTTGTCGTGCGGCGCTTTTGGTTGAGCTGCTTGGATTCATGCTCCGTCTGTTGCTGCCCTCGTTTGCGTCTGGACCGAGTACCCGATCCCGACAGGTCATCTAATTCTCGAATACGATCCGCATCGATCCATTGTTCGTACTTGTATCCATCCCAGCGAATATTGGCCTTGTCGTCTTTCACAGCCAGCAGAAATGCTAATTGGTCATTGCCGTCAAACTTGATCCACACGAGGCGTTCCTTGCCAGGTTCTATCGGCTTGATTAGCTTCTGTTGTTCGACTTTGTTTTCCGGGGAGGTTAAATCGGTCAAATCCGTCACGACAGACTTGCTCTTCTTTTGGTTGGTTTTGGCTGTCTTCTTCTTCTTGCCTTGTTTTTGTTGTTGCGGTGCTTCCAGAGGCGAGCTGGTTTCCGCCGCATTGGCCGCTGCTGCCTCTTTTGAACTACCAGCATTGTTGTTAGTTGGACTGTTCTCAGTATTGTCGAGGCACAACGAGACCCGCTTTTTGGCAGGAATCAAGCCTCGCTTTGCCGAAGAACTTTGCGTTTGTTCGAGCTTCTGAATTTCCTTGGATTGCTCCTTCAGAATGTGTACACACTGCTCCATGACGTCCAATGCTGCAATGGCCAACAAATTGGGATGGCAATGCTGCAAGTGAAAGGCTTTGGGTGCTTGGCAAACAGGACACGCACAGAACGATGCTGGTTTGTTGTCATTGTTGTTGTTGCTATCTCGCTTTTGGATGCACTGCACACACATGGAATGAGCACACGATTTCGACATGAGCGGATAATTCTCTTTCGTGAATTCAGTTTGGCACGAGCAGCACACCAGATACGGCAATTCAAGCGTCTTTGTCATCTTGCTAGCTATAATATGATACCGGTATGATAGTTACAATGGTAAGGATACTCAAGTCACAGCAGCGGTGCGTCGATTGATGGTTTCAGTGAACAAGCAACAACTAACTGGAGACAAGGACAAAGGATGCTACCCAACTTGCTTTGGTTGCTGCAGCGTGGACGATGATGGAGAAGGGACGAAGCACCCTTGAAAAGTGAATGGAAGAGATCTTGAGTAGGATTCAAAAACAGTTAGATCGTTCCAACGATCGTTTGCTTCGTGGTATTGAACGCAGGAGCAGCTTCTGATCGTCACAATTTGGGGGCAGCCGTTTCTTGCCTCAACAACTAACTATCCACCCTCCAGTGCCTTTGCTCTTTGACTTTGTCATCCTGAATCCAAGCTGTGGCTATAATATATATGTAGTTTGCTACCAAGCCATTTGGAAAGGTTCGTTCATTCGGTTAGAAGATGAATGAGCGAGGGGGTAGTTATCTGCCAGAGGTTGGGCATTGTGGTGTCCTCACCCAATGGAGTAGGAAAGGGCTTGGGATGCAAGAACATACCAGGTGACAAAAGCTTGAAATCACACCTATGAACTTTCTTTCATTGGGCTTGACACAACAGATCTAAAATAGAGGCAATTTGATCTTTCCTTTCAACCTTCCCTCCTCTCTTGCTAGCTACCGGTAGCTATCTCTAGAGGTACAGTACATGAAAACGAGAGATGCTCTTCCTAGATCTATCTAGTTCACACAAGCAGATCAAGTTGGTCAAAGCAGGAGCCTGGACAGCCTACTAGAGTACTAGCTAGACACAGGTACCAAGGAAGGTCCCTTTGGTCTTTCTGGGGGTGGATTGCGACGAGTTCGGATTTTAACGGTTGGTAGATTTTTGTTCCCCTCTTTAGAACAGACGTTACGCTGTGACACCATTCAAATTCAAAACTCAATCACTCTTCATGGTCGCCTCACAATTCTTTCATTTTCCAATCCGATCGCAGAGAAAGACAAGCAAGCAACCATGATGACAGTCCGCAGATCTACTACTAGTAGTACTACCTTTGCTTGGATCGTATCCATCTGCATGGTGGGGGTCTCTCATGCACAGTATATGAACTGCACCCCTTGCGACATTCCCTTGAGTGAAGAGGCCGGTGCCAAGGTGATTGGTGCAATGAACTGTTCCGATTGGGAGTACGACGCCATGCTGGATTCGAAAGATTCAGAGATCTGTCATCTCAATCGAGTTGCTGGAGTGGCCTTTTGCGGATGTGAAGTTCCTGATCATGTCACGGAAACGTGCGATCTGTGTCCCAATGGCTCCGTCGATGTTAACCTGGATCGAGAGCTTCCGGATGTGCCAGGAGTTACCTGCGCTGACATTCTAAATGTTCCTAAAGTGGATGGCGACCAATCATGCTCTCTGCTACAGGCCAAGTACGCCTTTTGGTGTGATTGTCCCAAAGTCGTTCCTACCTGCACCCTCTGTCCCACTGGTGCATTTCCTCCCAAACCCGACAAAGGCCTCCCGTTTGATAGGAATCTGTACTGCGGAGATATTGCCACGGAATTCCTCGTTTCCACACCCAAACAATGTCAGGAGCTCAAATCCGATATCCCAGTGGATTTGGCGTCCTATTGCGAATGTCCTGGCACCACACCACCCGAAACTTGTTCGCTGTGTCCCGACGGTTACTTTGTCAATGAGTACGTGGTCGTGGAGAATGACCTCACGTGTGCTGATATCCACCAAATTGCTCGATTCTCCACCAATGAAACTGTATGTGAAATAATGGAAGATGTTCATGGAAAGTGTTGCTCCGTAGACGAGGGATGGACAGCAGCCGATGGGAACGATACCCCTGCAGAATCATCCAGCAGCAATGTCGTACGATGGTCCAGTGTGTTGCAAATAATGATTCTGGGTAGCAGTCTCATGCTATCCCTACGAGTGCTTTGATGAAACTAATCAAGCAATCAGCTGCCAGTGAGAGGTTGGGTATCATTGCAACTGATCAGTCTTGATGTTTGCTCTGGAAACCTTTGGCCACTAGCAGGAGAAGAGCCGTAAATTTTCTTCTCCTTTCTGTGGTGGTCTGTCAAAAGGTATCTTGCTATTATTATGTTAACAGGTTTAAGACTGATTTATTGACCAAGGTTACAGTGTTTGTAAGATAGGCTTCGAATTGTTAGTTTTACTCTACACCCAGTTCTTCTTGGCTCCACATTAGCCGCAGTAGTTATCGCCTTGCCAATGGGGTAGGCAACAAGTCGTACAGAGCATACCCGGTCACCTGCAGTTCATAAAATTAATTCATTTCTTGCCCTTGCGGCGCTTTTGCAAATGCGAGGGCAGCAAGGAGACCACCGCCTTGTCAACCTTGAGCTTTTTCTTTGCGGGTTCTTCGCTGCCATCAGCCGTATTAGTCTCGACGGGATAGGCTGGTGTTGCATCATTGTCGTCTACTGGATATGCGTCCGTGACAGGGTAGGCGTCATCCGCAGCAGGATAATCGTCCGTCACTGGGTAGTCGTCCGTGACGGGGTAGGCAGGTTGGTCATCGTCTCCTGTTGGATAGGCTGGGTACTCGTCCGTGGTTGGGTACGGTGCTACAGCATAATCGTCGTCGCCCGCAGGATAAGGGGCAACGGCATTGTCATTCGCTTCGTCCATGGGATAAGGGGCAACGGCATCATCATTCGCTTCATCCACGGGATAGGGGGCAACGGCATCATCGTTCGGTTCATCCACGGGATAAGGGGCAACGGCATCACCATACGATTCATCGACAGGATAGGGAGCAACGGCATCACCATTCGATTCGTCGACAGGATATGCTGCCATGGCGTCCTGTGGGTATGCGGCGCCTTCGTCTACTGGATACGGGGCAACTCCTTCTTCGTCCACGGGATATGGAGCAGGAGGTTCGCCGACTTGCTCCTGATTGGCAGGGGCCTCCACCGGGCCATCCACAGCTGTCGCTTCCTCCACCGATGGAGCAGAGGATTGTTTCAATGCATTGATACGATCTTGCACCGACTGCTCTTCTGTCGTTTCTAGCTTTTCTCCTCGCAGGGCCGCAATGCGGTCTTGAACGGATGCATTCCCTTCTTCTGTCCGGTCATTTACCGCTTCCATTTCTCTGTCACCCCGCAATGCAGCAATCCGCTCTTGGACCGATTCGCCTGGCGGTTCTTCTTCCTGATCTGCAGCTGGTTGTTGTTGTTGTTGTTGTTGGGTGTCGTCTCCCTGCGGTTTTTCGTCCTGGATTCGAGCCTGCCGTAGAGCGGCTATTCGAGCCTGTACCGAGTCTTCCTCTACTTGGTCAGCTTGTACTACTTCCTCCACTGCTTCTGCTACTTCCTCCGTCTTTGGTATACTACTATCGGCAGGTGGTGCGGACTGTTGTTTCTTGAGAGCGGCAATTCTGGCCTGCACGGCCGATTCCTCCTTTTCTTTTTGTTCTTGCCCCTTTTGATTCTTTTTCTTTTTGGGTTTCTTCTTTTTGTTGTTATGGTTGTTCTTGATTTTCAAGACAAAGACATTGGCCCCCAGAGTTCCCACCGGCACAAAATCGGCATGTTTCCCCGTTTTCTTGACGGGCGTGTGGGGTGGGAAATACCCCATTCCATGCCACGCCTTCATGTGTTCCGTGCTAAAGGGTCCCTGTTGATTTCCTGAAGTGTCCCGGTAATGCCATTCGTCCTTTTCTTCTTCTTCTTCTTGTTCTTGCTGTAGTAGTGATTTTCCGACGTCTTCCAAATCGACTTGATGAATTTCCCGTTCGTAATGTACTTCTTCATTCGATGCCCAAATATCGGCATTTATCGGGTTCGCTCCTTTTTTCCGGCGAATTTTACGGGTCCGTTGCACCGATTCAGAAGGGGCGGGCAAATCGGGAATGTCTTCTTTACGAACCGGGGGCGGTGGTGGTTCTTCCTTGGGTGGTGGTGGTGGAGGTGGTGGTGGTTTATCACTTGGTGGTGGTGGAGGAGGGGGTGGGGGGATCTTTTCTTGAGTGGATTGATCAGGTTCTATTTTTTGGTCTGGTGGTGCTTGTGCATATTGCTGTTGTTGGGCATGATTATTATTATCTCGATTTTGGTTGGATAATAATGGTGGATTGTTGTGCTGTGGTGGTGGTGGTGGAATATTATTCCTGGCTTGTTGTTGTTGCTGTTGTTGTAAATGCAGAGGCAATTGCTCTCCTGGAACAATGGCTTCTTGAATATTCATGGTGACACCCCCTCCATAGCGATGAAACAACATGGGCTTGCCCGGTGGAGGAGCCCCGTAAGGATTGTATTGCGGATCGTAATAGACAGACATTTCCGGTCGATCCAGCTTGACAAATTTTTGATTGGCGGCATATCGCTTGGCATCGGCCGGTGATGGCTCTTTTGCTTTTTGTGCCTCATACTCTTGTACCAATTTGAGTTCCTTTTTCAGCCGATCCAGTTTGGACTTGATGTCGTGTTGGTTCAGTTGATGCTTGTGGCGAAATTCAAAGTCTTTTATTTCCTTCTTGACTTCTCCCACCGTCTTGCTCTTCTTGACACGATCATCTCGTTCCTTGATCCTCTGCTCCTTGAGCTTCTTGACTTCCTTTGACCGTTGTTTGCGGCGGTGAGATTCCACCGGGTTTTGAGACTTGGCCATGGCGGAATATTATACTGACACAATTAATTAGTTGCATCCAATGCGACGGTGTTTTGGGTATGGGTCCCTGCCAAGTGCATGGATGGGAATGCAAGCAGGCAGAAAGGCTTTCTTTCTCTCAACAAAGAAAAGATGCACAAGCAATATTTCGCACTGAACTTGATATTTAGATACAGTACTATTAGAAGTGCCACCAGCACAGATCCGTACTCGTACTTTTTGATCTCTGGACTTGAGCAAGCTCACAGCTCTCAAAGAGTGCATTAGCTACCGGTATCTAGACAGCTCTAGCTAGCTAGCTGCTAGCTAGACTATGTAACATCGGGTGGTGATTTCGCTACCCAAATGATTGCTACCGATACCAGAATTCACAGCCATTGGTACAAGCACTTCCAGAGCTTGGTTCTGACACAAACAAACCAATACGTTGGCATCTTGTGGGTGTCATTTCTCTGGTTTGCTATAGCATGCATCTACCGGATCTGTTTTGGCCACTGCTTCAGCTCTAGCTTGTAGCTAGCTAGCTAAATGTAGCATCTTCGGTAGCATAGTGATTACAGGCTCCGAAGTGAGCAGAAGATACATGTACCAATAGATAATCATTTGGACGGCACCTTTGCTGTGTGGCCATTTCCTTGCTTGTGCCGAAATAGATTCTAGTAGCTGAATAGCTGATGTGGATTTGACAAGCAACTGAGATTGTATCATATCTCATGCATTGAGAAGTAACTCATTTGCAAGGATCCATACTTGTAGACTTGTAGTATCTAATAACTGAGGCTATTTCGTAGAAGGGTCATCCTGTTGGCATCAGACGTGAAAGAAGCCAAAAAAGCAAAACAGGGAATTGCAGCACTAACACGACAGCCCTGCGCAGCTTCTAAAAGTTCCTCCGCCGCCTACTAGCCTTCGCAGCATGACTTGGATGTTGCTTGTGGGCAAGTTGACATTGGAGAAAGTGCATAGAGTAGAGAGGCTATAGATAGATAGTGGTGGATCCCGGGAGATCGCAGCAAGTGTGTGTGATTCATTCATTCATAGGATAACACGAGCTGCCGGTAGCTACCCCAGAGATAAATTCATTGATCGAGATAAGGAAGGAAGGAGACCATGGGATTCCTCGGTTTCAAGAAGAAGAAGGGCAAGGACAAGAAAGAAGACGGCAAGGGCCCTGGTGGTGATGTCGTCGGTGAACAACCATCGCAGACTGGCACCACGACGGAAGCCAATGTCCCAGCGGCACAACAGCAACAACAACACCAACAAGAACTGCAGAAACAAGATCATCTACCGCCGCAGTCGCCACCGCAAGTCCAACAACAACAGCAGGCGCCACCAGCGGCGACAGTCACGGACATTCCCGTGGGAGATCCTGCCTTCGCCAAAGCCGATGTTACCCGTGATTTGGTCAAAAAGTTCATTTCGGATATCTGGAATCGAGGAGAATTGGATCTCATTCCGCAAGTATGTTCTCCCAAAATCAGATTCAATGGAAACACGGGCTTGGATAAAATCGGACACGATGGATTTGCCCGCATGGTCGCCACCATTCATGGTGCTTTGAGTGATTATCACTGCGAAATTCACTCCATGGTCGTCGAAAACAACAAAGCCTTTTGTCGGTTGCGGTTCAGTGGCAAACATACCGGTGATCTGCTCGGATATCCACCTACTGGACGTGTCGTCTCGTGGATGGGTGCTACCGAATTCACCTGCATGAATGGACGCATTCTGAAAGTATGGGAATTGGGAGATATGAAGACACTGGAAGAACAGTTACAGTTACGTGCCGAAAGTGACTTTCATGCAGCGCGCTAGCTGAAGCAGAAAGCAACAATCCCCCCGCACTACTGATGATGACCCAGTCAATCTACAAGGCTGTGGTTTCCTATCCTATCGACGAATACTAATTTTGATGCAATCCAAATGGCTTGGAGAACTGAACTGCCGTGACTTGAAGTTGCAGCCAGTTGTCGGCCTCTCGTTATAAATGTAGACCTTACACAACCGTACCGTATTACCGACCGTGATGAGTGTTTTTGTTCGTGGTCGATCAATTCTCGACCCCGTTCATGCCTTTTATTCTCAAAATCAAAGACAACCATACTGATGAGGACGAAGGGTGAGCGGTATAGCTACGTAGCCTGGTTGCAAAGAGAAATGACTCATCTTTCATGATCTGTCTAGCTAGCTACCCAGCCATTGGGTCGCCTGGTTCTGGTGCCCTCCTTAGCCGTCCTCATAACACTGGTCTTTTAGCTGCACCAATACCACTCCTGATTCGATTCTGCTGCATGTGCTTCCACTAAGCTACTCTTCAAATAATGTTCCTACTACATGTAACAAACACTTCTCACAAATCCTATAGATGGCTTCATTACTGGACTATACAATCTGACTGTTACCTGTGGAATCAAATCCCCACGATAAGCCACGCTTTCGACGGATGCATGATGCCCGGATGATGATCACAGGCTACCGGTAGGTCAGTATGGCATGAATTCACTCCATGGTTTGGCACTTCCTTTGTCTTCAAGCAATCAAGAAACCTTCGTCTACAGAACCATATAAGTTGATCCCCAAAACTCTCTCTATCGTACGACAATTAGTTATACTGTACTGTACGAAATGAACTGAAAGCCTTCTCATCAGTCCATTCGGGTGCGTCGAGGAACAGGTGCCTGATCCGCTTCTACCCTGGACGCCGTTCGGGATATGGATTGGTCCGAGTTTTCGGGTGGCATATAGATTCGAGCCGTTCCGGCCCAAAAGGTGTAGGCCGTAAACAAGGTAATCCCCACCAGCGAAGGAATGGTGACATAGCATCCCTTTTCAAAGAATGACGCTACGGTAACAATGGAGGATCCCAAATGGGAGAGGAGGACAAACATGAGTGCCAAGTTGCCTCCACTTCGTGAATTTCCAAAGTAGGATCCAAATCCTCGAATGTTGTCTTCAAATTCTCTTCCACGGTGATACAGCAGTCGTCGACGCATTCCAAAAAAGGTCAGGAGCATCCAAAAAATGTCCATAATGGAAAAGCACAATGCGTAGACTGCCGACTGGGCCAAGGAGGGAATGTCGGGACACGATTCTTGATACAATACTCCAACATTTCCGGATTCACTCGCCAACAAGGTCCCATAGAGCATAATGGCATGCATGCCTCCGAATCCGACTCCTGCCGCAACACCACAGCTCGCATCGTTGATTTGAAGTCGCAATTTGGCCGCCGCCGTCCAATTTTCGTCGTACTCTTCGAGATCTTGATTGGTGCCCGATTGTCCTCGTGCGTCTTCTTGTTCAATGCATAATCGAACGACTTTTTCCACCTTGTGGTAGAGCGCCACAAAGCAACATCGAAAGATGAATTGGGACAAGACGCCTGGTAAGAGGAGTGACACCAAATCATCCAACCCCACGGCCGCAAAGAGCCACCACACAAAACTGCCGGCCAATGCCGATACTAAAAAGAAAAAGGCCGAAGTGGTCACGATAATCACCAACTGGGACTTTTGATACACCACCAGGAAAAAGAGGGACATGAACGGACCAAAGGCCACCAAGGCACATCCCAAGAGGAGTGGAAACGATGTCATTGTGAAGTAATTATAGCTGCTTGTGTATTGTTGTTTTGTTTGTAGCGTTTCGCCTTTTCCACTATCTTCTAGCTACTAGCTTGAATACCCAACACTGGAACAACCAGGACAATGCAGCAGACCTCAGCTATTGGATGTTCCCTTGCTTCTCCTCTCACACACGATGATGATGGAGAGTGTTGGTCCTGGTTTGAATTTGGTCGAGACGATCGAGGCAACGTCTCTTTGGCTCTGTAAAAGCCATCTCAGCTGTGAAAACACAGAGGTCACTCAGTTTGTATGTGACATGCGAGTTCTCCCTCCCCCTCACAAATTCGTTTCCTCACATTTTGCGTTCCAAAATGGTTTCTCTCGCTGGAAATGGACCTTTCCCCAAGCTCCGTTAAAATGGCCTCTTTGGGTTGATGCACCATGACTGTGGCGAATGGAAAATTTGAAACGTGCTGGGGTTCTGGGAACTTTTGAAACATAGTAGCAGGAAGCAGGAACAACCAGCACGTATCCACACCAGTTGCTCGCTTGAACTCTTGCTTGAAAGTGTCAGTTTCATTGTAGAAACTCAGGCGCCGATCCATTGATCTGATCTTGATTCCGAGAGCTTTCCATCACAAATTCCGCGACTACAAAGAAGAAGAAGAAGAAGAAGAAGTGCTAGCTAATAATAGTCATCATAATAGCATTATCGGATCAACCAACTGAGACCGTACCAAAGAGCTGCCTGCCCTTGAATGAGACAGCCAGAGCAAACCTTTTGCTTCTTTCGCCCACAATACAAGACAATGACCACAGTGGCTTCTGTAAACATCGTTGGTGTAATTTCTGGATTGGATGAGGTACCTCACTCATTAATAATTCAAGACCATCATGATGATGAATCCAAGATGCCATTGCAGCTGGACGATGCTTCAGAACAAGTTCAGATATTGCTGCAAAGCATGACGATTCTCGTCAAGCTAGCCATGATGGACAGTGCTACCTACCATCAATCACTCCAGAAGAACCATGACAACAATACTACAACATCCCACAAAAGCACTGTCTGTCAGCTTCAAAAGTCCCTAGATAATCTGCAACATCAATGGAGACTCGAAGAAACACCGGCCATGCAGCTCTGCACTCTGATTCATGGCTTTCATGGAACCATTTACAATCTACAGAAAGATGCCGAAGAACAGGCAACACTATACGAACAACTCTACCAAAAGACCCAAGACTACCAAGAACGCAATGCCAAGCTCGAACGGGCTCTTCTCAAACTACATGCGCAAAATGCCAAACTCGCTGCCAAAGTCAAGCAGCGAGCCACGGAAAAGAAATCCCTAGTCAAACACGTGCAAGGATACGCCCAACAAGTCAAGGATTTTCAAAGGGAACAACAGCAATTGGAAGAACGCACCGTTGCCTATCAGCTGCAAGCGCATGAACAGTTCTTGCAGCAAACACCACCATCGCGCAGACGGTGCGTTTCGAATGACATTCCATTGAGCATTGCAAACAGAGCTCGGGGGCTGTCGACGGATAGCAACTTTAGTGATTTGGATGCTCTAGACTTTGGTACCAGTAGTGGATCCAATCATCATGATCATCATCAACAGCAACAGGTACTGCTAAGTGGTGTCGGTATCTCTTCTAGCAGTGATGATCAGTCATCCGTCGCGTCGTTAGTCACCGATGGGGGTGTTGCCACGGTTCGTTTGACGGTGGATCAGCAAATGTCTTGCTCTTCCTTTTGTTCCTCTTCCCCGCCCTGCACCCCCAAGAGGGAAGCCACACTCAAGGACAGTAATGGCGGCATGTCGTCCTTTTTGCGAAGCCCTCCTTGGCAGTCAAGGGCCAGGGCCACTCCGCCACCGGTATGGGAGATTACATTCCCCGATGCCACGTCTATTGGGTTGCAATTTGAAAGGTTGGAAGTGGAAACTCTTTCCAATCATAGTAATGTTGACTGGCTTACAAAATCGCCTCAGAGGAGGCCCAAGGGAATCTTGAACCATGTCATTGTGGAAGACGGGGGGCCTCCTGCCCTACCATCACTCCGCCATGATGATGCGCACATGGACGATGAGGACAACAAGAATTTCTGGACCAAAGTGTTTGGTGGTAAAACAACAACAGATACAGATCAACCCATGGACCACCACCACCAAAAGACGGTTGGGCCAAGCCACAGTATCTTTGTGGTTTCCGGCTTCCAAGGGTTTCACGACGAAACCGATCGCCCGGATTTGGGTGCTACACTGGTTTCCATCAATGGCAATCCAGTGAATGGAACCTGGTCTTTGGAGGACCTACACAAAGAGTTGCTGGCCCGAGCTCAGCGCCAACAAGACGACAAGCCAGAGCCAAAGAGCGGGAACGAAGAACCTGCAAAACGGGTTACCCTTTGCTTTCGTCATGATCCCTTGTCAAAGTCTGCGAGAGAACGCCTGGAAAAGGCAAACGCAGAAAGAAACGAAGGAGGGAACAATCCCTCCTCGAGCAACCACCACAACGCCGACGTTGAAAAGGTTACAGAAGGAGGAAGGAGGAGCTCCGCCAGGTTCGGTTTTCTCAAGATGCAGAGTCCCGGGCGCACTTTGAAGGAAAACCTTCATCAGAATCAAACAGCGGCAACGGATCGGTGCCCTTCGCCGGAGAAAGTACCGAGGATTACCACGCCCAAAGGGGGCAGTAAGGTGAGCAGCATGATTTCGTCAAAGCTTCCAACCTTCTTCCAAGTTAAGGAGGAACAAGGGGATGGAGCAAATACAACGACACCAAAGTCAAGAACAAAGGTGAATCCTCCCTTCTTCCCAGGTACAGCAACAACGCAAAGGGACGAGAATGAAACAAAGGATGAAGATAGTACTGGTTTGTCTCAACGAGATGACACAGGAGCGGACCCAGACCACAAGCCACCTACTCCATCAGCCAACATTTTGTCGTTCTTGTCATCGCAAAAGCTAAAAAGAGACAACTCTGTCTCCACTAATACGAACCCTGCAGTCACTGCCTCCGCCGCAGAGCAAGACGACGCAGACAAGTCAGTCGAGATCAGTTTTACCGCGACAAAAGATACCAATGAAGGAAACGACCCGTTGGGGGAGACAACTTGCACCAAGGACTCCAAAGAGGCTCTTTTTGCATCATCAGAAAGCGAAGGCGACGAGACCGTCGAGAGCACCGCGGTTGGTAGTGAAGACTCCTCGGAAAGGGCGACAGGAGGCGGTGACAAATTTTCTGAGCATGTTCACAAGTCCATTTACGCGCTAGTTGGGTGAACGCACGACCTGTGACTTATTAACATTAACTTAAACCTACATAATACACAAGAACTCTCATAACTACATTCGTGATTTCCACGCCTGTACCGGTAGGTTACTAGTAGTGCACTGCCATGAGATTGAAGGAAATGGCATCTGCTCAGCAAAGTGGCCCTCGCACCTCTAGGCCCTTCAAAGAGGGGTCCAGCACCGCACGTGCCAATACCGTTGGCAGCGTGTGCCGAAATTGATTGATACCTGGTACCGGTACCTGCCTACATGCTTCAGTGCCGCACTTTCGCTTTCAACCGTTCACAGCGTGAACGTGGAAACTCCGGTATGTTGAAGAGTGACGGTCCACGCTCCTCCTTCGACCTTCGACAGAACTGGCCTGCCATGGATGGCATAAAACGCAAACAGGAGACTCTGCAACCCTGAACTTTGCCTTTATTCCTTTCAGCTAAAACTCACACTCACCATGTCTGATTCACCGCATGATTCAAAGCATCTTCCTGGAACGGAGGACATCTGGATCCAAAAGATCTTTCCATTTCTGGGCATAGGCCACTATGCCTTCGTGGCACCAGTGAGCCAAGGCATGAAAGATCTCTACACAACTTATTGCAATGACGTGAAGATGCCCAAAAGGACATCTGCAACTCCAACTCATACATTGCACTCGGCAGTCTTCGCAACTGTGCCCAGCGTTGAGTATTGGTACAACCATCGCCATACTGGCACTACGCGGATTGTTGGAAGTGCCGTCTGTGCTGCAGCTGCCAAGGTTGGTAATCTTCAAGTTCTTCAGTGGGCTAGAAATAAGGCATTTGGCTGGGATGCATCTACATGCAAAAATGCTGCTAAGAGTGGCCATTTGGAAATACTCAAGTGGGCCAGAGAAAATGGATGTCCCTGGGATGAATGGACATGCAACAATGCTGTAATCCATGGCCATTTGGAAATACTCAACTGGGCCAGAGAAAATGGATGTCCGTGGGATGAATATACATGTACATATGCTGCATCTAGTGGGCATTTTGAAATGCTCAAGTATGCCCATGAGAATGGCTGTCCATGGAATGAATTGACATGTACATATGCTGCAAAGGGTGGCCATTTGAAAATGCTCAAGTGATGAATATACATGTGCATATGCTGCATCTAGTGACCATTTGGAAATACTCAAGTGGGCCAGAGAAAATGGATGTCCCTGGGATGAATATACATGTGCATATGCTGCAAAGGGTGGCCATTTGAAAATGCTCAAGTATGCCCATGAGAATGGCTGTCCATGGAATGAAAGGACATGTGCATTTGCTGCAAAGGGTGACCATTTTGAAGTTCTCAAGTGGGCAAATGGATGCCCATGGGATTTTAAGACAGCAATGTGGGCCCAGAGGGGACGGCAGAAAGATGTACTGCAGTGGGCATGTGAGAATGGCTGCCCAGAGTCCTACTGCTACACGTAGACTAGCATACACAAAATCCCACAGATACTTTGAATAGACGACGTTTTACTAATTAACTAATAGTTGTTTGCAGTAGGGACTAGGCCAGCGACTGGTAGCCAATAGCAAGATCATACACGAAGTGGGCAATCCATAGGAGAGATCTTATTTCCAGTGAGTGGATTTCTCAAACCAATATTTTGCTGTGTAAAGGTACTAGTACATGTAGCAGTCAGTGTCCCCTGGAACATCCACGAATCGAATCATTCATTCATCCGTATCTTCCTGGCAATCTAGAATTACTATTATGTATTCTCTGCCAACGGCGACAGTGCTTCTTGTACGTATAACGCCAGCGTTTGAATGCGTGCCTTGACCAATCCCAATGGCGCCGTCGGGGATGCAATGGCAATGACCAAGCAATCAAAACTGCCACAGGTGGATACCGCCACAAGCCCCAATTCGAGTTCCATCAAGAGACACTGCAGTTGGCTCTTGTTACTATTGCTATTGTTGTTGCTGCGTGTTGTTGCGCCTTGATCAATGCCGGCGTATTCTTCGCCCAATCGATGATAATCGACGGCAATATCGGCAATGAGCGTCCCCAGATTTTCAATGGCACCCGATGTATTGATCGTAGAATTGTTGATGTTGTTGTTAGGTGTAGTCGTTGTAGTAGTGTTTCCATCGGGAGGAGGTCCAAAGAGGCTGGAACTGCTTCGCTTGGTGCTGGCTCCTAATAGTTCACCGTCGGCCGTCACCAATAGAGACGTGTGTATGACATCGTCGCAAATTCGATTCAAAATGGGAGGAATTCGACAAGACCTGATCATGGTAGTTTTGTAGCTGCCTTGGTATACTATACTATAGTAGCTATAGTAGTGCGGAGAGGATCTCCTTGACTTGTACTGTCTGGGGAGAGTTAGCTATCTACAGTAGCAATGGCGGCAGCCGTCGATCTCGTTTGGGGGGCTAGCTACGGTAGGAGAGTAGTGGATACGGTAGGTGCTACGATGTACAAGAATCGAATCCGAGTACATGTACTAATAATAGTGCGTCCAATTTTCAATTGTCTTTGTGCCATTGTCGGTGTCGTCGTTTGGAGGTTCGAGGTTGGATACGGCTTTTCTTTTGTATGAAGAGGTGTGCGTCTTGGCAGCGATCTTTCTGTGACAAGTCGAGACGAGTCGAGTCGAGTCGTGGATAAGTGGAATCCTAATCACTTTTTGGGAGCATTTTCAAAAATTCATTAGAGCTCAAAAAGGAGCTCTAATGAATTTTTGAAAACGCTCCCAAAAATTGATTAGGATTTTGGATGCGAATCTTTTCTCAAGAGCCAATGTGCGTCTTAAGACCTGGTTCGACAGCCAAATCGATCGGCACCCAATCATTTGTTCGTCTGCGGTTGGTTTGAGTGGTTGTCTCGGTTGTTGTGGCTATCTATTGAATTGAACTATCTATCAGATCAACCATGGAGACTCCTTCGACCTATGCTGCTGGTGGACTGGACGACGACGACGACGAGACAGCCCGTGCATTTGCTGCCATTTCTCAGCAGTTGGATCAATGGACATCTCCTCGCTTAAAGCAGCAACAACAGCAACCGCAACAGCCACATATCGAATCTTGGTCGGATGAACACGACGATGACGACGATGACGATGAGGAGGAACCTGCTCCTCCCGCGTCGTATAGCTATGAACGCAATCCCTTGGATTGGTGGAACCGAGAGCTCGTGAGTCCAGCGGCCGACCAGCAAGACGATGACATGATGATTGCTCCCAACAGTAGTCAATTGCGCGTCACGAGAACCTCCTCCGCCAAGAAGAGCAGCAGTATGACGGGGACACCCCAAAAGCGATCGACTGTCGAACGAGCCGCCACTCCCATCATGAGCAACTCCTCCAAGAAAAATAAGATTCCCAGTAAATACGCCGATTCGTTGACCAAAGGAGGAAGTTTGATGCGCAATTTGGACAACAACGATCAAGACAACAATAACAATAACAATGATTCCTCCTTGATGATGGAAGACGACGATGACATGATGTCTGTCAATGTCCAGTCACCGTGGGCACAACAACAGCAACAACAATCAAGCAGCAGCAGTAGAAAGCCGACGACACCGCAGAACTATTGGGGCGCACCGCCGACACCCCGCGCGTTGCCGTCCTTTCGAAATCAGCAGTACGAATATCGACGCTATCACGATGGATTGTTGGCATTTCTCAAAGCACGACGAAGTCTGTCGGATCGGATTGACATGGATCGAGAGGAGCAGGCCCTCGATACTGCCATGATGATGATTACCAACTCTGACAATGACAATACTACATCATCATCCTCCAAACTGGCGCACGAAGAGACAATGGCCGAACTGGAATTTTTAAAAACACTCAAATTGCTCTGTTGGGAACGATCCGATCTGCGAGAGGGAAATTTCTGGGCCGTAGTGGCGGAACTGCGAACGTTGGGGTTGGCCGCCTTGGTGTGGGCCGACGATCCTGGATCGCTGCGACAAAGTGTCAAAGCATCCACGGCCTTTTTCGAAATCAATGCCATGAATGTGTCTTCGACTCCCAAGGAATTGTTGGAAGACATGGCTGGAAGCGCAACAGGCGTTCCGTTGATTCTATTGCGTCGCAAACGCATCTTGACTGCATTGGAGCATTGCTTCAATCAACTCGTGTCCAAAGAAACCAATGCGTCGGTATCCATATCCACACGAAACAGCAACAACAGTGATGATGATACTAATTTGGGCGAACGCAGTCCTCGCCACATGGAAAATGTCATGAAATCCTGCTTGTCACTATGTTTGGCGGGACGATTGCAAGATGCGCGTGTGTTGCTGCGAAAGGCAGGGCAACCGTGGATGGCAGCCAAATTGGGAGGGGGTGTGCCAGCAGGATTCAACAAGGTCGTCGCCGACGACAACCAGACGGTCGAAATGGTAAAAGTGGGGAATGTCAATCGTCCCTTGTGGAAACGACAGATCTGGACGTTGTCGCAAAAAATGAACAAGAGTAGCGATGCGCTGCCAGAAGAAGCCGCCATTCATTCTCTTCTGGCCAATGACTACCGCAGCGCCATGGAGAATCCCGCTCTGAGGTCCTGGGAAAAGGGGCTCTATGCCATCCTTCATGCCGTGTGGGGTCGAAGCGAAGATGAGCAGCTTCATTTGCACAATAACCATCGACGACAGTCTCGGCCACCGTTTCCCGGGACGTTGTACGAAGATTGTGAACGAGCGCAGCTGCAAGCCACCTCGGAATTGGCAAACCTTTCCGAACAGGGTGTCATTGACATGCTCGCCTCGTTTGATAATTCTTCCAGAGGTGGACTGGACAACCTCTGTCAAGCCATTTCAGCCTTGCTGGTGGGTTCCTCGGCGCTTTCCAACTATTTGATTCAAGAAACAGAAACGTTGACCAACAGTGATGCAGAGGAACCCGAAGATATGGTGTCTCGTCTCCGATTCGTCACCCATGTGCTGCTGTATCTGGATTCCTTGACGGCCTGTACAACACCGGTCTCGCTGCCAGGGATCCAGGATGCGAAGGACCAGGCTCTCTTTGCGTACGTGGACCACCTGGCCAATCACGAGGAATTGGTAAGTCAGCCACAACAAGTTAGTTGTGCAAAACCCCATCAAGCCTTTTGTGTGCCTCGTGCCCTGGTCCTTTAATCACTCTGACACTGTCCTTGTCTTGCTAGTGGCATTTCTTGGTCCTTTACGCGAGCTTGCTCCCTGAACACGTCATCACGAGCTACTTTCCCACTTTGCTGGTTCGAGTCGAGGGAGCTGAGGAACGAAGAATTATGGTGCAACAGACGCGGGAATTGCTTCCCAGGCTTGATTTGACACTCCTCAAGGTTGTCGTTCGTTCCATTCTGGCCGAGGAAGATGACATTATGACGTCTGGTGGTCGTGAAGACGCTGCCAACAACGTTCCGTCCCGATCCGACATTCGAAAGATGAAGGCGATCCAATGGTTGTGCTTTTATCCGGAGCATGCTGGAGATGCCTTGATTGCTGCAAACATTTTGCTTCGAAAGTTTGCGGCGCAAAACAAGCTTGCGAGTGCTGCCATGTTCTTGCAGGACTTTTTGCCAGCAGGGGTCATCTCGGTCGCCATGTCTTCCACTGAAGTGAACAAAGAAGACAATGTTGAAGCCGTGGCCGAGAATGAGATCTATCAAGCTCTAGTCGGGAGAGCTAAAACTGAGCACGTTTCCTTCCAGTCCTACCTCAAGGCATTCAGAGCTGTGGAAGAATGGCGTCTCGTCATTGGGAGTACTCCAGCTTCGGGGTCAGCTGTGGATGACAAGGTCGATTCAAGCGCACTCAATGAACGCGAGCAGTCGATCGCTAAGTCCATGGAGCGTCGCGAAGTCATTCTTCAAAAGCGCAAGGTCAGCCACATGATTGTTGAGGCTGCGGACACGGCTACGAAAGATATCATGCGTGTCCTGGTTCACGATGGTGGCTGGCTAGCTGATTCGGATGCTGATACTGGATTCAAGGACAACACCACTGAAGGCGCAACGCGAAGGCAGGAGATTCGAGCTCTGCGTTCACGCATGCTGCCATATGCGGTGAAGCTGTACACTGAAGTATGCCAGGAAACGGCGTTGTGGATGTGGAATTCTTTGCTGGATGGGTCCCCTGTTCTTGGTTCCAGCCCCAAAGAAGTGCTGGAAGCGCTGGATCAGAATGCTTCCATGGACGGAGACGATATCGCGTCTACGGTGCCTCCGATATCCCCAAGATACTGGACGCATGACGCTCTCGAGTTGGCGGAGATTGTGTCTTCTGACGAGTTCCTGGTGGCAGAAGCTTTTGGAGCCGCAGATCTGAAGGAAATGCTAAACAAATTATCGGATATTTCCCTTGAAGACTTGACGTACACGACATGAGGAGAGGCTAGGATGTTTGTCCAGTGTTGAAGGGAACGAGTAACTATGGTGCAGCAATGCCGTATCGTACCGTAGCTAAGATAAGCATTTTCGTTCCTGTCTGTCCGAATCTAAAACGTAAAAGTAGCCGACTTGTGATCTCTAAAGAACAGCGTACGGTACTACTCGTGATGGCATCCCATCGGAGATTGGTCTACTGGCATCTTCACTGGAGGTGTCGTGGCTTTATGGCAACGGGTTGTCCGGCAGTATCCCCCCTAGTCTATGCAACAACCCGCACTTGAGCGAAATTCGAGTGGACTGCGTCACTGTGGAGTGTCTATCGTCGTGTTCTCAATGTGTGTGTGGCCCTCACCATTAACTAAAACTGACTGTGCCACTCCTGAATAGACGCTCCATGCATCTGCGGGAGCTGGCTTGAGTATGTCACTTGCAGGGACAGCAAACCAGCTAAATAGCCGCCTTACACCGCCAAACCACTCACAATGAGACACAGAATCATACCATACTCTTGCCATGCTTTTACTTTATAAGAGCATGACAGAGCGACAGGTGGTTAGCCCCAGGCACAGCAAGCAAGTGTCGATGTGATGCAATTGCAGAGCTTGCATTTACATTGCATGAGAGCGTTCCCTGAAGGAAGTTGGAAAAAGAAGACATCATTGGACAGGTAGTTTGGGCTACACGATTTGATGCATACTACATGCCAGAGCCCTTCATCGGATGAAGGGGAAAGAGTGGAAACGCTGGCAATAGACTACTTTGCAAATGACAATCTATAGTTTTATTCTTTGGCAGCAGTACCTGTACATCAGGAACAGGATTGCAGAAGGCCATCCCAACTGATCCGAGATCAAACTCTGTACTGGCTCACAGCTTTGTTTTTTGAAGCAAGGTCTAAGAGTCTACGCCATTTAATCGTCATAGGTATATTTGGTAGAGAAGCTCCGTTCCGTGTTGATAGCTCCACCCGTTCTCGCGAATCCATTAAAACTCCTCTTCCTCTTTGTCTTTTCGTGTCGGAAATCTTTGCCCCGTACTTGCATCAGTTTCTCGCTGGATCTTGCACCAAATCCATCCTGTCCAAAAGCTCCTTCGTACGAGTTGTCGGCCATGGCTCCACCATCGTTTTCTGCCATTTCGCCCCAAAAGTCACTGTCGACACGTTGGAATGGTTTCCCCTTGCTCAGAGCCTGGGCACCGTCGGTCCCTCGCTCGGTCGTAATAGTGGTGTTTGCCGAAGGTTTGGATGGTTTCCAGTTCAATGCCGCTGCTGCGGCTTCCTTGGCTCGCTGAGCGAGTTCTTTCAATTTTTGTTGCTTTCGTGCTGCCACTTCATTTTCCTCGTCCGAGGAACTGTCATCCGACGAGGAGGAAGAATCAGAAGACGATCCATCACTACTACTGGAAACATCCTCCGATGCCACCGAGGACACATCCGAGACTTCGACATCACTGACGTCGGAATCATCATCCGAATCATCGGGTGACACGTGTGCCGACTTTTTGGCCTTTTTGCTAGGGGGGCCCTTGTCGTCCGACTCTCGCTTTTTCTTCTGCTTCTTGTCGGATAGTTTTTGGATGGCAAGCTTCACTTCCTTGTCGTCATCCTTCTTGGCTTTCTTCTTCTTGGTGGTGGTTGCTTTCTTCTCATCATCATCACTATCGCTGGAATCGCTGCTGTCGGAATCGTCCTTCTTGGTCGCCACTTTACCTTTTTTCTTGCTGATTGCTGCCTGTTTCTTTTTATCTTCGCCATCATCGGAATCACTGCTGCTGGAAGAAGAAGAGTCACTGTCCGAGTCTGGAGCTGCTTTCTTGGCTGCTGGCGTTGCTGTTCTCTTTGCGATTGGTTTATTATTGGTTTTTTTCTTCTTCTCATCATCATCGCTGCTAGAGTCGGAATCACTGGATGAAGAAGAGTTCTCGTCCTTCTTTTGGTTTTTGGACTGTGGTTTGTTGGGTGTTTCTGCTTCACTGTCGCTGCTGTCGCTACTGCTGGAAGAGGAAGATGAATCATCCTTTTTGGCGGCTTGCTTGGGTGTAGATTTTTTTGTGGCTTGCTTGGGTGTAGATTTTTTGGTTGCAGGTGCTTTTTTCACATCTTTCATTTTTTCATCATCGTCACTACTGTCACTGCTGGAAGAAGAAGACGAAGAGTCTGATTTGGATTTTTTGGCTTGTGACGGTTTTGGTTTTTCTTCCTCGCTGTCGCTGCTGTCTGAGGATGACGAGTCACTGCTATCTTTCACCTTTTTTGCTGCTTTGCTAACTTTTTTGCTGTCAGGCTTCTTGTCAACTTTGGTGGTTTCCTTTTTCTCATCATCACTGCTGTCTGAGGATGAAGACGATGAAGACGAGTCACTGCTATCTTTCGCCTTCTTCTTCTTCTTGTCTTGAGTATCTTTTTTCTCCTTCTTCTTTCGGGCAATGGGTGATTCCTTCTTGACTTTTTGCTTTTTTTCTTCTTCACTGCTGCTGCTATCACTGCTGCTACTGCTGGAGGAGGTTTTCTTTTTGGAAGATTCCTCGTCCACGTTGGCCGTTTGTGGTTGCAAAACCAGTTTTCCTTGCGTGACGTGTCCTGCACCCCATTTCGCTTCGACTTCCTTTTGCAGTGCCTTGCTTGCCTTGGTCCAGTTCTTTTGCTGAAGATATGCCAAAATGGCAATCACCATGTCCTTGCCATCATCGTCGATGTCAGCCGTCATCGTGGAGTTACCAGTACGATTTTTGCACAAAAAGTCAACGAAACCGAAAAAAATGAGATGGCAATCGGCTTCGGAATTTCGTGGTGGGTGGGACTGTTGATACGTGCTTCATTGGAGTCACTAGTCAGTCGGTTGAAGGACCGACGGTCACCTTACCCTCTTACTAAACCTTGCTTGGCTGCCGCCGACCAACCCAAGCCAACGACGACAACAACATCTTCATTGTCGCCTCTATCTATCGAGTTAGTTGTCAGCCTTACAAAGTATTGGAATGCTTGTGAGCTGCGAGACTTAGATCCATCTCTCACTTCTCACTTTGCTCTAGGTGTGTTGATCTTGTAAAGAGGTATTTTATGTAATTCAAAGTATTCCATTGGCTCATCTGATTTTATTCTTTTATTCTTTTTCCTGTTGCCACAGTCGGAAGTGATTCTTTCAGTTATTCATTCATCATCATGTCTGCCTACCCACCCAAGAAGGATGAAGACCCCCAGGCATCGACTGCCGTGGTGCATCGCATTCGCATCACCTTGACCAGTCGCAATGTCGCCAACATTGAAAAGGTCTGCCGCGAATTGAAAAAGGTGGCCTTGGACAAGAAGCTCCATGTCACAGGACCCGTTCGTATGCCCACCAAGCGATTGACCATTACCACTCGTAAGGCTCCTTCCGGAGAAGGTACCAACACGTGGGATCGATTCGAAATGCGCATTCACAAGCGTCTCATTGATCTTCATGCGCCTTCCGATGTGGTCAAGCAATTGACTTCCATCCCCATTGAACCTGGTGTAGAAGTGGATGTTACCATTAATGATCGTTAGACAGACAATCATCTATCAATCAGTCAATCTACACTGCAAGTAAGCAAGCTAGTAGTGATAGTGTAATGATCTAATTAACTGGTGGACTTTGGTACCTCGGTATTACTAAAGTCTCCTTCGTTGAGGCCCAACTAGACTTGCTACCTCTGCAAGCCCTGTAGTCGTTCGAAATCTTGCTGTTACGAACAACCGGACAGTGCGTATTGACAGCATCTGCATGTGTTTTGTTTAGGCCGGGACAGAGCTGCGTGAAGCTCCGAGATGGGGTTCCACGCAAGTCCAGCCATTCCGAGCTTCGAGATGGCCCCATTGGTGCAACCCCAAAACCGGGGAACGCCCTCGGTAAGCCGCAAGAGGTGCTCTCAGAGGAGACCGTATCTGTGCAACTGCGGGCTTTTGTAGACGGCTATGTTACCTCGTGCTATTCATCTAGTCTACTTCAACACTACCGGTACCAGTGCGTGTACTACTAGCTACAGTACGGTAGTAGTAGGTCCAGACTTCATTGCATCATATTACTGTTTTGAGTTCCGGCGCCTCCATGCCTCCAAGCAGCTTGCGAGATTGTAGCTGGGTATGAGAAAGGCATAATAGTACCATCAGACAAATTTGCTGGCTTGTTTCTACCCTGCCACCAAGCTCGTCGATGCAATTGGTCTCGATTCTCGATCATCAACAAGTACCAACTGAATTCAGAACATACATGCATTCACTTACTGAGGACTGCAGCCAGCTTGTAGTACATTTCGACCTTGTTATCTAGCTAGCTAGTGATCTCGGGCCTTTGAATGTCCCTTTGGCGTGGTGATTTCCTTATCGTATTTCTTACAAGAAAAGCTAGCTAGGAAAGGGTATCTTCGCCATCCCGCACGACAATCAATCAATCAATCAATCAATCAACCACCATGAGCGAAGAACAGCAACACAAAAAAGTCTGGAACGAGGATTTGGTTCGCGCCTTGCGAGCACGGCACCAGCAAGCTTGGCAGCAGCAAAAACAATCGCAACATCAATGGAGACAAGGCGCCGAAGCGGTGGAAAAGATTCGAAAGGATATTCGCCTTACCAAAACGGGAAAGATCTTCAACCTGGATGCCAAGCTGCTCACCAAGACTGTGTACGAAGAATGTGTCAAAATCATAAAGGGACAAGCGGACATTGAGCCTCCAGGATTCAGCCCTCTCAGCGAAGCAGAACTGATGCACGCACGGGATAATACTGTGAATCCGTACATCACCAATATGCAGAAGAACTCTGGTGCCTACGCCATTCTGCTGGCCTTCTACATCAGTGGAAAAGACAGCCTCAGCAAGCAAGAGATAATTGCTCTTGGACAACAGTTCTGTAGTTCTGAAATGGAAGCTAACTACTTTGCAGGGCGCTTGTATGGAGCTTGGAAGTCTAAGGATACTTTGATTAGGCATGGACTCATTACGCAGCACAAGACAGGAGCATCCTATATCCCCAACAGGGGCTTTAGGTCCAATGGAAAACACACTTTTAGCATTAGTGAGGACGGCAAGAGAGCAACACGCCAAATGCTGCAGAAATGGCCAGATATCGATGTACAGCCGGGCAGTGCATCTGACGGCGTTTCTCAAGGCCATGCTCAATCCGCAGCCACACCCACAAGGGGTTATTCTTCCTCGGCTACTCCCAAAAAGAAGAGCGCAAAGAGCGGGGACGACGAGAAAGAGCTCCTACAATGGATCCAATCCGCTACAGAGGGACAACAGAAAATGTTCAAGGGACTAGGAAAGGATCGAAGAATATGTCTGCACAAGTTATGCGATAAGCTGAAGGGTGATAATCCTGGATTGGAACTGGAGCATCGGTCCATAGATGGAGCAGGAACAAGGAGAGATCTGTACATTACCTTGAGAAGAAAACCTGCCGGGCTATCGCTTGGTGGCCAACCCTATCCAGCCACTCCCCCCACCAAGAAACGGCAACACACACACCCCAGCGGCAGTGGAGGTCACAAATTGGGAGCGAGTGCCAAGAAACCCAGATCTTCTGGTACGGCAGCAGCCTCTGCAGCATTGGCCAGATTTGAGCAAAACACACCCAATCAAAGCCCTGATAAGGGCGCTTCCCTCTCCCCAATTCCTAGTCACCAAATTGTGGAACTAAACGACAGTGACGACGAAGAGGAAGACAGAAAACCTGCTGCCAAGCCAAGCACTGCAGTCTCTGCCCCACCTTCCCTCTCCCCGATTCCTAGTCACCAAATTGTGGAACTAAATGACAGTGAGGACGAAGAGGAAGACAGAAAACCTGCAGCCAAGCCAAGCACTGCAGTCTCTGCCCCACCTTCCCTCTCCTCGATTCCTAGTCACCAAATGGTGGACTAAACGACAGTGAGGATGAAGAGGAAGACAGAAAACCTGCAGCCAAGCCAAACACTACAGTCTCCGCCCCACTTTCCCTCTCCCCGATTCCTAGTCACCAAATGGTGGGACTAAACGACAGTGAGGATGAAGAGGAAGACAGAAAACCTGCAGCCAAGCCAAACACTACAGTCTCCGCCCCACTTTCCCTCTCCCCGATTCCTAGTCACCAAATGGTGGGACTAAATGACAGTGAGGATGAAGAGGAAGACAGAAAACCTGCTGCAACACCAAGCACTGTAGTCTCCGCCCCCTTTCCCTTTCCCCGATTCCTAGTCACCAAATGGTGGAACTAAACCACAGTGAGGATGAAGAGGAAAACAGAAAACCTGCTGCCAAACCAACACTCAGTCCCGCCCCACTTTCCCTCTCCCGATTCCTAGTCACCAAATGGTGGACTAAAACAGTGAGGACGAAGAGGAAGACAGAAAACCTGCTGCAACACCAAGCACTGTAGTCTCCGCCCAACCTTCTCTCTCCCCGATTCCTAGTAACCAAATTGTGGAACTAAACGACAGTGAGGATGAAGAGGAAGACAGAAAACCTGCTGCCAAACCAAACACTACAGTCTCCGCCCCACAATCCGGCCCATCTCCTTCTGCAAAACCGCGAAATCCCTGGGATTACCAACCAGGGGACGAATGTTTACTCCAATCTGAAGGAGGTCAGAGTTGCCTTATTATGAGGGTGCACGTGGATGGCCATGTTACTCTGATTCTGGCGGATGGCAAGGAACGAAAGGTATCCGTAAGAGAAGTCGCGCCTTTACCAGAGGCAATTGCTGATTATGAGAAATACAAGAACACCCAGTCAGCAGCCACGGTCAAGCGAGAAACAGTTCAATCTGCCTCCATCACAACATATTCCAAAACCGCGCCCTCTTTAAAACTTGATCCTACCAAAGGCAACACAGATGTTGTCGACTTGTGCGATGACGAGGAAGAAGGACCAACGAGCACCATTTCTACCAATCTACCACCCAAACCCAGTTCCAAATTGGTGATTCTCATCGACGACCGAGAACGCTCTCGTAACCACAAACCAAGAGAGCTGAGGATAGAATTGGGAAAAGAAATGCAATCTGCTTCGTTTAGAAACGTCTGGGCTGATGGGATGTCTCCAGCGACCGTCGAAGAACACAAGCTGAGTTATGGAGATTTTGCTTTCGTGGAAGACACCGATGAAGGCAGGCAACAGAGGCTCTCATTGGTCATAGAACGAAAGAGAGTGGCGGATCTGGTGCAGCGCTCGGCCTACGGAGACCATTGGAAGCAACTGACCAGAATGAGAGATTGCTGCCAACATGCTATTCTTCTGATTGAAAACGATACCAGAGTCGCTTGTCGGTTTGATGCCTACGGTGGCCAATCCATGGAACCAAGGCCGGGACAGCACACTATCGAGAACGATGCCGATATCTTTCTTTTCATTGGAAGGGCCGTTCTCTCGTCGCCACGAATCAAATTTGTGCAGTCCAAGGATGCACGAAGGACCAATAGGAGCGTAGGAGCAATTGGATTGATAGCACTTCAATCTCCTACTGTTAGACGAAATGCACCCCTGAAGGCTCGCTTTGCCAAGTCAAAGCAACTAACGTTACAAGATCGACTGACTTCGGGGGGCATCGAATGGAAGATTGCCAAGGAGGTGGCTGTCCAATTTGGAAGTGAGGCTGCACTGGTAGCTGCATTCAGTACTTGTTCCTCGGATGTAGCCAAGCAATCGCTGCTTCATCCAATTCTCCAGAACATGGGCGAGAGAGTCAAGTGCTCTGGATGTCGAAGGCATTGGAGCAAGGCCATTCACTTGGTGCTCGCCGCCACAAGCGATGTGCGGACCACCAAACGACATTCCTACCAAGATATTCTGACCAAGGTTGGAAGGAATGTTTGCGATCCAGCGGTGCTTTTGTGCCATGTGTACACTGAAGAGACAGCAGATGCGGGCCTCAATGCAGCGTTGGACAGTCATGCGACCACTGCTGCCGAGGACAGTAGATCAGTGACCATTCGGATTTCCGGGGCCTTTGGTCCCTGTTTTGACATGCCGAAGGAATCTTCGTTCTATTCCCTTCAAGTTACCAACGGAGAGAATCCATGGTCTCTACCCTGCTGCCAGCTCTCCACATCATCTGGACGGTTCTATTCTGATAAGGTGGTCGTCTTCCTATTGGAAGGATCCCAATTGATTGAAGAGACGACCGCTACAATACAAAGCAACAACAATATCTCACTGTTGGACGAAGCCAGAAGGTTGGCTACCAAATGGAAGAATCTCTGCCAGTTGGACAACGGCAATCAGGAGGCTTGCCGCAGAATCTTGTTGGTTCGCGGGCTTGGGCCTGCACTTGAGAAGGCTGCCAAAGATGCTTCTTACCGAGAAGAGACGACAGTCGTTTGCGACATGATCTTTGCAGCTCTCATGGTGGAACACAACATTGTCGTGCTGGAAGCCGTTCGAAAGAAACAGGAAGAGACGACAATGATATTGCGACAACTGGCGCTAGCGTGCTTTCACTTCCAATTGCTAGCGCACTGCAAAGGTTGATTACTAGTAGGTTTTGGATCGGCCCAGGATAGAACTCGTTTATACCTCAACTTTCTTGACTGTGGCAGCCATAGGTTGCTATTATGAGCTGTGTTTATAATGCTTTCTAATTGACTTGATTCTACTATGAACAGTTGTGTCTACCGTATCCAAGCAATACAAGCGAGTGAAATTTGTTTGCTTGGTCTCTGTGTGTACATGTTCATCCATCCAAATCGACGAAGGATAGGTTTGTTGTATGATATTCTAAAAGAAGGACTCGGCATACAATTGACACAATGCTGTCTGGAGCTCTAATTTGGCAGGACGATGTTTCCGTCGCTTGAGTCCAACCTGATCGCAGAGGTTCTGATAGGTATGCCCAGAATAAAGGTTTGGATTGTTGTCTGACAGGAGAGAAAGTTCCTTTGGCTTGGCTTCTTCAATGGCGTTGGCAATAACTCGGTAGTTGTTCTGCTTGAGCCAAAAGAGGAAATCCTCCATATCATGGATCCATTGTTGCGGTTCCACCACCATGGCCGGCTGGGTCTTGTCATGGGGTAAATCAATGACAATGCACGGATTGATAGCTTCGTAACCAATATCCAGATTGGACGCATTGACATAGAGGGTATGGCCATCGTAGCTGACACCATATCCCTCATGAATATGACCAAAAATGTGCAAGCGAGGTTTGACGCGATCTTGAATCTCCTGCAACAAATCTTGACATCCAAAGTTGCCCGAGTGAAGTGTGACATCCTGACGACCCTGAGGCGGTCCATGGGTGACAAGGACATCTGTGTCATTGGGTATTCTTCCCCACACTTTTCCCAATGCTTCTCCCCGTTCCAAGTTGAATGCCCATTGAAAGAAACTGGATGTGCAATGACCAAACAAAGCAATGACGAGTTAGCAGGATTGAAGTACGGTACGGTACCCATCAAGAAAGTTGATCCAGCACCATCCTTACCTTGGAGTCCACGGCGACCCATACACGCTAATCTTGTCATTCAAGATTCGAGCACTGGAATCTTCCAGGTAGGTACAGTGTTGCAATGCCTCTCTGGTTTCGAATGGGTCAAATGACCGAATATGCCTTGACCATGTTTTCTCATAATAGTCTGGATGGAACGTAATGTCGTGGTTTCCCGCTATACAAACCACCTCTTGAAAGCCGGAATCTTGTTGCTGTTGTTGAAAATAGCGACTTAGATCATGTACGGCATCTGTCTCTCCAATCTTGGTAAAGTCTCCGGCATGGATCAACACGTCTCCGTGTGGTAAAAAGGGGATATCGGCATGTTTGCCATGGGTATCACTCATGCAAACGATTCGAGAGGAACCATGTGGCTGCAACGAATGAGACATGGCACCCTCCAGAACAAAGTTGGATGTGGTCGTTGGCGGAGACAAGTCGTTGTTGCTTAGTAGTTGCTTCCGCACCGAGGACAGCGTTTGCATCCGCAAAAGAGCCCGATTGTGCAGTTTGGCAAGGAACATGGTAGAATGTCAGTTCTTTCCTAAAAAGGGCAGGGAGTAGACAGAGCAACCTCAGAGAGCTCGAAAGAAATCCTCCCGTTGTCAGAGATATGGGTTTTGCCGTCTTGGTTTCCGTTCAGGTTGGCAGATTCGATTTGTTCTGTGGTAATAAGCGCAAGAATCTTGTTGGGAATGGTGTCAGTGTTTTGTGACGGTCTGAACCTCACTTCCTCCAAAGCTGACGTGGTGTCTTTGTAGACATCGTTCTGACACATGGTTATAAATCCTTTAGTGCCTTCCGACATTGCTGACAATCTAAATGCCCCCCTTGGCCAACCCCCCAACCCCAACCCAAAACACTTCAAAAATATAATTTCATAAATTTTTTAGCAGAAGAGGTGCAAAGAAAAACTAATGGAAACTTTTGAGTCCCACAAAAGGGGCGCAGCGCCCCGGCGCAGTGGCGCAGAGTCGGCGCAGCGCCATGACGCAGCACCTCTAGGGTCAAAACAGATTGATAAACATGGACAAACCACCCTTGAACCATTATCATATTCTTTCAAAACAATGCAAAGGTTAGAAGGGAAGACTACCCTCATCCACACCTTCCAAGTAAAATCTCTTTTTAGAATACAAAAATACCCAATGACACTGGTTGTGCAGTTACCACAGCAATCGGTTAATAAAATGCAGCCAGACATGGAGATTTGGTAATCTGAAAACTGAAGCCCTGGGCCTAAACATCCGAGCAGCTTCGATTTTATTGATTCAAACGCGTGCCGGCATTTCTGCTACAGTTCTACGAGAGCTTGTGTAGAGGTGTACTGAAAAGAGTGGCGCGCGTTTGAATCAATAAAATCGAAGCTGCCTGTACACGCTCTGCTGCTGCTGAATGTGGACACTTGGAAATACCGGTATCTAGATCCGCTGTACGTAACTCACCCCCTGCACCCAGCAACCCAAACCCCAAACACTCCCGTGTGTAAAAGCCAGCAGTACAGCTCTACAATGACCGCGACCACTTGACCCCAAGACGCCGAAGGCTTTTGAACCGGCATTGCCGCTGGACACACTTTCTAATCAGCAACAAGCAGAGTGATTGCATCAATCGAAAGAAGTCAAGATGGCATCGTCAGGGTGGCCATGGATGCAAGGAATTGAGGTGGCAATTGATGATCCCATTGCCCCCGTTTGTCCCGAGGATGATCGTCCTTCCGTCAAGGTACTGATAGAGGAACACGCGGAGAAAATTGCCAAGATCAAGGCAGCATTGCGAGAAGATCCTCTCTTTGATGCCGACAAACACGACGATTTGTGGATTCTTCGTTATTGGTTGTCCCACAAGAAGAGCAAGGATGCCATTGATGCCGCCAAACATACCTTAAAGTTTCGTCACGAGCATCATCTCGATGACAAGGATATTCGTTCCGTCGCCCCGCAACATGTGACTATGGAACAAAACAGCAAGATTCGAGAATATTTGGATTGCTGGAAACCGGATGCGGTGCTATTGACCCATCCACATCCCCAAAGAGGTGTTGTGACCTTTATCAATTTTGCCAGCATGGACCAACATGTCGTTGTGGAACGGTGCTCAGAAGACCACTGGTTTGAAATATACTTGTATTCGTCAGAGTGGGCCTTTCAATGGCTCGACTACGTGACACGGTAAGAGAAAATTCGATCAAGTCATCAGACAAATGGAATGGAACATGATCTCTCACTTTCAACTTAGGACCACGGGACGCTTGACCAAATCGGTCCGATTGGCAGACCTTTCCGGCCTTACCCTGGGGGGCTTCAATCGAGAATGCGGAAAACGAGATGGCAGGGCCATGACATTGATGGAAGATTGTTACCCACAACTGCTGGAAACTGTCTTTATCTGCAATGGACCAAGCCTTATCTGGGCAGTCTGGAAGCTATTCAGTGTCATTGTTCCCAAGAGAGTCAAATCCAAGTTTGACATTATCAGCCCCAAAGACAATCCCAAGGATCGGAAGAAACTCTTCCGGCATTTGACAGAGGAAGATTTGCCAGAGGTGTACGGGGGAAAGTACACAGTGGGTCCAGAGATATGGGGGTTAGTATCCGACGATGAGAATGGCACGGGCAGTGACACCGCTGCAAACTGAGAAAGGATGAACGACGTGTTTGAATCTGCCTAATGTTAGCTGTATCATCTATCTGAAATCAGAAACAAGGATCAGATTGTGTATTGTCTACAATGATGGTTGCCCTGGCTGGAGCTCCTGCCTCGCATTTACTGTCAGTCGAGACGATTTCACCATTCATTCAGAATGGGGAGCATGGCTCTGGCTTTCCTGTTCTCAGGTACTACCAGTACTGCTTAGGAGCGCTTCGCAAGAAGCTAACGGTGCCATTGAGCGGCTCATCGCAAGCTGCAGCGCCGTAAGAAGTCCCTAAATCCTTCTTTTCTCTGCAGCTAGCTAGCTTCTTAGCGGCTTTAATGAGTTACTCAGCGTATTGATACCGGCAGCTGGCTACTGGACCTGAAGCAGCTGACATCTGCTTCATCGCGATCCTTTTCGTGAGCTAGCTAGTAGGAAGGGTGCATCATCGCCGTGATGTCCAACCAGTAGCAGTGCCACAAGGTTGCTGCATTCAGGTGACAGACACCTCTCTTGCTGCCAAGAGTTGTCTCTCCGAAAGCTAAATAGTACTTCAAAGCGCAGCTACAATCCCAAAGACTTTTTGCGGCGTGAAACTTAGGCTCTATAGTAAACGTTTCGATCTACGCCAGCTAATAGGCAACGCGTCATTGCATCCCCCAAAGCAAGCAAATCTTAGAAAGCTTCAACTCGGCGTTGCGGTAGATGGATGGGTGTATGAACAATACTTTGTGTAGCTGTTTGTGCATACAAGCAGGCAAGCAAAAGCAAGTAATTTATCGAACGTAAACGGCGGCAGCGTTTGTCTTGGTAAGGTAGCTGTAGTCCGAAGAGTAGCTTTGTCCACCTGCGGCAGCTTTGGAGAGGACATCAGAGATGTCGTTGGCCTTGACGTACTTGTCGTAGGCGGTCTTGACGGCGCCCTTGTCACCCTTGCGGATTCCGGAGAAGATGGCGTTGACATCATCGATGGCGGCTTTCTTGGCGGCCTTTTCCTTGGCGGTGGGGTAGACACCCGAGTTGAAGAGGATGAAGGCATTCTTCTCATCAACAATGGAGGCAAAGTCTCCACTGTCAACGGCCTTCTTCAAGGCGGCGATGCGGCTTCCGTAGACAACCTTAGCCTTGGTCTTGGAGGCAGTGCTGACGGCACCATCGGCGGAAGCAATGGCGGGAATTCCGGCAAGGACGGCTCCGGCAGTGGCGATTTGTCCAAAGGCAACACGACGGTCCATGTTCAACTCAGTGCTGGTTCGCTGTAACAAAAGAGACGGACCAAGAGAGAAGATCAGATTGGCATCTTTTACATAGTCGACCATCAAACTACTAGTAGTAGTATCCAAAGCTAATAACTTACCGAGCTGGTAGCTGGGGCGAAGGCAGCGGCCGAAGTGGCGAGAAGGGCGCAGAAAACAGCAGAGAACTTCATGGTGTCAGTTTGAATATTTTCACAACAAGAGAGAAAGTGAGAGTGTCTACTCGAAGCGGTAAGGCACGTCACAGAGGCCAAAGAAGAAGAAAGAGGTTGAGAGTTGAAACTCCTTGATGGCCGTATCCGACACCAAGGATCCGAAAAGCCGTGTTGTCGTTATGGAGGTCGATGCAATCAAGTTGGGTATCTTGGATCTTCAAGAATGATGTCTGGCCTTCGACGGAGAACACGTCACTCTTTGTTCCCGAGTTTTCGTGATCCATTAAATCACGATAAAGACTGAATCTTAGTTATTTATTTATTTCCTTTGGATCTGAGTCTTTGCCATCTGCCATCTGCCATTGCCAAAGCCATCTCAAGCATCAAGACAAGAAGCAGATAGATGGTACCCCGATAGCCAAGTTATCTATGGATAAAATCCATCCAGGTGAAGCCATCAAGCAAGCTACAAGTGAGGCGTGGAGGGGTTGCGGATGAAATAAGGGAAAGACTAGAGATTGAGAAATTCAAATTTTCCTTCCTGATACCCCTAACTGCCACCGGTATCCTTTTTTTCAGAATAAGCTTGCAGCAACATGACGGCTGGTTCCAACAATGGAACAGGCGACGCTTCTGGATCCATCAATGACATGCACTTGTCGCCGTTTCGAGTGCTGGGGATTGCCTTGGTGGTGGATCAGCTCGGCAAAGAAGCCAGAATGGCCTTTCGCTACCCCACGTCACTGAACAGTGGCACCACTTCGGACAGAGGAGGCGACAATCATCATTATCCGACAATGAAGAGCAGCAGCAGCAGCAGCAATGAGCTCTTCTTTACTCTGTCATCTCGACAAATGGCAAAGCTATTCCGACCCAAGCACGCCCTCTGTGGACAACCCATGACACTTTCCGTGGGAGGCACCGTGTTTTGTTTCCGTGCCGTTCTCATGGGAGACTCTTCCGTGGAATCATCCTCCAATCATCACAGTAATAGTAATAATAATGAAGCCACAACAGCAGCAGCAGCTTCTTCCTCGGCGTCCGTCACATCCTCCAATAGCAACAATACAAACAACAATACCGCCACCAACAACAATTTACACACCAACAGCGACCAGCTGGTTCTCTTTAGTGTCATTGTGGCACTGGCTCCTCAAATCGATATTTCATCCATACCCATTTCGGGATGGTACGAAGGAAATGACAATGAAAATCAAGCAGACTTGCTCAATCAGAGCTTGCATCGATTCTATTCGTCCGCATCGGTAGGAGGATCCTCGGACGGAATGGGATCCCACAGCAGTCACATCCCCGTATCCCAGGAGAATCATCGAGCTTCGGCATCCTTCTTGGCCATTCGACGAGTCCAACTCTCCTTGGCTCGACTGTGTCGCGTCTTGGAACGAGAAGAAAAGCGATGTCGATACATTTCCATACAAACCAATCACTTTTTTCGAATACGAGCCGAGCTACAGAAAAAGTGGGAAGCCGGAGTCGTGGTGCCTCCCAATGGTGCTGGTGCTGGTAATACTAAACCACCCAGCAGTCCCAAATCCGAGTTTTCGGGTAAGGGGCCTTCGGCGGCCGAACGAAGCAAAAAAGGTGCCGCTCATCATCGAAGGGGAAACTCGTTTAGTCATGGTATTCTCGGCGGTGGCGATGCATCCGTGAAGGAACACCGACGCAAGGACAGCACCAGCAGCACGAACCCTCATCCAACACCCAGTGCCGAGCTACTCGAAGAAGACAAAGAGCAGGAGATACTGGAGCAAATACTGGCGTCGGGGCCACAAAAAGAGGACGGTGCGGATCGACAACAACATGGAAACCTTGGACGAGAGTTGGTGCATGTCTTTCATGCACTCTCCAGGAATGACCACGACTTTCCACCATCACCGTCTGTACTCAGTGGACGCGATGGAGTCGTCTACGTGAATCGACACATTGCAGTAGCCATGGAAGCAGTCTCCCAACCAAAGACGCTCTCCTCTGCGCAACAAAAGTTGAACAGTGTCATTGTACGACCCTACCACACGCTGATTTTTCCAATAGCAAATGCCTCTCCGTCGCAATTGCTACAAGCGCTACAGTCGTCAGGGTTCACAGTGCCATTGCAACAGTTGTTGCTCATGGTGCGTCCCTCCAAACCGTTGATGGACATTGCCGTGGATGCCAATTTGAAACTATCCGTCACAATGGAACTGGCCAACTACATGGTGAGCCATGGAGCATGCGTGGCATCCACCGTGTTGACTCGAGCTTCGCGGTTGGCGTGTAAGAGAGTGGACCGCATTCAAGAGCTGGCCTTGGACTTTTCCCAAACCTTTGACGATTGGTCCGTCAGCCTGTTTTTGATTGTCAACTTTCTTACTAACAATGGAAGGACATTGGGAGAATCCATGAAAGCCTTGACGACTGGTGACGATGTGGTTAGTGCCTCTCTCCGGGCCGGCATTTTATCGGCAATGTTTCATGAAGATGACACGGACGAGTACATTTTTGTGGAAAACAACGACGAAGGTGTGAATGGTGTAGTGGTGAATGGTCCAGGATACGTATCTCCCGGCCCTTCCGAAGACCTCAAGCAGCATCAGCTTCTCCATCCGCGATCCGAAGAACTGGACGAAGTTCTCTACTCCATGGCGATATGGCTGCTGTCTCATCAAGTACTGGCGCACGTGCAAGACTATTTGGTACTACATTCCAGTGTTTCCAGTGGGAACTCGAGCCACCCGCCCACTACAGCGCCATTAGCAGGTTCTCCAGATGCGACAATGCCTACAAAGACAACACCAGCTGCAGCAACAACAAACGCCGACGGGAAGGCCAGCCGGGTTGACGCTTCCACAGCTGAACCTCCAATGACTTTTGATGACAGTCTTTTGAAAGAATTGCACGAGTCGGATTGTTTGAACGGGAACGCATCCATCGTGGCCATATCTTGGCGATTGGGCTTGGACGAAGGGAGGTTACGAGCATGGGCAGCGCGTCATGACAAACTACGTATTGTATCAAGGGTTGCGGCAACCGGGGATGATTGGGGTGCTGTGTAACCAACGTTCATCCGAGAGTTGGGCTCACTTTGATAAAGTCAGTTACACGGTGGAATGGCATTGGAGCACTGATGATTGACGGGGCAAAACTACAGCAATGCAAATGAACACATACGCATAACCTATTCCTATTCAAAATTCTGTGGCAACAAACGGTTTTATGCATGACTATCAAACGTAGATGGACTGTGGGAATGACTTGCTTTTGTTGGTACCTCCAAATTCTTCAAAGATGACATGTTCTGGTATCTTTTTCCGCAAAAACTCCGTCGGTACTCCTGAGTCGAGCGTGATCTTCTCCACCGTGACAGGATCCAGGAAAGATCTCACGATTCTCCAAACACCCATGACAATGGGATGTACATTGATCAGGACAACGGGGCCCGCGATTTCTGGAAAGTTTGGTTCCGTGAGAGCATCCAGGATTTTCAAGGTGTGAGTCGACTTCATGGCTTTGAAAGGATTCATCCCCTGCGAGGAAACACAACAACGTTTAGGCGCGACAATGGCGCAGAACAATATCACCAGGCACTTGATCTCGCCTCACTTACTCCGGCATCTATAATCCACATGGCCTTCCAGGTTATTGGATGCTTGCTGGGGGAATACACACCACTGTTTTCAATGTAGCTTTGTCGAAACTCTTTCATGATCACCCCCAAATCATAGATGAAGCAGTGGAGCCAATCTTCCTCCTTAAAAGCTCTGCCCTCCTTGGATTGAATTCCATTCATCATACCCCCGAGTCGTTCGCAAAAAATGGGCATTCCGTCTCTGGTTCGTCCCATATACCCCCGCACCCGAATTTGTCGATAGGTCTGCAACTTAGGAGGTGGATTGGATATGACACGGGCGAGTTGAAACTCGTGGGACCATTTAAGAGACTTTACAAGCCGATCCAATGCCATGTCAGCATTGTACTTGTCGGCTTGGAGAAACCTGAGACACGTCATGTCGTCGGGTTGCACAAACGGCTGAAGCGTCCCCGATGTATCGACACCATCCGCCTCGAAATCGTGCTTGCGAACTCGTTTTAGAAACTCTCTGTACGTTGCTTGTTGCTCTGGATTCATTTGCTGGTAGTGGATAATCTTGGACGGGTCCACTTTCATTCCATGATACAGGTTCAAGTAGCTTTCAAAGGGAACCCCATAGTCTGGGCTCACAAAGTCGCCATTATCGGTTGGGTCCTTGCTCTTGCTGACAATCTTGCAGTTGTTTCGACCATCGGCCAGCTCAGCCAAGCTGCCGCTATAGATGGGCACCACCCGTACATTGACCAATGTCATTGGAGCGGATTAATGTAGCTGAAGGTTGGTCTATGGAAAAGATTAGAGACAGTTTCTTGCTGGCTACTGTAGAGGCAAAACTACTCGAGAGGGAACAATAGCACAACAGCTATCCAAGGCAAGAGGTTGTTTGCTGTTGCTGTGTAATGAATGAGATGTAGGATTCGATTCGATTCAATCAGAAATTAGTGGTCGCGTCGCAGGTATTGCACATGACGGCCGCCATGCAACCTTTTGGGCGTGGTGGCAGCGTTGGCAGCTGGTGCGGTACAAGTACATGTGCCAGTCTACATCCGAGGGTGGACCGGTGAAAGGAAGGTTCGGAAGGGTTCTGGAATGTTGTAAAGCAGGAATGAATCAATTAAAGCGCTGTAAGAGGTACCTGGAAGGCGCCAGGTTTTGGTGAAGCGTGCCTAGTGGCCAAAAAATAGTCGCGGTAGTCGCGCTAAAGTCGCGCTGAAAGTCGCTAAGAAGTCGTGCGCGACTTCCACTTGGAAGTAAATAGTCGCGGTAAAGTCGTGGTAAAGTCGCGCTGTTTCACTGGATAAGACCACGAGAAGTCGTTGTAAAGTCGTGCTAAAGTCGCGGAAGTCGTTGTAGTCGCGGTATAAAGTCGCGATAAAGTCGCGGTGTGCGACTTTAGAACGACTTTCGGCGATCCAGCGCGACTTTCGAAAATCCGGGATTCGCTCCGTAACCACTTTAAACCTGGCGCCTTCCTGAGGAAACATCCTTAATGGTTAATTAAACTAAAACAATTTTTGCGATTGAAATAAATAAGACCGGTAAGGCTATTTTAGAGGCTGACTCGTGTATGTCCCTGAAACATCTAATATCTTTGCCGTAGCTTTCTACGTAATCAAAATATGATCGAACACTGGAACACTGTAACATGCTTACTCATCAATTAATGGGAACGAAAATTGTGCGTTTCTTTAATTAAAAGTTAAAGACAAGTGTCCTTCACTTCTTCACTTATATCAGCTCTCAATGTATGTTCGGTCGTTACCTACAGTCAGGTACTTGCGGTATTCTAATCAAAGCATTTTTAGAATAATTTTACTGCATCTGTCACGTACCGGTACGTACCTCAATCCCAAAGTTGCGCGCGTTCAGCACCTCATGGCCTCATGGCACCAGTACTGTACTGGCTAGTACCGTAGCCTCCATAGCTGCGAATGCTCTTTTGCCAAATAGGTGCATGATTTTGTCAAGGTAACATGAATGTCACGGGGAGAGGGAGGAGTGGCAGGTTCGAATTGATGAACCCATGCTCTTCCAGGCTGCTCGGGCTCTATACAGGGCCCAGCCACCTAAGTTTCTCTTTCATTTTAGGCTAAAAAGATGACTCTGGGAGAAGGCGTCTCTATAAGAGGCTGTCCTGTGCTCATCTAAAGGATCATGCTCAAGCTTTTTGCCAGTTGTGTAACTGGCAGCTTTGCCAGTTGTGTTTGCTGGTATTGGCTGGTATGGTGTAACTGTTGCAAATGATCTTGACATGGCTGAGAGTGGAGCATACTGTGCGCGCTGGGCCTAGCTAGCTAGTAGGAAACGCACGCACCAGTTTTCTATTTGGAGGGCACTCCAAGAAGCAAGTGGGTTTGGCTGCTGGACTAAATGCGAGACTGTTTAGAAAAACCAAACCGGTGCATAATCGTTCGTTTACGAGGCCAGGTCTAGTCTACTCGTAGCTTTGTGTTCAATATTACGGCATTACACTACTCGACTTCCAGAGCAGCTGCAAAAGCTCGCCCGCCAAAGTTTGTAGACGACCAAGACGAATTAGAAAACTCTTCGAAATCATCGAACTCAATGTTGTCTTCGACTAAGAACGCATCGAATACGGAATCTTGCGGTTCGGGCACTGGTGGAGGCGGTTCGACGATTGGTTTGGGTCTGGCCACCTCTATTGTGGTTGGACTGGAAGATTTCTTGGCAGTAGTTGGGTGCGAAGCAGCGGTAGATTGCGTGCGCCTAGATCTGTACACTGAAGCAATGGCTCGGCCAATCGATGTCTTGGGGCGAGAGGGTGTGCTGGGCTCCGTGTCCCGCGAAGGAGTGCCGGAGGCGGCAGCGTCCCTGGAAGGTGGGCTGGAGGCTTGGCTTCCAGCACGCGTTGGTGACGGTTCGGGGGACCGACGCATGCGGCTTGCTTTGAGTTTCCTTAACCTCGCCATGAGAGCAGCATGTTTACCCACCACCGCCGCAAGTCTACCCCCGGGGCTAGTTTTGGGGGGAGGTTCTTCGGCGGGAACGTCAAATCTCGGACGCTCTCTTGGAGGGGTCACTCTGGAGGAATCCGCATTGTTGACTGCTGCAATCTTCTTCCTCCTTTGTTTTATGTAGTCGCTAGACTTTGGATGCGGGTGAGCAAGCATCCCAGCCTGGTGTTGACTGGGCGAACGTTGTGATGTATAGGCATTGAACGTCGGCTGCGTTCTACTAGAGAATGCATCGGTTGCGTGGTGACTGGGCGAGGCTTGCGACAGTTGCAGCTTCGACGTGGGATGGGTTCGAAAAAACACTCCAGTCGAGTGGTGACTGGGCGAAGCTTGCAGCGGGTTTAGATTGGACGCGGTGTGGGTTCGAGAAAACACTCCACTGGATTGGTGCGAAGGTTGCGATGTGTAGGGCTTGAAGGTTGGCTGTGTTCGAGAGAATGCATCCGATGCGTGGCGAATCGGAGATGCGTGGCGAATCGGAGATGCTTGCGATGTGGAAACATTGAACGTCGGCTGCGTTCGATCGAATGCATTTTGCTCCCGATTGGGAAGCGCTTGAGAATGGCGACTGGACGAGGGATGTGTCCGAGAAAACACACCAGTTGTCTGGTGACTTGGGGAAGATTGTGACAGGTTGGCATTCCCGATAAATCTGTTCGAGTGGTCAGAGACTTCACCGTGAGGAGGCGACGAAAAGAAAGAGTTACTTGGTCCCAGATTGGACGTGGTTGCCTCGTCAGCAAACAACGAGTGCTGAGGTTCAAAGAAAGCCGGCGGCAGCTCCTGAGACCGTAGGGAGTCAACGTTCATGAATTCGCTCCGCCTCGGCGACGGCATCAGAGGGCTGCTTTCCTCCATCGGGTAGTCCGGAAAGGGATCTAGAAAGAGAGAGTTGGTTTTGGGGAGGTGCGGTTGCAGAACTCTCCGTCTATGCGATACCTTGGGCGTCACGCTGCCGGAATCTCCGCCTCCACGCAGATTGTTGATGGTAGGTGTAACGGCGCGTTGCGTAGACGTGTCGAGGGAAACTGGAGATCGAGACAGTGGAGTCACTGGGTGCGAGAAGGAAACTGGTGTTACTGGGCGCCATCCATTGGAAGAGGATAATGATGCAGGAGCTGTTGGCTCGGCGCCTAAATGTGGACCGGGATCAAGCGTTGGAGATGGAGTTGGCTTTACAACAGAAGGTTCGAAAGGACTTCCGCTTTCTTTCGTTGTTGGTGGCGATGATCTTGCAGCCAGCATTGACTTCGCATGCTGCTTTGCTTGTGTATAGACTCGAGAACTCACGTCGTACATCCTTGGGGAGCCCGTCGCCTGATTTGATTTATTTGATTTTGTTTCACTGACTTCCTTTTGGTGTCTGGAGAGGTCCTGACTAGGGGATCTGCTGGAGGATTTTGACTCAGTCATGCTGGTGTCTGTATCAACTGGGTTTGTCTCTGTTGTGAGTGTGTTGGGCGATTTTGAGCTTGGCTTCCCAATCCCTGTGGTGGAAGCCCCCTTCGCGTCAACGTGTGTTTGGGAAGTTTCCTTTTCAGGTTCAGGTTCAGGTTCAGCGATATGCACTGATGCATTGAGTTGAAAATCAAAGTGGAAGCCATCCGGATCCCGGGATGGATCAGTTGAAGATATCTTGAAGTCCTCTGCTTTGGCGTTGGGTGTCGAAAAGGGGTCCTCAGGCCACATGCTGCCCTTGTCGAAGGCTTGCCAACCTTGTGCCGATTCGTCATCAAAGCCAAAGAACTCATCCGAACCAGGGAAGCCCCCGTTTGAAGGAAAAGAGGACTCAACTTGGCTCAAGTCCCAGCCGTTTGAGCCCCCAACGTCGGTACTTTTGGGTTCGTCTTCTCTTGGACTTGGTTCAGAAACTTGATTGGCCAAAAGGCCAGACTTCTCCCAGAGCTTCACGATCTGATTGCGTGACTCTATACTCAAGTCATCAGACAATCGCTTCAAAGCCCGAGCGATCAATGGAGCCGCAGCCTCAGTCTGCTGACTCGAGGAAGCCTCCGACCGCTTTGCTTCGCAATCCATCAAGTCTACCTCTGCCGTCTTCTCGCCGTCGGAGACATCTCCAAGTGTGGATTCGTCACAAGCTTTACTATGGATAGCAGTGGGCTCGGTCAGTTGAGAGACTTCGGCAATCGACAAATCAAGCGTAACGCCATCGGAAAATTCGCCCTCGCTGATAGAAATATCATCTCTATCAATGCCCAGACGACTGTCGAAGTTGAGTTTCGCAGTTGGCAGGAAGTCCCTCGGCAGATAGCTATTCCCAGTAAATCGGTTTCTTTGAATAGGGTTTGATTGGATGCCCAAGCGCGGAGGGGAAACAATCTCGCCGGACGAAGCTTTGCTGTTCGCTGCTTCTTGTTGGCCTCCTTCACGCATCTGCTCTGGAGGCCTTCCATCTTCGTTTGCCGATGTCGTCACTTGTTGGTCTGATGGAATTGACATCTCCGTCGAGGTCCCTGAGGTCTTCAGCGAGGGATCACCATCTATAGGAGTCTGAGCTGTGGCCCTCCTTTCAGGTAGGCCAGTTGCAGCAGTGTGTAAATTTACTTTTTCAGTTCCGTTGTGTTCAGGGGATGATACCTTCGTTTTCAACGTTATTTCCTTCTCAATCAAGTCCTGTGCACCTCGACCAACGGTGTCTATACTCGATTTCGCACCCGAGTCTGAGGAAGATATGAGACTTGGCAACGAAACCAGTGCGTTCCTGGTGATGGAGACATTGTGCGGAGGCGAATGCTTGTCTTGCTTGTTGATCTCGCCCATCGTCCCAAACATTCGTGCACGCTCCAACACCGACGGAGACGGCGTTGCTGCTGAACGACCCGGAAGAGGAGGCCTGGCATCTTTGTCCTTGGGAAATCGACGCCTCTGACGTGGGCCTGGTGTGTCGAATTTGTTCCATGCATCTCGTAGTTCCGTATTTTCGGTTTCGAAGTTCTTTGCAGGAGGGGCCTTTTGCGTCTCGAAAACTGCGCGCATTTTACTGATGGCTGTCTCCGGAGGATCCGCTACAGCACTCTCAAACACTTCCCGTAAACTCTTGACACTCGCATTGTCGTCCGAGTCGTCTGGTATGGGAGCAACGCCTTCAAAATTGGATCTGATACTTTGGACGTCGAATGTCGCTTCGTCGGCATGCTGATTGTCAATAGTGCTTTCTTCCATTGAGAGATGTGTTTGCAATACCATAACTAGACGCGATGTGGCAAAAGGCGATTGCATTTCCAAATCGTCACCACTGATGCCCGTGAAAAGCGTTTGGGCACCATTTGACTTCTCGAAAGCAGCAAACGCAGCTTTGAAAGATCCCCTCAATGGGCTAGCATCTTTTCGCCCCTTCTTCAGCTGCTCGCTTTTTGCCCGTCGTGGCCGAGAACCCGTGGAAGTGATTGACTTGTTGTCTGAATCGAGATCTACCTGCTTTGATGAAGCAAGAACCCCGTGCATAGCCTTGACAGGGCCGCTTATTGCGCGTCGTGGAATTCCCTGTGCCCGATTTGGCACTACCTTCGATTGCTGCAAATCACTCCCATTCCCTTCCTGTTTTTGCCAATATGACTTTGACCAAGTTTTACGTGGAAGCTCGCTGTTCTTTTGTTTATCGGAAAGTTGTGCGACTGGGGCTGCTTCACGGGTTTCATCTCGGACGTGTTGGTCTTTGGCTGGTGATTCGGTGTCGTCTGGCTGAGCAGAGTCCACAGTCCAACTAGGTGGCGGCTGTGAAGCCGACGGTTGCGTACAAAAGATTGGATCGAGCGAAAGTAGTTCAGCCTTATCGTCGTCATTACCTCGTCTCCAAATCTCTGGTGATGGAGTGGGACGAGATGCTTGCATCTCGGGCACACCAGGCGGTGGTTTCGCGTCGGATGATGATGCTGGCCGAGACGTTTGCATAGTTCTCGGTTGATCAGGAGTCACTACCGGTTTCTTTGAAAATGGTTGTCTGTTCTGCGCCTTTTGTTGTTCTTGTTGTGGTGTGGGATCTTGTGGTTGTCTCCCTTGCACCTGCTGCCCGTAAGCTTTGCCGCTACTAGCCAGTTTGGTCTCTAGTTTTGTTCCTTCTTGTCTTGAGACGGCATTATTATTGTTGCCACAGACAAATTGATCAAACCGGTCTTGTGAGAACAGTGGCAAAAGCGGTGCGGCAGTGTTTTCTCCCGAAAAGTCGAGACCATCTTCCGACATGGCAACGGGTGTCCAGGCACTCGATTCCGAAACAATGGACCCGCGGTCGTCGTCAAAGAAATTGGTATTGCGTTTTCGAGGTTTCAGTTGTACCTTGGGAGTAGGTTGCACCTTGGAAGTAGGTTGCACCTTGGGAGTAGGTTGCACCTTGTTGGGATGAAGTGGAACGTTGGGCACTTTTCCTCGAGTTGGTTTCGGTTTCAGTTTCTTCTGAGCATCCTGGGGGCTAGGATCCAGCTTGGGAATGGACACTGGCTGTGGTCCAAAGTCTTCGTCTTCGCTATCGACGTATCCAATGACACCTGCATCCGATCTAGGATGCTCCTTGGGCGATGCTTTGTTTGTCGTGTTTTCCGCAGCCTGTTTCTGCCGTTCGGGGTTGGAAAAAAAGTAGGGTGGAGGGGAATCGGGATATGCCACGACTGCTTTGGACGCTTGTGATGGTGGTTGTCGTTGTTGTTGCTGTTGCTGTTTTTGTTGTACCTGATCCTTCAAATGATTCTTTCTGGGAATGAGCCGCACTCGGTCGACACTCCACCACTTGTTTGGCTTGTGGTCGTTGGTATCGTGGTTGTTGTCATTAGGTTTTGCCAACAAGAGCATGGCTGTGGGGGAAACATTGTTATTGTTGGAGGAACTTTCATCATTGGTGCTGCTGTTGGCACTGAGAAGACTCTTCATATCTACCGGTGTCTCGTTTCTTGCCTTTCTTCGCACATACCCTTCTTGGCCACTTTTGGTTCCCGCCAATAGTCTCGTCAGCCGTGGGGATGTTTTGTGTGTTCCGGGAGAGTGTTGCGGCGGCGACTTGTGGTTGTTGTGTTGTTTCAGTAAATGCTGTCCATAGGGAGACTGTGTAAAGGGCTCCTCGTAGGCATTGGGTTGTGCAAATCTGCCTCGATTGGACGTGCGCCTTGTTTGGGTACGTTCGAGTGGAATCGGTCCAAAGAGCAATAGATCCTCGTCTGTCGTTCCAGGTGGCGCTTGTGCCGTCCATTGAGACGCGTTTGTATTGCTGGTATTGTTGGGCAACGACTCTAGATCGGAATCCTGTTTCTTTTCTTCTGCCAGATCGGCTTGTTGGTTGTATGATGGTTGTGTTGTAATAAACGACTGCTGTTGATGACGGGGTGATGCTTTTCTTTTGGTACTACCACTATAGTTTGTTCGATGCAGCACCTTGTTCCCCTCGTCCATGCTGAATCTTCGATCGGCAGTTCGATTGGTCATGATTTCAGTGGGTGAGCCTTCGGATGCCAACAAATCGGAAAGTACGGCGGAAGCTCCCGCCGTAGAATAGGCATGGTGTTGATAGTTTTGTTGTTGTTGCTGTTGCTGTTGTTGTTGTTGTTGTTGAGAAGAGGATGTTGTGGATACCGGGGACATTCTAGGAGTGATATCGTGGTGGGTACTGGTACTATGTTGTGGTTGCAAGTGCTGTGGTCTATTCATGGTATACGTAGCTGTGGTTGTACCAGTGTCTGCTAAAGGTGGTGGAGGAGGTGGTGGTGGTGATCGCTTGACAGCAGCTATAGAATCTCTGGAGCCTCTGAGGGCAGTTTTGGTGGTGGATGGGAACATGGATGAAAAGATGGACCCAGAAGTAGTGACAGGTCTTGATGATGATACTGGTTGCCACTGCTGTTGTGGTGATCTGGAAGGTGTTGTGGTCCCTCTACCCTTTCGGCTGTTGGGTGACGAAGAAGTAGCCCAGGAAAAGGCATCAACAGTGGTGGCAGTGGCTCCAGATGGAGACGGATGCATGTGCAGCTGTTGCTGTGTTGTTTGTTTTGGTTGTTGTTTGGTGGGAGTTTTAGGAGCCGTGGCACCAAAAGGAAAGGAGGCAGTAGTGTCAATCAAGTTGGAAGAAGCATCCATCAAGGCATCGTGTGCAATATCCAACGCCGTTGTATTAAAGAATTCTTGAGACCCACAAGCTGCCAAGGGACCTTCTGCCAAAGGCGACAATACAGGGTCTTCCTCACCAACACACCCACCAGCACCCGCCCCAATGGCAGCCAGATACCGTCCCGCTAGACTGCTCCTGCGTTTGTTCGTTCCGTTTGGTCTCCCCATTTTGGATGCTCACTTTTTCTTCATGCAGAAGTATTGATAAATGATGCTTCCAGTGGAAGTTTCAAACGCTTGCTTGCTTGCTAGATGTAGATGGGCACCTCTACTAAATAAACTGTAGTACCCACTGCTGCTGTCTTGCTTTGCTACTTGGAGAATGGGTAGGACAATAATGGTACCCCTGAAAACCTGATGAGAGAGTTGGTTACGAACTCACAAATGCATTGATCCATGCCAATAACCCACCGTGAGGGCATCCATGGTGGTTCCATTCAACGGAGCACCGTCTAAGAAACCGTGGCATTCTAACGTCCTTTGGAATTGGCCGTTTTTTATCGTCCAGTTGCCTCCATAGTGGGAGTGCGCACCCCTCATCCAAGATTTGATAGCGTTGAGGGTACAATTGTTACTCACAGTTGCAAATACAGGGTTGAGGATATTTTTGGCTTCGAAGCAACAAGCAACAAGTTCAGATCGTGAAGTCGTCAAAGTGTCATTTGGAAACAACCAAGCCAAGAGAAGAGCAGACCAGAAGACCATGAAGAGTCGATACATTGTCATCTTCCTGCTTTTGCTGTCGGGGCTGGGCATTGCCGATGCTAGAGAGAGAAGTTCTTCGTCAGGGTTTCATCAGGGGTCCACGGTGAGTGAATGTGCTTTGCACACATATTAGAGTCTTCATTCTATGTCGGAAGTTGTGTTGGAATCGAATCAAATCAAGTCCATAGCTCTCTTTCCTTCTCACCAACGAACGAACTAACTCAACATATATATTGTTTGGATTGTTTATGTATAAAAACCTCAGCGCGAAGAGATTCTGGCCAATCGAGCTCGTCGGAAAAAGCAGTTGGAAGCCTTGTTACTGGAGTCACGACAACAACTCGCCGATCATACCAAGGGAAAGAAACTACTCGACAGCAACGATTTGACTTCCCTCGAAAAAAAGATTCATGTCTTTCAACGAAAACTAGATACCATGGAGGGTGACATGGATGAACGAGAGGTGGAACGCATCCTAAAGAGAGAAGAATTGAGACATGAACGAGACGAAGAACGGCGTCGAAGACGAGAACGAGAGGAATTGTGATTATGTCTTGCAAAACTATACTAGCTAGCCTTCCTGAAAAAGACAAAAAGGGAAAACTAATGTCAAACGACACGACAATCATTCACCAATAATTTGTCAAGGAGATTATTAGAGAACCAATCCTGCTGCCACGAGAGGAAATTGGCTGAAATCCTATAGTTCACGACTACGAGACTGCCTCAATTTGACCCCCCTTCAGTTCTGGCCACCATCCTGGCAGCTGCATGTCGTTATTGCAATTAATATACACAAGTTAGCACGAGCAGGTCCTAATGCCTTTCAAAACCTGCCTGGCATTGCCCGGGATCAGCGGTTACACTGCACCCTTCTCGTTGGGGCGCGGGGAAGAAAGCATTGTCCCTGAACCTCTACGGTACTTTTCCGACCAACTAATCTATCTTGGGCCAGCCTCGATCCTCTTGAGGCTTACTGTACCAGCCAGGATACGACAATTTCTGCTCTGGATGGGTAGAACTTCAGTCTCCCAGACCATCCCCCAAGATCTCAAAGTTTTGTGGGTGCATGAAAAGATGAGACTCGACTCGGGCGCCCGGGTTGGCGTTCTTCGTTTGCTTGTCCGCCATTTCGTGTCACAATGGAATGGAACCACTGAGGAGGTGTGAGCATGGCAAAAAGCTACGTCAGTCTTGATGTATCATAGTTGTTGCCACAGCGCGCGAGTCCAAGGTGTCCCTTCTTGATGTTGTCAAACAGCTTGCTTGGGACACACCTCTTCTTTCTCCACGGATTGTCGTATTTGCGCCTGTTCTTGGATCAGGTGCTTCTAGCTAGCTAGCTTGATTGAGATAAGAGTCGAGTCCTTTTATTAATTAAGCAAAATGTGTTGATTTAACTTCTTTTTGTCACCCTACTATACGATATTAGTTGCTTGTGTACCAGATGCATTGTTTGTTGGTCGAAACATTGACACATTCATGGATGGATAATCGTGGGCATCCCTACTCTGGCCCTTTGTCGATATGAGAAAATTGTACAACATGTAGTGTATGTGCGGTCCCCTGAAACCGCTTTGGAACCAATCATTGTTCCGCATACCGGATGCAGAGACAGCTGACAGTTTATCTGCCGTCTCTTCGCTTTCTTCGGAAGAGTCCCATTCCCGCCTTCATCAAAGGACTGTTTGCAATGCTGCCATGAGCTGGCGACATCCCTGGTGCATCACTCCCGAGAGGAAGGCCATGGTGCGGTGGGGTGAGGCCTCCTAACTTGTTGTAGCCTTGGGCAAATCGTGTATTGTATAGTTTGTGATGGCGCCTGCCGTAGCTTGGGCTTGGAGTGCTTAGTTTTTCCCGTCCATATCCACCTGGACTTTGGTTTCCATATCCTGTATTTTGGTTTCCATATCCTGTATTTTGGTTTCCATATCCTGTATTTTGGTTTCGGACTTCAGATCTCGGAGTTTCATTATTGTCGTCCAGCAAACCATCCATGGTCAAACTGCCGACCGAATCTGAGGCGGCTGGCACTGTCAGTTCGTAGGTTGACCCGTCGGTCATACCATGCCACTTGTTGGAAGGGGGCTTCTTGCTGCGTTTTTCAGTTGGTGTGGTTGCCATCAGGTCTTGCAAGATTTCTTCCCCGGTGGTACCAACAGATGCGCTGGCAGAAGTGTGAGATTGAGTGATGGTCATGAAGAGTTCATCGTCAAGCATTCTATGTTTCTTTGCATGTTCCACTTCACGGCCTCTCTGCTGTTCTCTGGAGAAAATAATTTCCTCTTCGTCATATTCTTCCTCCTCTTCAATGCTCGTAATGCTGTTAGTTGGAACTCGGATTTCACGGGGCCTTTCACCTGACATGGGGCCGCCACAGCTCAGGGTATTAATGATGGAGATTAGCATGCTATCCATTGGACCAACGGCACTCAGTAGATCGCTGCCCATGGTGACATCATCTTCATAAGTATTGGTCAAGCAGCCAGACTCGGTTGGAAAAAGTCCACACTTATCGTGCCCGCGGTTGCTACGTTTCCCATGCTTCTTCTTTTTTCCGTGCTTTCCATGCTTTCGCCTCGGAAACAGTTCGTTGTTTGGGTTCGTTGAGTAAGTGTCCTGCCCTTGCGTGCTGTTGGTGAAGTTTGACATCTGGCGAGACATTGAATGCTCAGCAGAGGAGGAAGATAGATTGATTTCCGCTGCTTCGCCTGATTCTCCAGAGCTAGTTTTAGACACTCCCGTGCTTCCTGTTGCACCCGTTGCACCTGATCCTCCCGATCTACCTGATCCTCCGGAACCAGAAAACGTGGTCGACAAGCTCGGGATCATCTTTAGCTGGTTGCCAATCTTGTGCTTCAATTTTCCAAGGTCATCTGAAAGGCTGGCACTTTCCTTGATGCCCAACTTATCAGTAGATTGGCCATTGATCAACTTCAAGCCTTGAAGAGACGTACTCGCGTCCCATGATCCTGACGGACAATCGCTGGTAATGGCAGAGGCAAGAGCCATGGATGCTACAACCTCGGCCCTTCGCTTGAGCCTCCGACGACGAAGGAAGGAAGTACCAATTCCAGAAGCCATGTCGTTATCGCCTGATTCTGGCATAAGCGCAGCAACAGCGGCTGCCTTGGCTGTCTTCAACGCTGTCAGTTCGGATCCTCCAGTATCGATGATTGCCTTTGCTGCTTGAGCAGCCTGTGCGGTAGCTTGGGAAATAATCAATGCATCCATGGTATGCATAGTACTTGCACTCCTCTTGGAAAGTTTGCTCAGATTGGATCTGTTCGTCCCGAAGGAAATGACGCTGCCACTTGATCCGAAACCCATGGTTCAGTACTAGTAGTTATCTTTGGAAGAAATGAGACGATGGAAGAAATAGATGAATGAGGATAATGAAGTTAACAACTGCTGTCTTTGAGAGTAGTGGATGGCTTCAGTTCCAATGGGGGATCGGCTTTGTGGTGAAAGGTATCATTGGCAACACTACGACAGCAGCGAGAGTGCGTCGCTACAAATGAGCGAAATTTACTAGGAAATCAAAGTGTTGGCGAAGCCAAAATTGTGAGCCCAGTTTTACGGAGAAGATCAAAATCGCAGCAGCGGCAACCAATCCTTCAAAGCGACTATGCCGTGGGAGTCAATTCCTAATTCCTACTTTGGGATCACACTGTCGGCGAGACGAAGCCATTTCCGGCATCGCTAAGCTTTGGGTGTGACAAAATGCCCCTATTCGTGTGACAACAAGTGCACAAGGTTAACTGTGTAATCTTCCAAGGGTTGTCACAACGTACAGTGGTTTAGTGTCACCGGTATCGAGCTTCAATTGTTCAACCTCGCTCAAAACAAGATGATTGTCACATAGGCTGTCAAAAGGGGCCCATAATTCGGTGAAAGTCTTGCGGGACAGCTTGCTTATGATTGCCGCTGAAAGGCAGCAACGACAACGTTTCAACTGCCGTCTGTGGTAGCTGTACCGACCCTTTGGACGCTGTCGGAGAGTCCTCATGGTGAAGTATTATGTAATAACAGACGCATTTATAAGTAGTTTACTTGGCTACTCTAATGCTTGTTCGCCCTAATCACTTGTCGTCGTCTAAAAACACCCTCGTTGTGCTAGCTAGCAGCTCTTTCGCTGCCTGCTAGCTAGAAGGTCATGTTGGATCGCACTCACAGTACAGTCGTACTTGATCGATCAGCTAAGAGACGTGGAGCGAGGTATAAGATGGTGCAAATGGTCCCTCAAAATTACCTTCATATGAATGATTCAATCGTCCTGTCCAGGGCTCATCATATGCTGTCAAGTTGGGATTCCTCTCATCCTGAGGAGCGAGGTGTTTTCGGATAGTGTATTTGCACGTGTTGTCGTTGTGTTGGATTCGCTGGAAGCGTTGTCGAGCTGTTGTGACATTGAGTAGCCACGCCTGCCTTTTTGAAGGACAGTAGTATGGTAGTAGTTTGGCAAGAAGAGCGGTTAGGTTGTGGCGTAGGTGGTCGTGGTCCCCAGGGGCCATGGCGAAGTCGTTGGTCAATCCATGCAGCTACTCATTTGATTCATCATTGGCTTGGCCACGGTCGTTTATCGTTTCCTACAGAGTTACGGTTCACCAGTCCAGCCAAGCAACATGTGTTGATGCTCGGGTTGTCTACAGTATCGGTACCGGTAGCTGTGTGGGTTGGATAGATCTCTCGACTTGCCAGCGAGCGATACGTAACACCAGTGGGAGAGATGATTGAATATTCGAGTTTTAGTTGCTGGAGGGGTATGGTGCCCTTGTCTCGGTTTCTCTACATTATTATTTGAGGAGTAGTCTACTAGTAGTAGGAGCTGCCAGTCTACAACTAGCTAGCTAGGTACGTACAAGTACCGGTACCATACATGTACGTAGTGATGGGCACCCCTTTGATACACCCATTGATACATACGTATCCACTGATCCCCAGATGGTTCAAGAGACTTTAGAAGCCTCAAGTTGACATAGCAATAGAGCAGCATCTTCACAATCTTGTTGACGAGACTCTTTCGAACCGTAGAATGCACCACATAATGTGCATGGGAAGACAGATAGACCATATGTTAATACAGTATAATACAGTATTATACGTATTATACGTATCAAAACTTAAAATACGTGTATTTGCCCATCACTAAATGTACCGTACATCGTCGTGTCGTCTTGGTTCTTCAAGCAGGAGTGACAGTCTCCATTTGTGGAATCATTAACTCTTTTAGTCGTGGATATCGCATCAAAGATACAACCGCCGCTTGACTCACTCGACTGAGTCACTCGGCTGGCTCGTCACTCAAACCTTAAAAAAGCCGAGACCGACTCCGCTCCGCTCCGCAGAGTCACGAGTTGAGTTGAGTCGAGTCTCCACAGCAGTCTCCGCAGCTCGATCTGCAACAAACACCACAACAAATACCATCAAAGAGCAAGCAATCAGACCGACATGTACTCTGAGAGACCCAGGAAGTGTGTTGTTAGGTAGTCTAGAGCATGAAATCACTGCTCATTAGTGGCCAAGTCTCATCTCATCACCTGTTGTTTTCCATCTGGCAGAATCTGTCATCCCAACTTTGAGGTGGAAAAATGGGATGTCAACATAATGAGCTCACTTTTTTGTTCAACCGGATTGCTAGAGTTACATACTCAACCGAACAAGAAAGATTTACGATTGTTGTTACGCTTCGGCAAGTTCAACCCCTCAGAACTTATTCAAGTCTACTTTCGACCTTTTCTATCAATCTTCTATTCAATACCTATCAATTGCAAAATGAAGTTCTCTTCCTCTATCATCAAGCTGATCTCATGGTCATGAACCGCCGACAACAACAACAGCAACACCAAGAAGACCCCCATTCTCCGGGTCGCCAAGGAGATGACGGGCAACAACAACAACAACAACAAGGACGTTCCTGTGGCAGAGGAAGTCCCAACATTCTAACTGGACGAGTTGGACAAGTCGGTCGTTGAAACCACGACACTGGCTGTTGCACGGAACGCATCCTGATGTGGAATTCCAGCAGCACGGTCGCTACCTAGGTGCCTACGACCTTTCCCTGGTTCCTGTGGATCAGCATGGTCACTATGGATACGACAAATACAACCAGCACCGGCCCAAAGGCTGTCGCATCAAACCCAGTCAATGAGCCAACGCTCGCTGGAACACCCGTCACGGTCAAGACACCGAACGGAGCAATGGAAACCGTTTATCATTTGCTCCTGTCAACACTGTAGTGGGGTACTCTTCTGACAAGAGCGAACAAAAAGAAAAATCCAATGTCTATCGAGACATCAAGAAACAAGAGCCACAGGCCCGATACGAATTCTGGCAGGAAGCCCAACAACAATTCATTTCCGTCGGCACACCCAGACCCCACGAACGCGTCTTGGATATCGTGCAGTTGATTCAAGAGTACGGATACCAACAAGTGGCCAAATGGATCACCAACAACCTATGGTTCCAAAGTGATAAACCGTACCTACAACAAGCCCAACTGTATATTCAAATTGATGTCGTGCATCAAGACCTCGAGGCACTTCTTCGTTTCATCAAGGCGAAGAAAGGAAATGACAAGCAAGTCGCCCACTGGTTCATGGTCAACGAAAGAACACTTACATTTTCGAACTCGCCATGTGCCACTTGCATCACGGTGGAATTCAGCGCAATGCCAACGACGAAATTTGCACCTTGAATGCGCGAGAACAGATTGCCAAACGACGATTTGTTTATCGCAAGGTCAAGGATGTCTGCATGGAAGATGCAGCACCCATAGTAGTAGAACAACAACCAACAACAGCTAAAGACATCCAGGCAATAGAAAAGTCTCCACCGTCAACGACAACAAGATGGCATCCGATACCACAATCACATACGAAGCAGCGGTGGTTCCCACATGCACAGCAGTGGTCCCATACGTTCTAAAGTGGCATGTGAAACACTTCAAGATCAGCGTGCATGGGCAACAACCATTCGTATTGGAGATGCGAATAATGAATGGTGTGCTACTTGGAGTGATACCCAACGACATCCTCGCAGCATTGATGAAGGATTGTGAAGACCTTTGTCAAGGAATTCATGTGGCGGCACAAGACACTACGATTGGAGGCAGGTGTTGCCTCGGATGATACAGATTACGAACTCGTGACTGGCCAAGTGGCAGCTGAAGAACAACTGGTTGAGGTCAAGGAACAACAACAAGTTGAGGCTGATGAACCACTGGTCGACAACCGGGTCGATGAGGAGGACAATGATGTGGACACAGCACAATCAACATTGCGGCGGTCAAAGAGGCACATGGCGGCGGTTGCATCTCAGAGAATTGCAGAGCAAATGAAGACGAACTCACGGCGGGTGGCAGAACAACCTAGAACTAAACGCAGCAAGAAGAAAAAGTTGACAAAGCCAAAGGCGAAGGGCAAGAAGAAGACGATGACACCACCTGTGACGGATACACAGCAGCAAACAACAGTTCAGACAACAACAACCACAAGTCGTTCTGGACGGCGAGTACGAAAGCCTGACGGGTACATTCCAGTTTAGCACGACAACAGGTAAGTGGGGCGGCAACGACGGATTGTGGGGATTACTAACACATGAATACAATACACAAAGAGCAAGCATCTGGTGGGGTGCAGGGCTATACAACAATTTTGCGGAGATGAATACAGTTGGTTCAATTGAAGGGTCACATACAAGGTAGCTAGGTTTGTGGTTCCTGTGCGAGGCAGGCTCTATTGCAGAGTGCTTGTCCGAACGTCCTCCACGCGAAGAAAGTCCAAAGTTAATACCCGTGACACCTGACAACCAACGTCTATCATTGTTGATGCTATTCTACAATCTTAAATACAACAACCAAACATAGACATAGAACGATAACACATAGTAGACAATCTTTACAAACAAAAATAATGGCTTCATTCTTTATAGTACTGGTAGTTGTAGTCATAGTAGCTAGCTCGCGAGCTAGCTAGTGGTAGTTCATATAATCATAGTAGCATCCATTGTAGGCATTGTAGGGCAAGCTCTGGCATGTACTAGCTAGTAGTTACCCGTGGTTGTGGAGGGCAAGCTCTTGCATGTGCAATACACGGCTCTTAGCCTTATTCGCGACTCGATCCTAGATAGGGTTTGAGTTCGACTCATGACTGAGTCTTTCGTGAATAGTCATTGAGACAGGGTTCTCATGACCGCTAGTCATACTAGGTCGATGGTGAAACATCGCGCTAGATATTTAGCTGGCGTGGAGAGATTCCACTAGATAATGCTAGAACGAATCTTCCACGCGTTCCGTTTTTGGATCGTGGAGTGAGTAGATTCTACCGCAACCTACTCTATCACATTTTAAGTCCCCCGCGGGAGTTCAGATCTACGATCCTTTGATTGTGGATCTCTCTCGTTGATTAGTTTTCATAGCTTTCTAATCCTCTCATAACTTTCATTCTCTCAAACTCAAAACACTCGAAAGATCTTTACACTAGCTTTTAGCGTAGTGCATTTTGTTAACAAACACAATAGCTTTCAGCTACCCTCAACCTATTCCTCACCATGAAGATTGCCAAAGACGCGTACCCCAGCTTCGAGTCTAAGCTGCGCGACAAACCAATCCTTCCTCTCATCGACCGCGACGATGAATGCAAAATCGACGATTCTCGCTCTACCACCTACAAACTTCGCACTGTTCCAGCAGATGCTGACAGCGCCAAGTACACCTTCAAGGTCCAAATCATCAATGGATCTGAGACTCCACGTCAAACCATCAAGTGGGCTGGACGTATGGAGAAGGTCTTCATTGGGCTCGCCATTGCTACGCCTGAAGACAAACATAACCTCCTCAAGGAGATGACTTCTAGTTCTGCCAAGAGCAGTTACGAATCTAGCTGTGCAGGTGCACTACGCTAAAAGCTAGTGTAAAGATCTTTCGAGTGTTTTGAGTTTGAGAGAATGAAAGTTATGAGGATTAGAAAGCTATGAAAACTAATCAACGAGAGAGATCCACAACCAAAGGATCGTAGATCTGAACTCCCGCGGGAGACTGTAGAGTGTGATAGAGTAGGTTGCGGTAGCAATCCTACTCACTCCACGATCCAAAAACGGAACGCGTGGAAGATTCGTCTAGCATTTATCTAGTACGTGGAAGTCTCCACGCTGGCTAATATCTAGAGCGATGTTCATCATCAACTAGTATGACTAGAGCGTCATTGAGAACCCTGTCTCAATGACTATTCACGAAAACTCAGTCATGAGTCGAACTCAAACCCTATCTAGGATCGAGTCGCGAATAAGGCTAAGAGCCGTGTATTGCATTCGCCCCCTGACAAGGGTCACAGAAGGCGCGAAATCAGTCGGACAAGGAGACATATGAATTAAAGTGCGGGGCACTCTCCGGAGATTGGATTAGACATGTGCGTCGACGATGGCAATCCTACAAGGGATCAGGCCTTGTATGGTGTAAATACCTTATGTTCCAGTCTGGTAGACTGTGCCGCTACTGGCGGTAGTATGTCGGAGC